GTGTAATCAAGTCTCCGTATAGGGGGTACAGGGTCTCCGTACAGGGTTCTGTTTAAAGCGCAGAGAGAACCATGAAGACAAAGGAACACACCAGGCAGGTCCGACTTACTGTTGTGGAGAAGTTTAAAGCCGGATTTGGGTACAAAAAGATTTCCCAAGCTTTAAACATCTCAAGGAGCACTGTGCAAGCAATTATATTGAAATGGAAGGAGTATCAGACCACTGCAAATCTACCAAGACCCGGCCGTCCCTCCAAACTTTCATCTCAAACAAGGAGAAGACTGATCAGAGATGCAGCCAAGAGGCCCATGATCACTCTGGATGAACTGCAGATAACTACAGCTGAGGTGGGAGAGTCTGTCCATAGGACAAGAATCAGTCGTGGACTGCACAAATCTGGCCTTTATGGAAGAGTGGCAAGAAGAAAGCCATTTCTCAAAGATATCCATAAAAAGTCTCATTTAAAGTCACCTGGGAGACACACCAAACATGTGGAAGAAGGTGCTCTGGTCAGATGAAACCAAAATCAAACTTTTTGGCCACAATGCAAAACGATATGTTTGACGTAAAAGCAACACAGCTCATCACCCTGAACACACCATCCCCACTGTCAAACATGGTGGTGGCAGCATCATGCTTTGGGCCTGCTTTTGATTCTTGACAAAACATTTTTTATGTTTGAAGCCTGAAATGTGGCGAAATGTTGAAAGGTTTAAGGGGGCCGAATACTTTCGCAAGGCACTGTATGTCTCAAACTAACATTTGTCTGTTAACCGGTCTGACCTTTTCCCGCATTGTTTCACATTGAAATTATGCAAAAAAAATAATTCAAGGGTCACTGATTAACTTCACAAAACTGTATGATGAATAATAGTGCAGACAGACAAGAGACCATTATATCATCATTTATTTGTAAAGACAGTCGGAGCCTGCCACAAGGCTTTCTTTCCAGGTCAAAGTCCACACTGCCTATTGTTGACCTCATTCTCACCACTGTTTGTGTGGCTGTTTTATAATAAGCCCGCTCCCCTATTTTTTGTCATAGTGGTCTCAATGTATCCACTCCTATATTCCCTTGTGTATAAGTATATGTCAATGCAACATTTTCTGATTCACAGATCAAAGATTTGAAAAGCCACTTGTTGAATGAATCGCTGTCCCAGATTCAAATGTCTTTCTTTTTGTGGGTTGTGGTGCCCCAGCCCTCCGGACCTTCTCAGCTGTTACTTCTGCTTCTCTCCGCCCACTCTTCCTGTCCCCACACTGCTTTGTCTTTGTTTGGCTCCTCTGTCTTGTAGAGACTGGGCACACCGCCTTTTATGAGGAGCCAATCTGTGACATTTCATTTGCTAATGTTGGGATCCATGTTACACCCAAATAATGTATGCCAGCGATTGTGAAAGTCAGATACCAGGGACTGTCAAGTGCCCCTACCGTGTTCCACCCTGACATCAAAATGGAAATCATGTCAAACTTTTACTGAGTTCCAAATTGTATGAATGTTTTGTATCCAATTTGAACTTACAACTTACTGATAGCTACAAATGTATTAACAGTTAATTAATTGAATTAACTTTATGGCCCTTATTCGTAATTTTATCTTGAGTCTGAAATAAAGATTAATTATAATAGGTGGAAGATGGATGTACATGTTTTATTTTATTTCTAACCTGCACAATACATATTTTTACATATATCAATATAACAGACAATTAAGTAAGTAATCTTTATTCATATAGCGCTTTTCACAGACCAGAGTCACAAAGTGCTTTTACAATCGTGGGCATTTGTCTCGCACACACACAGATGTGTGCGAGACACTTGTACCCCCATCACACATAAACTGTTTTAACAATATCATGTAGTAGAATTCTCAAACATACAACTGTACACCAGCGGTATAAGACAGACTACACAAAATGCACACACACTCTGACAACACACAAGCCCAAACACTCTCCAACCCTACACATCTCTCCCACTTGCCCTGCGCTTATGGTTTCACTCTCTTTCTTCCACATATTATTTAAACATTCTTCTGAATTTAATCAGATTTGAGCATGTCTTATACTGTTTATATTTGTATTGGATTTGTTTTAATTCAAGATTAAATTTATTTACCATTTGGAGATTAAAACACACATTAGAGTTCCTATTTATCATATGTATATAATGTACCACATGTTAAGCCTCTGCTATAAACATTTCCTCTCATTTTTCCCATCAAATGATACATGAGACAATAACTTCCTGCTGTGTTTAACAGTTTGGCCTCACACTGCATCTCTGTAGTGCCTTGTTCACCGTATGCACTCCATATTTCTCACACTGAGGGAATCTTGCGTGCTGCTGAGGTTATTGCATTAAGCTGTTGGGTCCAGGGACACGGGGTCATTAGGACCTGGAGCTGTTGTTTGGATCTTTTCTCAAACGCTCTGTCAACTGTGTGTGTGGTTTGTTAAGAGATCCACATTTGGCAGAACTACTCACAAATGACCAGTACGGTGTTAAACATGAACACACAACATACACAAACTTTCTGTAAATGTTTTCCAAAAGAAACTGGTACACGTTGAACAAACATTATAGTCTGCGTTTAAGTTTTCCTTGTGTATTGATCTTGTGGTTGAGCTATTGCGACGGCTCAGGCTGGATTATCTCCTCATGGACACAACCTCACCTGCTTAACTCTCCCACTACTGCACACCTCTGCTGATTAGAACTGCTTCAGCTGGCACATTCACACACTGATGCTGGGCTGCCTTCTCTGCTGCATTTCAACTGTGCCTTGGACGTCTTTCACCATTGGCTTCAACTTGTGCAGTCACCCTCCTCCTCCCCATCACACTAACAGGGACAATCTTGCATGTCAGTCATGGCAGTCAGTTAAGATAAGAGATACTTTATTCATCCCACAGTGGGGAAATTTCAATGTCTCAGCACACATACAGGACAGTAGTAGCATAGAGGGAGAACACACAATATGCAATATGAGTAGACTCTGCTATGTTTCTTAGCTAGCTGTACATGCTTCGTTATTAATCTTTTTGATCTACCTTTATCTAGGGCATATCCGTTCAGAACTATCAGAGTTTAGACCCTGGGGTGATTCACGCCTTCATATTTCTTGCAATATCTCTACCAGGGTCGAGAAAATGGGATGGATGGATATTAAAGATTTTGTGCAGAATGTTCACAATTTTCAATACGTTCAATTTGAGAATGAAATGACTAATTACTTGATCAGCTGAATTTGTATTTTATAACATGGAAAATAAAATATCTTGTCACTATTGAAAATGTACAACCAATAAAAATCTATCCCCAAAGAATGTTTAAATATAAGTCATTTTATGTTTCCTGAGCTGTTTTAGGAAGATTTAGATTTGCAGAAGGACTAGTATAAAACCTTAGTAGTAGGAGTTGGTAGAGATTTTACATAAACCTGCTATTTGGGGAATATTGCGTTATATATTTGATATGACAACATTCCAGAGAGCCTAAAGCTTAAAATTTGGGTGGAGGGCAGCTGGAGAATCTTTCCTGGTAACTATGGAAACTGTCAAAAAAGTCATACTTATAGTCTTAGTTTATCACTAATTTAATTCCTGGGCCAATCCCCATGAAACAAAAGCTGTTTCATATCTTCTTCATCAGTACAAATCAACTATAGTCCAAATATCAGAAGTGGTGTTAAACTGGGAAAACATTTAGACCTTTTCTTTTTATGTCTTTTGATAATGCTTCTTTCCATAAATTCAATTTCAATTAAATATATTCTTGCATAGCCCTAAATCACAACAGTAGTTATCTCAGAGGACTTTACACAACATCTGAATTCGCCAACACTAATCAGAGAATCAAACGGTTCAAACACAAAGAATAGAGAACACATAGGTATTGGTCCATAAGGGGCAGATGACCAATGTCCATAAGTGTTGATGAATGTCCATAAATGTTACAGAAATTTAGAGTTAGGCTTGTATTGACCCCTGTCTGCCCAATGAAATGGAATTCTCAATCATGAACGCACCTACTACAGCCGCACACAGTTGGATCTGCTCGGGATATCTCTTGGCGCACTCGTATGCAGTCCCTGTCGTTGTTTTCCCTGCTCCACTGACAGCAGCGCAGGGAGGAAACAGGAAAGGCCTGAGCAGTTCGGTGTTGGGACGGATATCCTCTCTCAGGCGTGCCCTCCTCCCTCACCAGCTCTCCACTCTCTTTATCTCCTAAGTCCCCTAAGTCGCAGTGGGCTCCGGCTCTGGCACCGCTGGGCAGATCTATAGCTTTATTCTTCTATAGGAGACTTTATCTGGCATCGATATGTGTTGGCACGGAGACGAGGAGGATGAGGACAGCTCTGAGGTGACTTTTGGTCTATTTGGTGATTGAAACGTTTGGATTGATTTGTGTTGAACCTCTTTTCAGACTTTCCACTCTGCTCCCTGTTTTCTTTAGCTTTAAAAATGTTAAAAAAAAACCAGTTATGAAAAGTAAGAGTTTGTTGAGGATCTCAGCCGTATAGAAGTAAACTTGGTTCCAGAAAGAGGAGAGAAGATCCAAAGCACTCTTGGCTAGTTTAATAGAAATCCTTCAAGTAGGAGTGCGACATACCGAAGAAAAAATATTTGGCTTTCATTCGGTTCATGCGGTTGTTTTCGTTTTTTTATCTTAATTGGGGATGTTTTGATTTAATTTTGTTTACAACTTGTTAGACATTTTGATTTGAAGAAGGTTGTAACCATCAAATTCAGCATGGTTAGGTTTTTATACTTTTGTAGGCAATGGAGATCTGTGAAAAACTATTTCGGCTTTTGTCAGTCTACGATTATGAAATTGTTCTTGCTTTTATTCATTTATTTACCAGTGGTTGAAGAATGAATAAACTAAATTAAATGTATTCACCAAGGTGCTTTTCTCCTTGTTGACATTTGACAATTCTTCTCGGTATACTTGCATGGTTTTTTTTAATTGTTTCTCCATTTTCTTCTGAACAGAGTGACCCCGGTGGGCTGACGGTTTTGGAGCAACTCGGTTTGGACCAGAACTCAGACTTTTCCGACTCCAATGTTCAGCAACTTCTGGAAGAGCAACGTGAAAGGATCCGGAGAGAAATCCGCAAAGAGCTCAAGATCAAAGAAGGCGCTGACAATCTGCGACGAGCCACTACTGACAAGAGGAATGCTCAACAGGTGGGAAATCAAACTGGATTATTGTTTTTACTCCTCATGTTGTGATTCCGGCAAAAATACAGCTTTTTTGGAAATTAATTTGTTTAGTGCTGCTTATCTTACCTCACTAATAATGTATAACATCACTGCAAAAATTGAAACTATATCGTAGTTCACTTGTTTCAGTGTATTTATCTAATCTCACCGTTTTTTGGACTTTTTGTACTCATGCAGGCTGAAAATACTTAAGATAATATTAAGGTTATATTTTTTTATTGTTTCAAAAAATCTTAACAAGTGGAAAAATTATGACCCTTACCCTAGCCCTATTTCTTCTTATTTCAAAATTTTTTTGGAGCCACTTTTTGCGGTGATTATGTTGTCAGTTATGGACCTATATCAACAAACACTTGCTTTTGAACATTAAGCCCTGCTTGGCCCTTCTCTATTTTACATGACTCTACTCTTCCCTTTCACGTTGGGTGGTGCGGTGGTTGAGTGAATAGTATTCTCGCTTCTCAGCTTGAAGGTCCTGGGTTTGAATCCTTGTTGGAACAGGGCCTTTCTTAGTGGAGTTTGCATGTTCTCTCCGTATCTGCATAGTTTTCTGTGTGGAGTGGGAGACGGATGCTCAAAGATGACTTTGAGTATCTGACGCTATATTAATAAATATTACTTATTCACTATTTAACTGGTACCAGAGTGCTGCTTATTATTAATTATTTCCCCAGATACTGATTTGTTGATGGTAGGTTGCTAGAATACGGTACCAGATACTATGCAGTTTGAATCACCTTTCACAGTCCTTGTATATGTTAGAGTCTGTGCATAAGGAAGTTGATTGTCTTGATTATTAAAACAACTTTAGATTAGTTGTGATTAATAGAAACACTGGAATTTCAGTCAGGAATGCTATTCTCAACTTTTTCTTTTTATTTTAGATAAAAGAATATGTATATGAACTAACAATAATGCTATAATGATTAAGTACATCATTACAAAGTGGTTATGTTAATATCTCTTTAGGTGGAAAATCAGCTGAGAAGCTCCAATCGCAAACTGGACGATCTACACGCTCAGCTGCAGGAACTGGACGCCTACATTGTGGTCAAAGGAGGAGACGAGAATAAAGGTATGTCAAATATATTTTCAGGACTTGTTATGATGTAATCCTGAAAATATTGTGTTATAATTAATTTGTTTCATATTGATGAATCTGTCATTTTAATCATTTCTATTTTTTTGTTTTTGTTTAATGAGTCACTTTCTTTTCAGACGAATGCCCACAGTCTCCTGGGGCAGAGAGTCGGACCTCAGCTCACAAGGAGCGCATCGCGGCCCTGGAGCGACAACTCAACATAGAGCTGAAAGTCAAACAGGGCGTCGAAAACATGATCCCAATCTATGCAAACGGATCCACTAAGGTATACATGTCTGTACATTTGCAGCGATTATCAGGCTGGATGTGGTGTGGTTTGTTTATCAGGGACCATGATCTATCATAGAGACTAAAGTATCGAACACAAACATACAAGATGAGCGACATTTAAGCTGGAGGACTTAACTTTTTCCCTCCTCATAGATAATCTGTGTTGTTTGTCCCAACAGAAAGAGTCTTGCTGTTGTGAACCAATCGGAACATACTGTCTTCATCTTATTATAATACACGTTATCTTTTCAATACTTGTAAGAAGGAGCTCTGTGAGTCCTCATTTGACGCTGGGGCCCGTTGAATTCGCCAACACAGATCAGAGAACCATACAGTTAAAAAACAAAGAATACAGAACACAACGGTATTGGTCCATAGAGACATTTGTCAAGTATCCTTAAGTAAGTTAAAAATACTTATCTTACTGTGAAAACTTATGATGGAACCAAACTGTTTTAGAGCCATGAACTCAAGAGATGTATTTTATTACATATTACACGTTTTGGAATTGACAGCCACTACTGTACACAGGTACTCTAGCTTTAACTACCGCAAAGATGTACAAGACACATCCCTCCCCCAACATGAACCTACATGATGCATGCTTTTGCTGACAAAGACAACTCTCACTTAATGTACATAAGTGATGATATAGAGCCCTGCCTACATTGCCACCATTACCTCCTATAGGCAGCATCAGCTTTACATTTTTATGTTGTAATTATGTAGTAGTTTTATATTGAATGATGTTGTAAGATTTAGTTTGAATCCTAACATGGAATTCAATGGCATATTACAAACTTATTTTCTCCAGGATAAGAAGATGTTGCAGACAGCTCAGCAGATGCTTCAGGACAGTAAGACCAAAATTGACATCATCCGGATGCAGGTTCGCAAAGCTGTGCAGGCCACGGAGCAAAATGACGACACACAAGGTAATAAACGTTGGTGAAATAGTCAAATGTAGACGTTTACCTTTGGAGTAATGGGATGGTGCGTGAGATGGTGCTATGTTGCTGTTGTTTCCCAAGCCTCAGTGTTTGCAGACAACAGAAATACAATATCTCCAACAAATCAATAATAACTCAACTTTGAAAAGGCGGACCGACTCTCGGCTCTGAGCTACTCCTGCTTCAGTCAGTTGAGTCAATTAATGGTTTCTGCTAAACACGTTCCAGGACTGTTTCTTTTCATCCTAATGGTTATTACTCATACCTTTTTGCGTTTTTCTGGTTTGATAACGTGAAGATCATGCAACGCTTGTGGGTGGAGGTTGAAGACATTTGCTTGCTATGATTGTGCTGTTAATTCACATTTTTCCTAACCCATTATAATAATTGTACAAATTGTGGAGAGTTCCTAAGAACAACAATCCAGCTGAAATACTTACTGGTATATTTACTGATTTCAAGCTGTTTTGTGTGGTGAAGTGGATTGGGCTTAAAGTTAGCATTTTAAAAACAAAATTTGGCATTTCTGTCTGTGGTGGAGCAGTTATTGGTTACTTTAGGTGAACAGCTAACGATCAGTGTTACTAAGTGGACTAAACAAGAAACATTATGGCCTCGCCCATCTCCGTGCACTGACTGTGTGAAAGAGACAGTATCCAGGCACCACACCCACTGCAGAGGTCATGTAGCCAGGACTGGACTGCAGACAGAGCACCTTATTTGGAGATAAAAGCGTGCACATTCATCTGTACTACTACCCCCACTTCTACTTTTTCTGCTCCTGTTTCATACATAGTTTTAGGTTTTGAATCAGTGGTTGCTTCTCATCAGCAGTAACAGTATAATTTTCACATTGTGGGCAAATGTATTTTAGAATTATGTTGTCATCTGTGTCTTTATCATACTGTCGTCTCTTCCCTAAAGGATTGTTCTGTTTCTATGTCATTAAATCAACCACTGTGGAGCATCTTAAGTGCTTTCTTCTGCCATGTTCTAATTGCATCACTTGTTTCTCTGTTAATTGATAGCAGGGCATGACTTTACACCGAAATAACCCACTTAGCTTTCAATTGAAGACATGTATTCATTATTGAATATCAGTCAAATAAATGTCATTAAACGAATATGTATATGTGCAAAACAGTCGAATTTTAAGCTTCTTCCATCTTATTCTTGCATAAAGCTTGACTTGGATTTAGTTATGAACGTAACTTGTTTAATCAGTCCAAATATCATTTTTCGTGAACTGTTAGATACCTGTAGTGTCAACATTGATATTCGTGGTAGAGTTGTGACTCTACTCACCAGTATCATATAGTACTTTAGGTTAGAGTATTTTGACATTAATTCCTTCTGCTAAAGGAACCAAATATGCTCAGGACCCAGACATCCATCCATCCATCCATCCATTTTCTACCCCTTAATCCATTTCTGGGTCGGGGGGTGGCCAGAGATGCCACCCAGTACACATAGCACCAGCCCCTCACTGATCCTCCTGCAGGTGGTGAGTCCACAGGAGGATGGCTGCTCTATGGCATAGCCTTGATCTTTCAGCAGGGGCTTTAGGCAAAGTGGGGTTAAGTGTCTTGCCCAAGGACCCAACAACAGTAGTCATCAGACATGTCCAGGAAAACCAGGTACCACAGGTACCAGTAGGTCCTTCACACAGAGGAAGGATCAGCCTGCCACTGAAGCTGCTCTCCAGAGGGATCACAGACAATCCTCCTCTGTAAATGAAGTTAATAAATTTTATGTCAGGTAAAGATCACCCAGGACTAACCTGACCCCTAGCACCAGAGGACAGTTCAGACGTTCTGACTTATTTTTTTTTCAGGTAACCATGACTTGTGTGGAGTAGAGCTGCGCATAGAGGAGCTGAGGCATCACTACAGGGTGGAACATGCTGTGGCTGAGGGGGCCAAAAACGTTCTTCGCCTTCTGGGTGCCAGCAAGGTCCAAGACAAGAAGGCTCTGTCAGAGGTGATCACACATCCATTTAAAAGTCCCCAAGGCAGATTACTACAAACTAAGCTCCTTTTGCCTGTGTTCCTCCAGGCACAGACTCGACTGAGCGAAGCTTCTCAAAAGCTGGATCTTCTGAGAGACTCTTTGGACCAGCGCCTTGCTGAACTGCCAGAGGACCATCCCAAAGCGAATGTCATCAAAGAGGAACTTGTCCTGGCCTCTTCTCCAGCCTTCAGCTCTCGTCACGGCGCCCCCTACCTTCATAACCAGTACAGCACGTTAAACAAGCCATCACCTCTAACTGGTAGGTCACAGTTATGAAGGTATTCTATGTTTTGAGCTTTTATGATACAATTTGAATTTTTGGTATTGTTTGTGTGTGTGTGTTCTTAGGTACGCTACAGGTACAGCTGGTGGGATGTGTGGGTCTGCTGGAGGTGGTCCCAGGTCGCTGTAAAGCCACTGCTGTGATGTTACCCTGCTACAGCCCCGGAGACTCCAAATCCTTCATGAGAGGAAGCAAAGGGCTGTACGGGCGCAGCGGCTCTGTCAGTGGAAAAACACCCAGCAAAACAGACGAGCTCTCTGGTAAGTTCCCCAATAACATTTTCTTTAATATTGTATGGAAGAAATATCGCTTTTACTAAAACAACTTCCTCCATAGCAAGTTCATTACTTATGTTTTTGCAATTTTTCACTTCCAATTGTTTGAAAATTCATCCTGTCAAAAGTTATATTAAAGCTGGGTTAAATAACTTATTTGTTACATAAATGATACATTCTAAAAGTAAAATATTGTGAACAAATCCATTATTTATATTATTTGAAAACATGTTCTCTTTTGCATACTTGAGAACCTTGAGAGTCATTATTCGACACTTATGGACTGAGAGATGATTTACTGAGTGAGGGTGGTCCTATCTTTTGCATTTTTCTCTCTGAAAAAGACTGATTTCAGAGACTGACTGGTGAAAAGACAGAAGCCATGTGGGCCATTAAATATGCAAAAAATGTTTCCGTAGCTGGGTAAAAGGCCAGAGTTATAGTATTTTGTGTAACGATCACCTGCAGTCATGTCTTTCACTGTTAAAGCTGAAGTACCTTAAAAATTGCTCATTTCAATGCAAAGTAATACATCTATCTAACTTCTATTACTTGTTTTAACATGCATGTATTTTTGCTTTTAGTTTAATAATAATATTAAAATATTAATAAAAAAATAATAATAGTAATAATAGTTTGCAAAAGAGAAATTGTTTTCAAATAAGATACAAACAGAGTGTTGTTGCAGTAACATGATGTGAACAAACTACACCACAAAACAATAATTTTTATTTTATTGTCTTCATAAAAAAAATAAAAGTTTGGTCCTCCAGCTTTAAACCAGGTTCTATGCCCTTTTGCAGTTGAAGTGAGTGCAGTTTTGAAGCTGGACAACTCTGTGGTGGGACAAACGGCCTGGAAGACCGTAGGGGAACAGGCGTGGGACCAGACCTTCACTGTAGAGTTGGAGAGGGTCTGTACATATACGCTGTCATGACTTAGCATGAAGGAAACATTTCCAATAATAATTATGTGTGTGTTTAGACTCGGGAGATGGAAATCACTGTTTACTGGAAGGACTATCGCTCGCTATGTGCCCTCAAATACCTGAAGCTGGAGGAGTTTCTTGACAACCAAAAACACAGAGTCCAGCTGGAGCTAGAGCCACAAGGCCTTTTGTTGGCTGAGGTACACACAAGTATAAAGCTATTCTGTGTTATTTTTTCCCTGCTCTAACACATTTTTTGGTGGAATATTGGTGTTCAGGCCAATAACATGAAAGTTCAGAAGGCCCTGTAACTGGCCAGTGTTAATGCAAAAGCTTAGATAGCATGGATTTTCTTATTTAGATTTACAATTTATTATCTACTTTCCTTTATGGGTGCTGCAACATAGACATTTCTCCACTGTGGAATGATGAGTAAAGGTTCTCTTATCTTATCTCAATAACAGTTATGATGTTTTTTTTTTTTTATATATATATGTATGGTTTATCATCAGTAATTTTCACTCCCCACAGAGTTCTTATTTTACAAAACACTTATTTTGTAAGTAAATAAATAAGTGATAACGGTGCTTCCCTCACTTAAACCACAGTTCTAAATATAAATGACAAAAAACATGTTAGTCCAGAGTTTTAAAGACAGAAATTGCTCATTTCAAAGGAGCGATCTATACGGGGGACTGAAGAGCTTTGGCCAGATGGTCCATGCTTTCAAATGCTAAAAATCCTCCCAGTTCTGTATTATGCGTTCACCTATTCACGCGTCTGAAGCTGTCCCTCACACCTGTGGCTCAAACACTTTGATACGGGTCACGTAAAAGCCTCCGACAAATGTGTTTGTGTGGTGTCATCTTTTCATGTTTGGTGAGGTTTGTTTGTGTGTGTTCCAGGTGACCTTTTTTAACCCTGTGATCGAGAGAGTGCCTCGTCTGCAGAGGCAAAAGAAAGTCTTCTCCAAACAGCAAGGTGACTTTACCAGAAGGAGATTGTAATGAGAGCGTGTGAAACTGTTTGATATGTTTTGGAAACTTTGGGGGATTTCTCTTGGACAATAGCACATGCAGTTTTATATAGTTCTCCAACTCCCTCTTGTGGCCAAAATACACTATTTTGTGCAAATATCCTCAAAGAATACATGTGATGTATATATATATTTTATGAAACCAAATGCAAACATACGCAGGCCCAGAACAACAACTAAATAAGCTCCAAATAGATTAAAAATAACAAAGACAAAAACACACAAAAATGTGTTCCATGTTTTAATGGAGATCTCATAAGATAAGATAGATATTGATCTCACAATGGAGACATTTACACATTTGGCATAGATAGAATCACTCAGATTGTGCAAAAGGCCAGAAATGTGCAACATGTAAGGTTAAAAATATAGTCTGAATATAATTACAATAGCAGTGCTGGTTCTTCAGTCCTAGTGCAGGTCATTAGTGACTTAAAGTGACTTATTGTACAGTCTGACAGCGGTGGGGATGAAGGCATCGTGTAGAGCTCATATACTCTAGAGCTAAATAGGTGATGTCTATGAATGTCGGGTGTTGAATACCCACTGCAGGGTGAGGGGGCTTCCATCTTAATACACATGGTAGTTTATTGCTGTCATTGACTGTGTGTTTATGTGTTTACAGGCAAAGCTTTTCTTCGAGCTCGTCAGATGAATGTAGACATTGGGACGTGGGTGAGGCTTCTCAGAAATGCTATTCCCACAGTCAACAACTCCGGCACCTACAGTCCGAACGCACACAGCCTCACACTGAACAGCGGGTACAACTCTCTAAATATACATCATGTCATGAACCTGCTGCTATCATTCTCCTCGAGCCTTTTTCCTTTTGTTTCTGGGTAAAATACACCCATCTCCTCTCCATCATTTAATGCTCCGATATGTCTTCTTGTTGTCATTGTCTGTCTGCGTCACCCATTGGTGCATTTGTCCCTGTGAATTTTTCAGGGAGATCTCAGTGGAAAAGTTGAGTTTGGACGACTCTCCCATTAAAGGCGATTACAAGAGAGAAGTGGATATACAAACCCCGGTGAGATGGACAGAAAAAGTTCATTTACCAGATTTATTTTGATTTGTCAAATTATTTATCATGAAAGAAACAAGATTATGAGAATACATTTTCAATAAGATTTTACTATTTTCTTCCACTAAACACATTTTGGAAATAAAAATCTATAAAGACGAGCAGATGGATATGCTATTTCTACTCATCCTTTGTGAAATCTTAACAATTACATATTGTCTGATTCATTGTCTATCTGATGTTCTTCATATTTCCTCTATGTGTTGTCCTTGCATGGTTCCCCTCTCAGGACCGACTGCAAGCCATTGACCCCATATCTCCCCCAAACCTCCCCTCAGAGAGCCATGCCCAAACCCCACCCATTAGCAGGTACACAGTGCTTCCAAAAGAGTCCGCTGTACATTTGTAACAGTGTGGATACATATGACTAACCTATGTATTTACAGTAAGCAAAGAAGAGGACCACTTTCCCTGCAAGATTTTAGATTGATAGCTGTGCTGGGAAGAGGACATTTTGGAAAGGTTTGGTCAAAATATCAGAACGTATTTTTTGGCATCAACCCAAAACTAATCTTTTTCTCTCCACAGGTTTTGTTATCAGAATACAAAAAGACAGGAACAATGTATGCCATTAAAGCACTAAAAAAGGGGGATATCGTAGCACGAGATGAAGTTGAAAGGTAAAAACTTCAATCAACTCGCAACTGATTCACAAACAGCTTATCATTTGTACACCTCTTAACTCCCTTCTTTATGTTTGTTCAGCTTGATGTGCGAAAAGCGTATTTTTGAGACCGTAAACCTGTCCCATCACCCTTTCCTGGTGAATCTGCTGGCCTGTTTCCAGACTGCGGAGCATGTGTGTTTTGTCATGGAGTACACAGCGGGGGGCGACCTCATGATGCACATTCACACTGACGTCTTCACCGAGCCGCGGGCCGTGTACGTGTCTGTGTAGATACTGCATTTTTGTTTGTTTTGATTTTTGCCACATGCAGTGCATACTAGGCCTGCACAATATTAGGAATAAGTGTGATATGCAATAGTGATTTTAAGAAATACAATTGGTTTAAATACTCCCATGTAAAATGCAAGTAACTGTGGGAGAGGGGGGGCTGTAAAAAAAACAGTAAATGGTGAGTGGGGAAGGGCAGAGGTTGGGAAAATGCTAAAATTCACTGTTACTACTCAATTTAGCTTGCTTGAATCTCTTTCTATGTATTTCCTTTTGGTGTTTACTGTGTGTGCCTGTGCTGTATTAGTAGCCACTGTTTGAATCATCCAAATTTTATACAGTATATGTATAACAGGTGAGGCATGGCTAGGCAAGTAGCAGGGATATAACAGGGTGTATTCATGCTTATGCTGATGTCACTTCAGGTTTTATGCGGCATGTGTCGTTCTTGGGCTTCAGTTCCTCCATGATCATAAGATTGTATACAGGTGAGTGAGTTTGGTTTCCTAATAGCAAATATTGACTTCAAAATGACCTCCGCTACCGATCTTTTTCAGGGACCTTAAGCTTGACAACCTTCTACTCGGCACGGATGGCTATGTCAAAATAGCTGACTTTGGCCTTTGTAAAGAAGGTGCGTTTCCTTTTACAGTATTCAGTGTTGGAGAATTACTGGCATTCACAAATCTATACATTGTGATGTTTGATCATTTTAAAATGTGACTTTCATAATTTATTAAGTGTTTTAGTTTTTTATTTGAATAATGAAAAGGCCCAGGAACAGTGGAAAAGAAAGTTCTGATCCTGTGTCCATTTTAACTATGTTGTTCTGGAAATAACCATTCAGAAAACCCAACTCTGATTGGACCACGTCACAAAATATAGTCCAAAATAAAGCAGGAATTCCATGTTCTGTAACTAAATACATTTGCAAAGTATTCTTCCTCCCCATCATCGACATTTCAAACAAACCTTAATCTTATTTTTATTTTCTTTCTCATCATATCTTTTGTAGGGATGGGTTTTGGGGACCGGACAAGCACATTCTGCGGCACCCCGGAGTTTTTGGCCCCAGAAGTTCTGACTGACACGTCGTACACAAGGGCCGTGGACTGGTGGGGCCTCGGGGTCCTCATCTATGAAATGTTGGTGGGAGAGGTGAGAAGTGGTGATGTTCAGTGCAAGGATAGTTTATTGCCCAGCCAAACTTTACCAAGTCTGGATATAACTACAGTTCAAACAGTACAAACTAGATCCAATTCATAACTGATGCAGAATTTAAGTAGTAGACGACAAACCAGGAAGAAATCAGACAGTACAATAAGTCACTTTAATGTTTAATGTTTTTTCACTCACAAATGTCGTGTCTGGACAATATTATGAACTGTGAGAATTGTTCCTTTGTTTGGCGCAGTCCCCATTTCCAGGAGATGACGAAGAGGAGGTGTTTGACAGCATTGTGAATGATGAAGTGCGTTACCCACGATTCCTTTCTACTGAGGCCATTGGCATCATGAGAAGAGTAAGTCCTTTTTGTTACAATGACAACAAAATACACACATCTTGCTGTCTGTCTATTTATATCTGCGTGTAGATACAGGGCCTCTGGAAAGTACTTAAACTTCACATTTTCACACGTCTATCTCCGCCGTTCTAACTAATGTGCCACAACTTCTGAGGTCTATGGGCAGTTTCAAAATGGCCGCGGGGACTGGAAAGATTCACGGCGACTAAACCAGACTGGTCCAAAAAAATTCACCCCCCTCAGCATTGACACACATGTGGAACATAGCTTTGAGCCAAGAGCCAACTTTTGGACCATCCTGTAAAGACGTTTTTGAGAGGTCAGTTAATGCTATACGTTAGCATTGAATAATTCTTCTTCTGGATCGGCCCAGGGTGGTATTGCAAGCATGTCATATTGACCATTTTTGAGCTGGGACCCGCCCCCACTGGTTCACAACCATAAATGATTAAATATACCATAAAGATTTTATTTAGACTTTTTTAAACTGAAAGTTCACACACAAGTAACACACACACATATAAAGTCACATCACATCAGATAAAATAGGTAAAACTATGAAAAGATATAGGGCTGGGTGCAGATGTAACCAGCTGAAGAAGCGCCATCCAAGGAACCATCTGCACCAGGAGCAGAGAGCCGGATGCAGCCACAAGGGACGACACAGGACCCAGAGGAGAGAGGACGCCCCGGACGCCCCAGACCCCCACCCCCAGTATTAGCATGAGTTAATACTTTGTGGAACTTGCTGGAAAAAGTCTTTTTGGGTTATGACTCTACAAGATCTGGAGACAAAAAGTATAGCCCATTCCTATTTACAAAACAACTCAAGGTTTGTCAAATTAGATGGAGAGCGTTTGTGAACAGCAGTTTTCAGGTTTTCCAAAGATTTTCTGTTGGATTTAGGTCTGGACTCTGACTGGGCCATATTTCGTTTTAAACCATTCCATAGTACATATCCCGCTCCATCTCTGTGTGGAGTGAGAGGACAAATGCCCAAAAAATAACAATTGTGAACCGCTTTGTGACTCTGGTTTGTGAAAGGCGGTATATAAATAAAGATTACTTACTTATTGTAGATTTAGCTTTGTTTAGGGTCATTGCCCCAGAGCCAATTGTCTTGTATTTGCTCCATGTATCTTCCCAATTGTTCCTCCACTCTTCCCAAGCCCCACTGAAGAAATGCAGCCCCATAGCATGAGGCTCTCCCCACTATATTTGACACTAGGAATGGTGCACTCAGGATTGTTGGGTTTGCGCCAACAATTTTGCGTTTGATCCAAAAAATAGCTGTGTCCCCCATAAGACTTCTGGAAAACTTCAAACAAGATTTCTTATGGCCTCGTTTCAATAATGGATTTCTTCTTGCCACTTGTCTGTAAAGGCCAGATTTGTGTAGAGTACGACTGATGGTCGTCCAATGTACAGATTCCTCCAGCTCAGCGACAGTACTTCCAGAGTCGTTTTGGGGTACTTGGTCGACCAGGGCATTCTTTGTTTGATCTGTGAATTTAGGTGAACAGCTGTGTGTTGGTAAGTTTGTAGTGGTGACATTCTCTTGCTATTTTTAATGATGGATAGAACAGTGCTCCGTGAGATGGTCGTATCTTGGGAATTCTGGGTATAACTCGACTCTGCTTTAAACTTCTCCACAACTTTATCCCTGACCTCTCCTCATGATGTTGTTCAGTGACCAATACACTCTGACCATAGCTCTGAGGCCCTCACAGAACAGCTGTATTTATACTTAAAGTAGATTACACACAGGTGGCCTCTAAAAGCAAGGTGTGAACATCAGCAGTCATTAGGAATGTTTTAAGTTAATGCACTCAAATAACAGCATCATGTATCATTTTTTTCACTTCACATTTGCCTGTAAAAAAAATCTAAACAAAATGTTTATGTGTATGGTTGTAAACGTGACAAAATAGGCAAAGGTTCAAGGTGTCTTTCGAGAGGCACTGTATATATGTGTGTGTGTGTGTGTCTGTGTGTGTGTGTATATATATACACATATGTATATTATACACATACACACTCATCCTTACTGACATTTGTAAATCACACTTCAGCTGCTACGGAGGAACCCTGAGCGGCGACTTGGCTCTGGTGAAAAAGATGCAGAGGAGGTGAAGAAGCAGCCTTTCTTCAGGGTGAGACATGAATACATTTGACACTGTTATAAACATTTATCCTCCCACCAAAGGATAAGCAAACAATTTACTTTAAAATCTTTTAATTTAGGTAAAACCAGAACCAATTTCAACACAGATACTAGTTACTATTAGTAACCTGTTGCTGGTTGGCTAATATAGTATGAATACTGGGTTAGGATTAGAGTTACCATACCACTTAGGGCTAATATTTTACTGCTGTTTTTTTCTCTAGAACGTGGACTGGGAAGCGCTTCTTCAGAAAAAGGTCCCTCCACCGTTTGTGCCCATTATCGGCGGCAAAGAAGACGTGAGTAACTTTGACGAGGAGTTCACCACAGAAGCTCCCACCCTGACTCCTCCTCGAGAGCCACGCGTTCTCTCCCGGAAAGACCAGGAAAGCTTCAGAGACTTTGATTACGTCTCGGACCTCTGTTAGTGAAACAGGACGCTGATTATGACCCTAAAGAATGTGTCAAGGCTTCGAATGGAGCTGCTATATCATCCCTTCTGACAGTCTACGATTATTACACTGTGAATGGAGAGAAGCTGCCGGATTTTAACAGACTGATCATTTTAAGGAAAGCTGATGAGTTAAACTTAGCTCAAAATTTGGCAATCATGGTGGTAACTACCATAATGATTGGTCCATTTATTGTATGACACATCATCGACTGAAGTACATTCAAAACAGTAGCCTTTTTAATAATTTGTTATCTGTGCAGCTCTGAGAGAAGAGGTTTGCTGAATCTTTGTACTGTTATCTATTTGAAGGTTATTAAAATCCTCTCATACTGTTGCCTTACATTTTTACATGGGATCAAACCACTATAAGGAATTTGTTTTATGTAGACTTTTTTATTGTTTTAATTTTCTTTTAGATAGTGGTTGTCAAGAAAATGTTTAAATCTGACTGGGCAGGTAATAAAATAATAACAGGGTAAAACAGCTGTCAATTTTATGAACTTGTTGTATTTTCTTTAATAATACAAGCTATAGTTGGTAAAGACAATAATGCATGTTTTTTGGTTCAAACACAAGTAAATATTAAACATATGGCATGTTGGTAACGGTCTTCATGTGTTCTATATTGTTGGTAAAAAGTTATCACATCATCCCAATTATTTGTGTTTTTCCACAAATCAATAACATAACCACGTATTGCACGCTAACACTCATGCAATACTTTTGACCACAAATCAAATTGGAATGGCTATTGCTATTCTAATCAACTCAAGTTTGTCAATCAGAATTCACAAAGAGTCAGAATATGCAGAAACTTGAAGGTGCATTGCACTACTTTTTGTTTGGTTCATCTAAATCTTTTTTTGCCTTCTACAGTATGGCTCTAAACTTTACACTGGAAACGAGCATTAACTTCAGTATGCTAATAATTTAGTTATATCAGTAGGTATTTGCTGGATCTTTCATTTTTAAGCATGAAATCAGCCATAATCAAATAATGAACATGTTTTAAGCCAAACTGAGTGTCCTTCAAAAGCAACATATCTGTGGCGACAAAGCAGATAGTGGACCCAATCGGAAAACACGGCACCTTACTCTTTGAAAGTCTTGTATTCTAGAAGAGATGAAAGAACAAAAACTGCCACTGCCAGGTATTATTATTTTCTGTTTACCACCACAAGAATACAGTTGCTTAAAAATAGTATTATGATGACATATTCCCAGTAAATGTATATTCCATGACTTCCCAACACTGGTGATGAACCTGATAACTAATCAGGTATTCCCATATTTATTCTCATTCAAATGCGTGCGTGGCTTGTCTGCAGTGAACGCCACGTCCGCACGGGGCAGTATTGAGTCACTACATGAAGCTGCTGCTCAGTTTTTCAAGATGTCGTCGCTGGAACAGAGGCTTTCGCGAATTGAGGAGAAACTAAAACAAGAAAATGAAGAGGCTCGGCGAAGGATCGACATTAACATCGACATGAGTCCACATCGGTCACGCCCCCCCAGGCCAAGTGAGTGCCCCCCAATATTTAACCCAGCGTCTGTATTCACCAAAATAAAAGGGAAAACGGCGCGAGGCGGAGGAAGGTGCTATCCTGCTACATGCTAACAGGCTAGCTACATAAACAAACACGAACCACTTTATCGGAAAGTGTGTCGTGGTATTTGTTGTAAATGATTTGCTGGTGATGAATCCTATTTGCCATATTATTAATGTAGACTGGCTGTCATCTCACCTTTCCCTCTGTAACCTTAGATCTGTTTGTATTGGATCAGTCCTGTCAAACATGCTAAGATGTTAGCCCTATGTGAGAAGTCAGCCAACAGCCACGGGCCTATGTGGCTCCCAGGATTTATAAAATGGAATTCACTGCAAAAAAACAGACTCCGCTTAGACCTGTTTCTCTAGATTGGAAAAACCTGCTTGAAACTAAATGGCCTCACTTCTTGGTTAAACAATTTCCTTTCTCTGCGTTTCATGAGGGTTTTTAATAATGTGAATCTCCAAATGTTCAGTGTGTTTTTGGCAATTGACAGCAACATAACAGAATTGTTCATTTGACATAATGTTGCATATATTTCAAATTACAGAATTAGTGAAAATCATGAATGGTTACGGATTATTGACAGTCATTGAGCACAATCAATTTCCATTTTTGTCTTATTTTTAACTCTGTCACATTGATGTATGAATGTAACATTATAAATATTGGCTGAAATTATTACTAAGTGCATTACTGTTTCTCTTAAATTGGTCAGCAGTGTGCTGGATGGGTGGTAAGAATTGTATTGCTTATATCTGAACATTTCATTCATGATTGTAAAATATATTTGTGTACTATGTCTGCTTTACATGTTCCATAAATGTACATATGTTGTACAATGTTTTTTATGTTTGATATTATTTTGTCATGATGGGTGTCTGAGGCTGTGCGCCTATAGTGCAGTAATGTATGTGTGTGTGTATATTTTTTATCCTGTGTCCAGTCATCGTGATCCAGCTCAGTCCTGCTCCAGCTCCCTCCCAACGCGCAGGTATCATTCAGTCATCGCTCTCTCTGCCACTGCACCACTTTATCATCTCCCAACTTTCTCACTCATCTTCTCTATTAGATTACTTCCCCAACTGTTGTGTGAATGTTTACTCTCCACTTTAAAAATCATTAATTACATCCATCAACCGCTGGTAGGTTTTGATTCAAATTATACCATTTTATAGTTCCAACTTGTACTCCAGGTCTTCATCTTTTCTGTCCTTTGCACCTCAACGCAAATCACATATTTTCCATTCACCTTCAGTCTGTGTGTCTGTGGCAGTGGCAGGTAGTGTTGTGTGTTTAGACAACACAAGCGTGTGCTGACATGTGTCAGAACATTAACCTTCGTTTTGCTGGAGGCCAAGAACCACAGTGCATGTGGCTTTAATGCACGGCATATTGTGTTGGTTTTGTTTTGTTTTACTTTGTCTCCTAATTAAGCTTCCTCTGGTCAATCGACAGGAAAGTACATGTTTCTTTTACCTTGACTGGAATCCCAAGATTCTTTGTCTATGAACTGAACAGATCTGTGGTCTTTTTCTGCTATTAAACACGAGTAATGTTTGTCTTGTATGCATCCCTCTGATTTCTCCAACAGCAGCAATGTGAAAGCTGGAGTCTGTGTCTGCTGATGTCTTTTTCTTGCTCTATCTTGACAATTGTGCTTTTCTGTGTCTGCCTGAAAGCGAAGGTTATGGAGATACAACCAAAGACTCTTCTTAAAAACTAACATTTCTCTTTCTAACTGAAGTCCCTTTGCAGGCCTGTCTATGTGGGTGACTCACGGAGACGCACACCTGAAAGCATGCCCAGTTTATAACTCGACTTGTTTAAGTCTCAAGAATGTATTCCCAAGTCATTGTTTAAATGTTTTGGGAATTGGTATTACTATTCAGCGATTAGTACTGAACTTATTCATATTTTGCATGTGGCATGCATGTTTTGGTGCTGCAATATATATGTCTAACCTTGTATGTAATACAAATGTTTACAATGTCTCTATCTTTAACATAAACACAAGTGAAAAGCAGCCTGTTTATATTGTGAAATGGTGAAGGTCACTGGAGTAAACAGTACAAGTTAAAGATAGCTCCTGATCCATTACTTCATCTCTGCTGTTATACAGAAAAACTTGGCTAAGTTTCAGACTTAATCCAACTTTTATTTGGGTCGAGAGTAAAATAATGATTAACCCTACTTGTCTAACGGTTATTTTCTCAATAATCAACTCTGCCTTTGCTTTAGTATACCAGTGTCCAGACTTTAGCAAAAATACACAAACCTGTATGAAAAGTGTCCAAGGGCCATGTTGTAAATTGGAGAAACCGTCTGACCTCTCAAAGAGTATATTTCTCACAGTGTTGTTTTGGGAATCCAGCGTTTTGTAAACTTTATTCATCTGCTTAAAGAAGCCCTGGACTTTATCTATTTGTTATAATTAATGGCACACGTGTCCTTTAGCACTTCCACTGCCACTGGCCAACGATGGAGGCAGCCGCTCATCCTCATCTGAGAGCTCACCCCAGCACCATCCACACCTCAACCGGCCCAGGAACCTGCTCACCCTCCCCACGCCACCATATGGACAACAGAAGAGCCTAGAGAAGTAAGTGGCAGAATTAAATTTTTAAAGATATTACCGTCCTCTTTTATTTTAATGTTTCACACTAAAAGATACATACTTGTGGCATAGTAGTGCAGCGATTGATACTTGTGGTTTCTGTATGGCGTTTGCATTTTCTCCCCATGTCTGCATATGTTTCCTTTGGGTGCGCCCTCTAAAATATGTACAATAGTTCAGTGTGAATGAGTGTGTTTGTGGGACAACAAATCAAAACTTTGCTCAAGGCTACAATCCAGATATAATTCGTTAACATGTACTGTCGCAACCAAATAACAAAATCATTTAAAGTTGCATATAGTTAACCCACTTAACCATTTGTTATGGCGTATACTAAACAATACTACTGCTGCTATGTGTTACAGTGCAGAGATAGACCAGAAATTGCAAGAGATCATGAATCAAACAGGTTATCTGAAGATTGACGGTCAGGTAAGTGTACTAGTTACAGCAACAACAAAAGTGTTCTATATTTGGCAACAAAAGCGATAATGGCAATAATTGTTTTCCCTTCTCAGCGTTATCCGGCCGAGGTGACAGATCTAATCAGTGAAGGAGAGATTGGCAATGGGACATGTGGACAGGTCTTTAAAGTGCGCTTTAAGAAGACTAACCATGTTATTGCTGTCAAGGTATGTGAATGCCAACATTTATCCGACTCACGTAAAATGATGAATATACCTACAAACAAGACAAGAGGACACTGATGCATTAAAAGCTATAGGCTGGCAGTAATAAGTGGAATAGATCAGACTGAAATGACACAAGTCGGAGTTTGATAATGTGCAGAGTTTGACAATGACACATTTAAAGTTAACTGTTGTGTTGCTATTAAGACCTTGTGTATTTGTATGCTATGTCATTGTAACCAATGACAACCGTGGATAATTTTTATATAGTTTGAACTAGGGATGCACCGATACCACTTTTTTCAAAACCTATATGAGTACCTTAATTTTAGTACTTTCCGATACCGATGCGAGTATTGCATTGTATTTTCTCTGGGAGTAAAGAAAATGCTGTAACAATTAAGCATTTTAGCAGTCAACAATAAGAGCCACTGTCATATTCCACTCATACATATGGCACAAAGTTTAAACTTGATTAGATAAGGCTTCGCCAAAGTTTGTTGTAGAGTTAGGTGTTTTTGTGCTCGGTGCTAGCAAAGGTGTTGGTGAGGTATTAGGTGTTTGATTAAGTTTCTGGTGTTATACGTGTTTGTTGGATCCATCTCGGGTTCACTCTTGTTTACTTAAAACAAAAACTGACGACTAATGTACGTAATAAATGTAGGCATCGGTTGCCAGAATCAGGTCCTATGGTATGAGTATGAGTACAAGCCTATTGTATCGATCCGATATTGTTATTGGTGCATCCCTAATTTGAACATGTAATTTCTCGACATTAATCTTAAAGTGACTTCATTCATAAATATAAATGTATACATTTTTCTCTAGCTTTTGTCTTGCATTTCACTATTTCGCTTAAAAGTTGGCTGATTTTTTAAATGCCTCTTTGTAGCACATATTAGAGGCAAAAATAAAGTAAAGAATTTGGTAAATGACAGATAACAGAAAATATACATTTCTCAAACATGCATGAATATTTTTCTTTTCTTTACTGCAGCAAATGCGTCGAACAGGAAACAAAGATGAAAACAAACGAATTCTTATGGACCTAGATGTTGTGCTCAAGAGTCATGACTGCCCCTACATTATTCAGTGCTATGGAGCTATAGTTACTAACGTGAGTATGTTGAAAAAAGTACAATATTACACTACACTACTTTTTTAGTGCCTTGGGCGTGACTGAATCAGTGTTTATTTTCAGACTGATGTATTTATTGCCATGGAGTTAATGGGAACATGTGCAGAGAAGTTAAAGAAGAGAATACAAGGCCCCATCCCAGAGTCAATCTTAGGAAAAATGACAGTAGCTGTAAGTAAATGCTATAGTATCTTAAACATTAAACACATGCTTTTGTAATGCTTGTTGTTTTTCATTATCAGATAGTAAAGGCATTGCTATACCTGAAGGAGAAACATGGTGTAATACACAGAGACGTCAAACCCTCCAACATCCTTTTAGATGCCAAGGGTCAGATCAAATTGTGTGACTTTGGCATCAGCGGGCGACTCGTCGACTCCAAGGCCAAGACGCGCAGCGCTGGCTGTGCTGCATACATGGCAGTGAGTGCTGGACTTAAATATGCATTTATCAGTGTGTTGCTGCATGCAGTGATTATTTTGTCACATGGGAAAAATCTATAAACTGTATGTTTCAGCCTGAGAGAATAGATCCCCCAGATCCCACCAAACCAGACTATGACATTCGTGCTGATGTGTGGAGTCTTGGCATCTCTTTGGTAAATCAAATCAAACTGCATTCACTTGTGTAATTTTTTTTTTTTTTTTTTTTCTTGTGTTTTTAATTATTGCTTGTTTTTGATGTGAAGCACTTTGTGACCTTCTGTCTGAGAAAGGTGCTATATAAATAAACTTTGCTTGCTTGCTTGCTTGGTGATGCACAGTGACCGTGCCTCACAGTGTTTCTGTGGAATGTTTACAGGTGGAGCTGGCCACAGGACAGTTTCCCTATAAAAACTGCAAGACAGATTTTGAGGTTCTGACCAAAGTGCTACAGGAAGATCCTCCTCTGCTCCCTATTAGCATGGGCTTTACTCTGGACTTCCAGTCCTTTGTTAAAGACTGGTGAGTTTTGAACTTCTTCTCTAGTCTTGAATTATTTATTGTAAAGCTGGAGCTGAAGTAACGATTTTTCTAATTCTTTAGTCTCACAAAGGATCACAGAAAAAGGCCAAAATATCATCCGCTTCTTGTACGTTTCTTCCTCATATTTCAAACCCATGTCACTGCGTCAGTGTCTAACACTGTGCTCTTTTCTCAGGAGCATAATTTTATCCGACGTTATGAAGTGCTTGATGTGGATGTTGCCGGTTGGTTCCAGTCGGTAATGGAGCGCACAGAGTCTCCTCGCAGCAGTCAGTGTTACAGCCACCAGCACCAGCTCCACTCGCTCTTCAGTAGGTAGCCTAACTGCTGTGTTAGCCTAGCCGTACGCTAGTCTAGCCCAGCTTTTGCTTTGCCGAGTGGGGCAAAGTCTGTTTTAGCCTAGCGTAAGGAGCTAATGCTGACGTGACTCTCTACTCACAAGCATCTGTCCAGAGTGGAGCAGCACCACGATCAGGGACTGATGCGGATGTGTGAATCTGGACAGGCAGACAGGCACAGGGGCGTTCAACTTCGCAGGGTTGTATAGTTTACTCCTTACACTTTTATTTACCGCCGCAGATTTGGTCAACAGCGTAGTCACTACACACTGGAACTACATTAGCAAAACAGATCACTTCTGTACATAATAATGAAACACAACGTGATTGTGTTTTTAACTAATGCAGGTTTTTCTTACATTAACTTTTTCTCAGGCTGCATCTGTATTCATTTGTCCGCAGTCCTTTTTATTAGTATTGGAAAAGTATTTTTGTACAAGTTAATAATTAACTCACACTACAGTCTGATTATGTTGCTATTTATGTAAGATTATTGTAATCCTATTCTAGAATATGTTGGTTTTTATCTTTGTGGTTTGTCTATTACAAATGAGAACAAAGAAAATAATTTGGCCTTTTAGCTAATGTGTTCATCTAATATTAGGATGTGTGTTATTATGAAATAGTGAGGTAGATATACCGCCTTAAAAACAGCAGATGAGAGTAAGTCAGAGGCAACGGGGAGTGGTGCTCTTGAGTTTTTTCTCATGGGGAAATTATTAGTTTTTATTTATTTTTTGGTACTTGATTTTTATCTTCACGGTAACATTTATTAAATTTAGCCTTTATATAAAAAGGCTATTTTTTTTTTTAGATTAAAGCTGTGGCACTTGACTTTTTGGGCTCCTAGTTAATACATTTTGTTTGTTCCAACTGAAAGGGACTTCCCAACGAATTTGTTGTGAGTAAATGAGATCACAATATGCTGCCTTTAAGTTATTATTAGAGTTGCTTTCTGACGTTACAGGCTGAGGGCTAATTGGCTGAGTGAGGGTGATCCTCTATTGTTGCCTTCTCTCTCTGAAAATTTGACTGAGACCAAAAAACATGTGAAAACTAGTGATGGAACCAAACTGATCAGAGAGCGAGCCATTAGTGAGATGGATTTTATCAATTGTCCCATTTTTATAAGTTTGATACCACAGCTTTAATAACTCCCCACTCCCCAGCACTCACAAAGCAGACAGAGGAGAGGCCAGAGGGGGCAGAGAGGTGATAGTTTATGGGCAAGAGCCATGTGGCGCAGATAGACCCAGGATCTGGGGTTTGGGTGGTGACATATGGATGGACTGAGAATGTAGGATGTGAAGAAGACGATGGAAAGTTGAAAAGAAAAAAGAAGGGCATATGTTATGACTAGCACACACAAGTGTAGCATTAGCTGTTATCAATTCTAGTTATGTTTGGCTATTTATTTGCAATATTTGCTGCTTTTTGCGTTAGGCACTGCTGTCACCTGTCATGACTTTTTTTTTTTTATTCCCCAAAGTACAAATATTTGTTATTTTTAAACCAAAAAAACATGAAATAATGCAATGTTTACATATGCTACCAAATAAGAGTATGTTTGTGAAGAGAAAATATTTAAAGCCAGATTGAGTACTAGCGACACAGTAGTGACCTGTAATATAAACGTACGCAGTCTAAAGCCTAGCGTACATCGACAGAGAAACTGGGGACAACTAGTTGCAAGGCGGCTTTTGGCAACTGAGAGGAGATGATGGAGATGATCAGTTGCCGAAATCGGTGGATGTGAGCGCTCTTACAACTGGAGATGAACAGTCGGTCTCCAGTTTCAGTCAGTTGCCCGTGTTCTACTTTTCGGCAACTAGTTGTCCTCAGTTTCGGAGATATGACCCGATGTGCGCGCTCCATGCACCGCTCCAACAACGTGTGTGTATTGCGTGTATTGCGAGCCCGCAACAGTTTATGTCAGAAAACACACTGTAGTTGAGGCCAGTTGCTGTCGATGTACGCGCTGTTATTCCCGAGACTGGTCTGCTGCTGGGAGTTGCCCGTTTTCGTCAGATTGTCGATGTGTGCGGGGCAGCAACTCATATGCGACGGATATAATCAGTTGCCAGTCCGATGTACGCTAGGCTTAACACTCTAAGAGGAGTCTGTCTGTCCAGATGTTTCCGTGTTTCGCTCCATGCTTCATCTTCTCTCAGCGGCGTTAAACAAAACTACAAATGTGTGTTGTAAGAACTCCTGTTGATGTTATATTAATAATCCTGATCATTGTTTTCGGACTGGCGCATAGAGCATACACATATGTGTGTGTAGTACTGTACAGAGGGAGACTGGTCCACATGTGGTTCCCAAAGTGGGGGTCGCGAGGTTATTTCAAGATGTTCCAAATATGTAATTAAATACGTTGTTTGATTACGACAAGCAAACACTACATGTTCAGTGAAAGTAGGTGTAATAACAGAACACTTTATGTAAATTTATTTGACACTACAAACTTTTATACTTGTATTTCATTCTGTAGCAAGGTCGACACTTTGGTAACCCATTTATTATTTGGAGGTATTGTATTGTTTTTGTTATAAATTGGTATTGGATTCATGTTTTCCTACTAATTCAGCCTCTACTGTAGAACAAATACAATAACAGCGTTTATTTGTCCCACAGTGGAGACAGTTTATATTTATTATATTACTCTGCTAAAAAGTTTCTAAATCTTCTTTCAAAACTTGATCAGTAGAATAATTTTTGTTTTAAAAATCATGTAACATGTAAAAACAGTGGACCAGTCTCCTCCTGTAGATGTGCGTATTCATTGAGCTGTAAAAAGTACACGCATACGCAGTCTAGCAATTTTGATCATGTTTTTTGTTTTTCTGAACGCATCTGAATCCAGCTCATCTTGCTGAATGACACATAACTAATGTATAAAGTCATCCCACTGTACATAGGGATGTTACTGCCAACAGTGGCTTTATCTGTATATTAGCTTCCACAGCAAGTGTAAAAGTACTTGAGCTTGTGTCACAGTTCCGCCACCAGAGGGCGGTGTGTGCGTGTCATAGCCCCATCTGTAATTAAACCAAATATCGTTCACTATGCAGGCATTCAAACCATGTCCGCTCGCTTTCATGGGGAATATATGTGTGAAAAAACCCTAATTGTGTAAGCTTGGCTGCAGTGACGCATTTTTTTTTTTTTTATTATAGATGGTTTTTATTTTAAACCCCCCCTTTATGTGAGATCCTTCTTTTATTACCTGGCAAATAATTTACATTTTATTTTTTTGTGTATCAGAAAGAAACAGCCATTTTCAGTGCGCCTCTTACAGATATAGCTAAAAAGCCGGAGTACCTTTTCCTTAAATACATTTTGCTTGTCCGAATAGTCTTGTTTTAAATAAGTTTTTCGACCACAACATGCGGTCTTTGTCTTAATAGTAAACATTTTATATTTTACATACTCAGAGCTGATTGGTTGAGTGAAGGCTGGTACTCTTAAGTTGTTTTCACTGAACATGCTGATCTAAAGTTGTGTCAGAGGCCAAATTTTTTTTTGGAAACTAGCGATGGAGCCAACAGAGTTTTTAGAGAAATTGACTTTTCTTTCAGTGTTTTGTCGCAGAGAATATCCTTGAACACAACACACTACTTGGGGCAGTGATAAATGCTGTATTTTACTTTTTTCGTTTGATTTTTATTGGTATAGTTTGTTTGAAATTATGCCTTTTTTTTTTCATTTGCAACGTTCCCTGTTGGAGCTGTATCTTCATCATTGGGAGACAATGTTCATAAGTTAACTAAGTGTGAACAGAGTGTGAATTTTATCGTCTACCAAAAGTCTTTATCAACAGTGAATATTATTAGCTTTTATTTTGCTGTTTTTTTGTTAATTTTTTTTAATATCCTTGAAGTTATTTCATGCTATATTTTATTACCTTTATATTATTGTTTTTATTATTATTTTTATTCAGGGCAAAGTTGACACCAAATTGAACAAAGAGTCGGAGGCAGATGTAAGAGTGAAGGTGGTAAATTTACGCAATAGCTTTCCACCTTCTTGAACCGAGTAAAACCAGTCTGAGCTAGTATTTTTATTTTTGCTTTATATATGATTTTGATCAGATAATGATCTTTATTTCACCCTTGTTCCGGGTCATAAATTGTGTGCTGTTATACTTTTATTTTATATATTTTTGTATGTGTTCCGTTTGTCTGTTGCTGTAGAAAGGAGCTGATACCAGAGTGTTTGTGTTTCCGTACTGAGACTGATGTTGCACGTGTTGCGATTGGTTTTTATTTTTGTTGAAGCTAAAGGACAATATTATTTGATTTTTCTTTCTGTGCATCGCAGTGATTTTTTTTCATCAATCGTAGATCTGTGACACAGCGAGATTGATTCAACAGTGTATTTTTTCCACTGATATTTATTTATTGTTTGTATTTTATTTTCGGTTTTATGATGTCCGTTCATTGTGTATTGTGAGGGCTCAAATGTATCAAGGGGAGTTGTCTGCATTTTTCTGTTCTCAACATCGACCACTGTCATAATGCGAGTCCTGCAAATGTATTGACTCTCTTAAGGTCCGTAAACAAATAGATTTTTTTAGATTCCAGACAGGACGAAACTTAAGGCAAAAGTTGAACATAATATAGAAATTGATTTGAACCATAAAGTATACATGAATGTGACTGTTTTGCATTGTTGTATTGGACTTTTAAGTTATGTACAAACATGAAAATTACTCAAATTACAGCTGTTTCATCCTCAATAATAAAGCACACTAACAGACTTTATTCCGTCATATATTGATAAAGTTACCCTAATGTTCAAAACATTGTGAGAATTTGTTCATTCCATAAATTTTGGGCAGTCAGTATAAGGAATTCACAAAATAATTAAATTTATTATACAATTTCTAATAATCAGATCATATTTTGAAATAATTTGCTATGCACTTGGGTAACAGTACATTTGATACTTAATCCATATTTATTTATGAATACTTTAAGGCCCGCTTTCGTAATAAAACTGGCTCTTATAGACAGTGGCTTGGGTTATGACTGCATGGTGTGCTTTGCAGGATGGAGAACAGGGCAAGTGCTGCCTCGGTCTCAACGCTTGTTAAATGTTTGACACCATTGCTATTTTGTCTTGTATCAATTGACTCAGCTTTACAGCCTTTTCCCTGCTGTTTTATTTTATTACCCACTCCCCTCAGCCTCATTTCAAACTGAATAAATGCCATTATATTGTGAATACCTCAGGATCTTTGGAGATAGAAAAACAATAAAACACCTAAAAAGTAAATAAACATACAAACCTAAGATGTGTGTGTGTGTGTGTGTGTGGTTATTTTAAAATGATTGTGTATTTTCATGTGTAGAGTAACAGTAACAGTTTTTTTCTGGTTGCAAAGTTAGGTACCCTACCTTTAACTGAGGTAGGGTACAGTTAAAGGTAGGGTGGAGCGTATAGAGCAAACAATTATTTTTTATTATTATATTGGCATGCATACAGAAAATGTCCAAATTAAATATAAAAATAGTAAAATGGCTCATCCACAAAGACCAGACCCTGCAGCAGTGGCCTGTACATTGTTCTAATCTCAACAGAACTTTCATCTTTCACTTCCTCAATGAAAATATACATGACTTGAAATACCTGCAAAATGTATCTTGCTCAATATAGATTCTTGTATATGTGAGCTGCAGAGATACAGAAGAGGTGCAACATATTAATTACACATTGGGCCTGTGGCTGTAAAACCTGAACAAAACTGATCCAAATATAGTCCTACATGTGTTGAGTGTACACACAAAATGTTATGAAGGTTTTTGCTGACGTCTCACTGGCTGCAGACAGATTCATGGAGGTGGAAACTTGAGCTAGTGTCTAACAAGTTTGTTCCCATTCTCACAAAGGAAACAACTAGGGTTTTTTGTTGTGATTGTTTGAATGTATCTAAAATAAAGAATGTAACTTTAACTTTAAAATAATTCTTGTTTATAAAATTATCTCATTGACTTTGATGTGGGACAAATTTGGCCCAACAGGATGACATGGATTTGAAGTAATGACTAGTTTTGCAATGAAATTCAACACTTGTGCAGGACTCAACAATGGCCCACACCCACTGGTCTGTGCTTCTGTCTTTCTCACTTTTTCATTTGCCTTCCTCTCTCTGACCATATAAGGTGATAAATGATAAAAAAAAGCTCATTGGCTGAAAACCTGCAGGTACATGAGATGAGCTGTGGCCGCTCCTCGTTGTCACAAACAGCTGTAGTCGTTTTTCAAATATATATGTGATCATTTAAAGAAATACAGAGGAAACAGAATATCCTGTTTTTCCAGTTATGTCAAAACAAATTTACGTTGTTATTTACATACATATATCGGACATACGGCTTGGACACACCTAATAGAATGGCATTTTGTTTGCTGAAGATAAGATAAAACAAGAATAGGAGAAATACAAGAGGCACATAAGATAAGATAAGATAGACTTTATTGATCCCACACAGGAGAAATGTACATATCACAACTGGCATGGATAGAAATACTCAAGATTGTGCAAAAGAAAGAAATGTGCAAAACATGTTAAATGCAGGATATATTATGTACAATAAAAAGTGGCAATCAAGAGACAGTGTCAATAGCAGTGCAGGTTTTTCAGTCCTAATGCAAGTGACTTATTGTACAGTCTGACAGCGGTGGGGATAAAGGCCCTGCGGTAGCGCTCCTTCTTGCACTGAGGGAGCTCCTCATCTCTACAGTCCTGTGCAGTGAGTGGGAGGTGTTGTCCATGATGGAGGTGGCTTTGAGTAGCACCCTCCTGTCCCTCACCTCCTCCACAGAGTGCAGGGGGCAGCCCAGAGTGGAGCTGGCCCTCCTGACCAATGCACTATTAAGATTTCGGTATAATATGTATGCATTCCGAATATACGTCATTATCTCTTTAGCTAAAATAGTATAAACTTGTGCAAATAATGTGCAAAAAATAAAGAATCACTATGAGGGTTATAGCTCTGTTATTAGAGACAACGTTGTTAGATTTTGAGAACAAGGTTATAAACAACACAGGCCAAGAGCAAACTATATTATAACTAATAACAATAATAATTAAACAAATAATGACCAATTTTTCATTAATTTTTGTATTTATTATAATCATTATTATAATTCTCTGCGAAAGTTTGGACATGAGAATGTACATTTTGCCTTCAGCGGTGATGAATTCATTTGTCCGTGGGGCCGTGAACGCCTCAGCGGAGGGAGGGAGATAGAGGAATTGGACTCACCTGCGCAAAGTAAAACTGGGTGGATCAAAGCAGCGGAGTCTGTCCTGATCGAGTCCCGCTGAGGAGCTGCAGGACCTGGACAGAGGCAGAGGACACCGCAAGAGACTGGACCAGAGCCCTTTTGTTAAGGGAGAAAACATCGTGTGGAAGGACTCGATACAAAAGTGCCTGTCGCTGAACTACAAGTGAGTCCCAACTTTTCAGAGAGATTTGTGATATTGTCAGTCGTCAATTGAATTACTAGAATACAAGGTTTTCATCCTTTATCGATAGTTCCCTTTTTCCATCTCTCAAGCCAAGTGTGCAGGAATAATGTAATGTTTTAGGTTTGGGATGTCACCAGGGGGTCAATGTTGGAACAGCCAGCAGAGGGGAGACCTTTTAAATGTGCGCATGCTCTGTCTGACCCATACTATTGTTTATAGCCTGTAGAGTAGCCCTTTTGCTTTGTTTATTGTTTTGTATTTGTATTTATCTATTTAAGCATAAGAGGTGCATTTAAGATCAGAAGCTTATGTGATATCAGTTGAGCATATTTCAGTTATCCTTTTAAAATGTTGTACAATTATGAGAACAATGTCTTTTCATTATTCTATCTCACAATAAACAGAAGTCTGAACATTGCAATGAAAGATACTGATGTGAAGGACAGTAGACCTCAATGATTAAAAACAAACGCAATTTAAAAATGACCTTGTTCCCTACAATCACATGTGAATCAGATGTATTGTTCCTTATTATGGCCTGCATGAAGTCCTATTCATATCTGTCTTGTTATGCGTTTGCTTGTCTGTCCTACCAGTGATGTGCAGATATTTTGCTTGAGATTAACTTTTCATAAAGGTACACTCCTGTCCTCTTCTGTAGCAAGGCGTGCCTGCCCTCAGGTTACAGAAATAACTTTCACAATTGGACAATCGGTGGAGACAAGTTTTAATCCCGTCACACACTTTTGAGATCTTATAACATCAAGGCATCAACAATCTTCACTAATAACTTTGTCTTTGATCTGCCTGTAAGTGATGCTGCCAGTCACAGGTGGCACGTCGTGTCAGAGGTGTTTTTAAAGCTGGGATTGTCTGGAGGCCAAACTCAGGAGTGAGCACCTGGAGATGTGCGAATGATGAGACATTTAACCATCAGTTGTTAAAACTTTAATCCATGAGGGATCCCAAGCCTAGATAAATGCGTTCCGGTCATTATTGTAGTCAGTAGTGTCATTAAAAGGTTTTTGATTTAAAATCGAAAATTCAGTGATGGCAAATCTCACATATGTAGCAATTATAGCATCTTGTTTAATTATTTGTATTTTTTGTGGTTTAATAACATGAGCATCAGCCACCCCCAGACTCTTTTTAAGTATGTCCTATAGCCACATATTAAAACATTTCACTTCAGCAGCTGTGTGTCGAAACATGTTGAATAAGGACGCTCGTGCCTGTAATTTCCTGAGGAAGTTGGCTCATGACGCTATAGAAACTTGGGTGAAGATCATCAGTTCTATTCTCGTGTCCTTTAGTCCTTCCTAATATAAAGCATTGTTGACTTAATATCATGAAGTAAAAGTGGTGTACCTCCCCCAGTGCTGCTGCACGCCGTGAGCACTTAATGAACTTAGGGCAGGCGCAGATGACCGCTTGTGCACTGATCCCCTTATCCCTCTCTCTAGACGCGTGTGTGTGTGTGTGTGTGTGTGTGTGTGTGTGTGTGTGTGTGTGTGTCAACTGATGTCCTACCAATAACTCTATTCAACAGTTAATGTGATTGTTTGTTGCTTAGAAGATGACACACATATTAACAATTGTTACATTATTTTAATTGTTATCTCAGTGGAGCTTTTTGAGTGCTTTACAGTTTCAAAAAGCTGATGGGTGTGGTGGGCCAGTGATGACATTTCTGCTTTTGCCCAGACTTGCTCCTGAAATTCTTGCTGCAGATCTGGGGCAGAGCATCCCCCTCTGTTCTGGAGCTGGGACACCTTCACACTTGTCCTTATGAGGGGTTAACCTTTTTATTGCAAAATTATAGTTTAACGGGAGCTTTAATTAGTTCAAAGCATTTATATTGGGTACAGTATAATTGCAGATGTTTTGATGAGCGACAGTCAAAGCAAACAGTTCAACCCTGTGTATGTTTGAGTAAGGTATTATCCAAAACTCCTAAGTCTTTGTTGTATATAATCTCTGTCTGTTCTATTTAAGATTAAAATGTCGGACGCAGACAAGTTCCTGTATGGGGACCGCGATGGGGTCAACAACCCTCTGGCCCAGGCTGACTGGTCCTCCAAAAAGCTGGTGTGGATACCGTCTGAGAAGGTGGGCTTTGAGGCCGGGTCTCTCAAAGAGGAGAAGGGAGAGGAGTGTCTTGTCGAGCTGGTTGACTCTGGAAAAAAGGTAAACAGAAGGGCTTTATTGTTGGCCTTGTGTGTCATGTATTCTTCTGTGGTGTATGTAAATGATGGGACATCTGTGTGAAGTATGTGAACCCCTGTCCCAAGACAAATTTTGCCTAATGAGAGAGAATAAAGGAGCATCTTATTTATGCTTCTTTTTCTATGAACTTAGGTCAAAGTAAATAAAGATGACATCCAGAAAATGAACCCCCCCAAATTCAATAAAGTGGAGGACATGGCGGAGCTGACCTGTCTGAACGAGGCTTCAGTTCTGCACAACATCAAAGAGCGATACTACTCCGGCCTCATCTATGTGAGTATCACAACATGAGCACATAACCTCACGTGTCTGATCACATCCTCTGCTCATCCAAACAGACGTACTCTGGTCTCTTCTGTGTCGTAGTCAACCCTTACAAGCACATTCCCATCTACACCGAGGAGATCGTGAACATGTACAAGGGCAAGAAGAGGCACGAGATGCCCCCTCACATTTACGCCATCACAGACAACGCGTACCGCAGCATGATGCAGGGTACACACCTCCTACTGCCAATATATCTGTTCTTTCACTGTCATGTTAACCTCATATCGTGCTCTACCTTCCAGACCGCGAGGATCAGTCTATCCTTTGCACGTACGTTTATCCTTTTCTCTTTTAAATACATATCTGTTTCACAAAGTGTGGATAACTTCTTTTTGATGATTTTAGGGGGGAATCTGGAGCAGGAAAAACAGAAAATACCAAAAAAGTTATTCAATACCTGGCCCATGTTGCATCCTCTTCCAAATCTAAGAAAGATCAGGTTTGTTTTGTCTTTAAGCTTTTTATGGTATTAAATAAAGCATAAGCACCCTTCTGGAAGTAAAAATTTGGCTTTGTATGGTTTTCATCTTTTCCCCTTCAAAATCACAAAGGAACATTCTCTGCTCTACACATGTTTAACTCTATATTGTGGGCCTAAATTATGGCTGAAAGAAGAACATTTCTATGTAAACAAATGGGAGGAGGCCCTTCCCCAGGCTCACTCACATTCAATCCAATAATTTTCTTCATTATCATAAAAAAATTCTAAGAAAAGAGCATTAATAGCTCTATTTTTCAGAAAGATATGTGTGCTTAATGGTTTTATTTGAAATGTTTTGCAAAATGAATGAACCACTCCACATTCTTGGTTCATGTCTCAACCTGCATCTCTGCAGAAGCTGATCTTTACACATGTGTGGGCACAGACACTGTACTCTTTGTTGTTTTTTAAGATTGTGTTTTAATGGGTCAATAACTGCTGGCTAAAGTTTTTTCCTTCTGCTGCATGATTAAATTGTGTCTGATCTATGTACCCTTTTTTCCAGGCCCATGCAGTTTTGACACATGTGAGTTTTACTTTTTTTTTTTTAAACATATTTCTCCTATGTCCTGTGTGAGTAATGGGAACACTGAATACATATTGATGCATTTAATGTGTTTTGAACATGACTTAATGAAACCTATGTGACTGATTAAGCAAAACGTTTTAAACAAAGCATTGGGTACTGATGTTGGGTTGAATTTACTTACTTTGGAAAATGTGTTCAAAATCAAGTTACTCCTGATTGTATATACCCTACACACGTGACAACGGTATGGGCGTATGGCTCACTCCACACTAAACTGTACCATTGCTCAATCTAACTTAAAGCAACAATAAAATAAATGTATGAACTAAAAATATTTTTACCAAAAACTTTTTAATACTATGTAATACATAGTGTAATCTCAGAAGGGCAGCTTAAACTATTTCAAGGAAAATGGATGCCTTTCAAAAAAATGTATTGAACTTTGGGGACATATTTGTTACATTTAGGACATGTCATGTTGGAGGCTTTGTGAATGGAAGAATGAACAGGACAGAGAAGACTATTTAATGATTGGAGATATAACTATAATCAATATGTGATTATAGATTTTACATAATGCAAAAAAAAATATTATTCAATAACTGCGGACAAACAAATCCGTGTTTTAAGTAGAGTGCCCTTCACTGGACAAACAAGCTGGAAACAAGAGTGGGTCTGTGAACTGAACATTCAGCAGTAGCGGCCGCGGACATTTCAGGACTTTTTCGTGTCATTGACCAAAATGTAACACATTGATAGTTTAGTGTGGAGTGAGCCATATGTCTTGTTGAATTATGGGCATATATCTTGTTGAAATAAGCAGTTTTCCCAACAGTTTAAAGATTTGAAGAAAAATGATAAAATACTATTTTATCAGGAAAAAAGTAACCTGTTGCACGCATTGACTTCAAAGTCTGCAACAGTTCTCCGTATAGAATGTATAAAACCAAGAATGCATGTAGCCCTATTAGTTTAGCAGTAACACTGTAATTCTCCAGTCAAGAAGAATTTTAATACATAACTAAACTTAGTGCATGTTATTCCACATAACACGTGTCTCATCAGGTGAGTGTGGGTGGTGGTTAGGAGTCGTTGTCCTGCTGTTCCTTTGGGAGATGACGAACCCACCTGTACCATCTTGTTTTGCCCGCATGGATATGGATGACTTTACAGGGCTGGAACTTGAATAGGCTTGCTACGGGAATTTGTATTGGAATGTAGAGGTATTGAGCAATGATAACATGACCTGAGGCCAGTCTTTTGCGTGCACTGTTGTGTTGCTGCTCACAATTTCTGAATGCATTTTCACTAACCTGTTTTGCAGCATTAATTTTGAAGCATGGTCAGTTTACCTGTTATGTGGTTCTTTGGAAGGGAGAACTGGAGAAACAGCTGTTGCAGGCTAACCCTATCCTGGAGGCTTTTGGTAATGCAAAGACTGTCAAGAATGACAACTCTTCCAGATTTGTAAGTTTACTACTTTGTTTTTTTGTTTTTTTTTAATGCATACAACTGAAGAGCTGCAACACTAAATGCATCTATTCACTAGGGAAAATTCATTCGGATCAACTTTGATGTCACCGGCTACATTGTTGGAGCCAACATTGAAACTTGTATCCTTATCAAGTGAATACTATTTGTTATCCGACTGCTGCGTCACTTGATCTTGTTTTTCTTGACTGGATGTAAGATTTGTTGGAGAAGTCTAGGGCTATTAGACAAGCTAAAGAAGAACGAAGCTTCCACGTTTTCTATTATATGCTCACAGGAGCCGGAGAAAAGCTGCGCTGTGAGTAAGATACAACCCCTATGTATTTTAATATATTTACTATTTCATGTAAATGTAATTTTTCTTCAAGCTGAACTTTGCCTCGAGGATTACAGCAAATACCGGTTCTTATCCAATGGCAACATGACCATTCCCGGTCAACAGGACAAAGACTTGTTCACTGAAACCATGGAGGCGTTTGAAATTATGGGCATCCCAGAAGAGGAGAGAATAGGTGCCTCTTTTGGACTACAAATTACATTTTCATTTTGTGTTTTTCCTTTCGCTCATGAGTTTTCTTGTTTACATTTCTGTTAGGTTTGTTGAAGGTAGTGTCTGCAGTTTTGCAGCTGGGAAACATGACTTTCAAGAAGGAGCGTCACTCAGACCAGGCCTCCATGCCCGATGACACAGGTACAAAAGTGTAACATTCACGAACGCATATATTTGTGTTCACACCTGTTTGTCCTCACCAGCTGCTCAGAAAGTGTGTCATCTTCTCAGCATTAATGTGACCGACTTCACTCGAGCCATTTTATCTCCACGTATCAAGGTCTGACTCATAACAAGCTTCTAATGATCCTGTGTGGTTTTATGTATTTGTTAAAGCATGTATATATTCTTTAACTGCAGGTTGGCAGAGACTATGTACAGAAGGCCCAGACTCAGGAACAGGCAGAGTTTGCTGTGGAGGCACTGGCTAAAGCGTCTTATGAGAGGATGTTTCGCTGGTTAGTGATGAGGATTAACAAAGCGCTGGACAAGACCAAACGACAGGGCGCATCCTTCATTGGTATCCTGGACATCGCAGGATTTGAGATCTTTGAGGTATAAAACTACTGTTACTTTGGGTGGGTTCAGACATGTTGGTCTAGTTCACTTAAACTGGACAAAGTCTGTTTCTTAGTTCCAAAGAGTTGGGGTTAGTTGGTAGGGTTGGTAGTTTTACATCGAGATATTGTTTTATATTTGCCTCAAGTGAACCCGAATCGGTCCAGTTTAAGTGAACTAGAAGTGTGCATGCCTTTAGTGCAGACTTGTATGTTCTTTTTAAAATCTATTCACTGTGACATGGCTCATGGTCTTGTTTTAACTCTTGCTCTATGTCCATCAGTTGAACTCGTTTGAGCAGCTGTGCATCAACTTCACGAATGAGAAGCTGCAGCAGCTGTTCAACCACACCATGTTCGTCCTGGAGCAGGAGGAATACCAGCGCGAGGGCATCGAGTGGAGCTTCATTGACTTTGGCCTTGACCTGCAGCCCTGCATCGACCTCATCGAGAAGCCGGTAATCATTTGTGTTACTGTTTAACTCGGACATTAATTTCAAACACAGGGTCTATAAAAACGTGGACAAATAAAACCTTAGGCACAAACCTTAGGCTTGATCCAGACTCCGGCTGAGAACAGTCAGCACTTGTCCTTATTTGGGCCTAGTTCTGTAGACTTGAATTGTGTAAGAGGAGAAAGCAGATGTTGCTGCAGGTTCAGGCATGTTATATCCGTAAGTGCTGTAATAAGTGGCTCTGTCATTGACTTACTCTGCTGTTCTCTGTACCTGCAGGCTGGGCCTCCAGGGGTCTTGGCTCTGCTCGACGAGGAGTGCTGGTTCCCCAAAGCCACAGACAAAACCTTTGTGGAGAAGTTGGTGCAGGAGCAGGGGACTCACCCAAAGTTTCAGAAACCTAAGAAACTCAAGGATGACTCTGACTTCTGCATATTTCACTATGCAGGAAAGGTTAATGTTTTTTTTGTTAACTTCCTAAAAAATCCTGTTAAACTCATTTTCTGTGATGCAATAATTTCAATTGTATTAAAGTGATTTGTGGTGCAGGTCGACTACAAAGCGGATGAGTGGTTGATGAAGAACATGGATCCATTAAATGAGTGTGTAGCCACTTTGCTGAACCAGTCCACTGACAAATTCACTTCTGATTTGTGGCGAGATGGTAGTAGTGTAATGTTCCCACATAATTATTTTAAATGTTTTTTTAAAGAAATTATGCTTAATGATAATTCTTCCTACTTAGTGGATCGCATTGTCGGATTGGATAAGGTAGCGGGTATGTCAGACTCCATGCATGGTGCATTTAAGACCCGCAAAGGCATGTTTCGCACGGTGGGTCAGTTATACAAGGAGCAACTGGGAAACCTGATGACAACACTGAGGAACACAAACCCCAATTTTGTCCGATGTATCATTCCCAACCATGAGAAAAAGGTACGTTCTCAAAATATCTCTTAGAGAAGGAGACTTCTGTTGTTTTGAATGATACTCACCTCTCTTGGTACCAGGCTGGTAAACTGGAGCCTCACCTGGTTCTGGACCAGCTGCGCTGTAATGGAGTCCTGGAGGGGATCCGAATCTGCAGACAGGGCTTCCCCAACCGCATCGTCTTCCAGGAGTTCAGACAGAGGTAGTGAGTGAAAATACAATGTCAATTTTGGTCCAAAGCACAATGTAAATGCAACGCACATTTGGGTTGCTCCTGTATTTTCAGATATGAAATCCTCACTCCTAACGCAATTCCGAAGGGCTTCATGGATGGGAAACAGGCCTGTGTTCTGATGGTGCGTCTATACTATATGATTTATTAGCACCTCCCGTTAGTTAATGGTGAATACTATTTCTGTTAGATCAAAGCTCTTGAGTTGGACCCCAATTTGTACCGTATTGGTCAAAGTAAAGTATTTTTCCGAGCTGGAGTCTTGGCTCATCTGGAAGAGGAGAGAGACATGAAAATCACTGATGTCATCATCAGTTTTCAGGCCTGGTGCAGAGGATATGTGGCTCGCAAGTATGTCGGACCAGGCCAGATGATATGTTTTGCTCGTCGCTTAATGTTCTGCATTTCATTTCAGAGCTTTTGCCAAACTACAACAGCAGCTTACTGCAATGAAAGTTATTCAAAGAAACTGTGCCGCCTATCTCAAACTCAGAAACTGGCAATGGTGGAGGCTTTTCACAAAGGTAAAACATGATCAATGTCAACAACATGCCCTAACCCTTCTATAAACTCCTATTTTTTGCATAGGTGAAGCCATTGCTTCAGGTGAGCCGTCAGGAAGAAGAGATGCTGGCCAAAGAAGAGGAGTTGTTAAAAATAAAGGAGAGACAGGTCCAGGCTGAGCAGTTGGTGGGAGAGTTGGAGTCCAAGCAGAAGCAGGTAGGCCTCCAGTCTAGGGTGGACTTTGGACTCAAGTCATTGTTCTGTGTTCATCTTCTTTTACAGCTTTCTGCTGAGAAGCTAGCACTTCAGGAGCAGCTTCAGGCCGAGACAGAGCTCTGTGCAGAGGCTGAGGAGATGAGATCCAGGCTGGCCAATCGCAAACAAGAGCTGGAGGAAATCCTTCATGATCTGGAGTCTCGTCTGGAGGAGGAAGAGGAGAGGGTCACACAGCTGCACACAGAGAGAAAGAAAATGCAGCTGAACATAAATGTCAGTGACGCTTGTGTTGTTGTGATACATATCATGGTTTTTGTTTTTATGGGTTTTTTTCTGTACAGGAACTAGAGCAGCAGCTGGATGAGGAGGAAGCTGTGAGACAGAAACTTCAGATGGAGAAGATGACCACAGACGCCAAAGTGAAGAAGATGGAGGAGGATGTGATGTTTCTCGACGACCAGAACAACAAACTCTCAAAGGTCTGATTGGGATTCAAGTCTCATGAATCACAATAATTAATCGATTTAGGTTTAATAGTTATATTATCTTTAGGAAAAGAAACAGCTGGAAGAGCGTATCTCAGAGTTTACAACAAACTTGGCAGAAGAGGAAGAGAAATCTAAAAGCTTACAGAAACTCAAGAATAAACATGAAGCCATGATCACAGACTTGGAAGGTTGGCCTTTTTATTTATGTTATGTCCTATTTATTTTCCTATTGAGCTTGCATTTTAATCATATTTTATATTAGATCGTCTGCGAAAGGAAGAGAAACATCGTCAGGAATTGGAGAAAAATCGACGTAAGTTGGAGGGAGACTCCACTGATCTCCTTGACCAGATCGCAGACCTGCAAGCTCAGATCGCTGAGCTCCGGGCTCAACTTGCCAAAAAGGAGGAGGAGCTACTGGCTGCTCTGTCCAGGTCAATAATACTATCTGCATTTATTCTTAAAGATATAAGACAAAAACCAAGACTCAGGTAAAGGGTATACCTTTATAGTAGATGTATAACATTGCCTTTATAAGACCACTTGTTTTAAAATGATCAGGAGCTTCTGTTTTATTAATACATGGCAGGTAGAAGAATACCTCAGACTTGCCAAATACGTTTCTGCTCACTTTCCAAATTCATTTTCAGGATTGAAGAACAGTCTGCAGCAAAGAACACAGCCCAGAAGAACATCCGAGAGCTGGAGGCTCAGATCTCGGAGCTGCAGGAAGATTTGGAGCTGGAGCGACAGGCGCGATCCAAGGCTGAGAAAAACCGCAGGGACCTGGGGGAAGAGCTGGAGGCTCTGAAGACCGAGCTGGAGGACACACTGGACTCAACGGCAGCGCAACAAGAACTCAGGTTAAACTCTGCCTCTCTTGTAAATACTTTTTTTTTAAGGAAGCACAAGACCAAATGTTCTCATGTTTGTAGATCCAAGCGCGAGACTGAAGTTAACCAGCTTAAAATAAACCTAGAAGAGGAGGCAAAAATCCATGAGCAGCAGATGGCTGATATGAGACACAAGCACAACCAAGTGTTTGAAGAGCTGAACGAACAGCTGGAGCAGGCCAAAAGGGTAACATACGCAACTTCTTTCTGGTAGTTCAGAATTTCCCCTAGTTATTAAAGTTTCTGGAGGAACAAAAGGTTAATGAGCAGTTTAGCCTAGTAACTAAATGGTGCGCGCAAACATGAACACCAGGACAAAGCGGTTTTAGTCAAAGATTATTTGGATTCTAAAATAACAATTTAATTTGGCAGATTAAGTGGTTTTAATGTTATAACATGTCTATATAATGATAAAATTAGAGCTGTAACCGATACTTGTACAGTAGTAAGTAAGTAATCTTTATTTACCGCCTTTTCACTGCACATCGGAGTCTCAAAGCGGTTTACAATTGTGGTTTTTTTGGGAGTGGGGGTGCCAGTACAGGAGGCACAATAGTAGTAATCTGATATTTGTTCTCTAGAGTAAAGCATCGGTGGAAAAGTCCAAGCAGGCGTTGGAGAGTGAGTGGAACGAGTTGCAGATTGAACTGAAGAATCTGACACAAAGTAAAGGAGATTCCGAGCACCGCCGCAAAAAGGCTGAATCTCAGGTCCAAGAACTTCAGGTCAAATTTGGAGAGAGTGAGCGACAGAGGAACGACATGTCCGAAAAAATGGGCAAGATGCAGGTATTGTAAGAGTGTGGTGAAAAAAGTTTGATAGTGAAATATATCTTGGACGTTCTGAATGTTTTCTTTTTGTGTAGTCTGAGCTGGACAATGTAAACAAATTGTTGTCGGAAGCAGAAGGCAAGAACATAAAATGCAGCCAAAATGTGTCTTCTCTGGAGTCTCAGCTTTCAGACATACAGGTACAAAGGAGCCTACACAATTATAAATTGTTTGTGTAAATATGGGATGGAATGCATGTGTTTTAAATTTTCTCTTGTAAATGTAGGCGCTGCTTCAAGAAGAGACACGTCAGAAGCTGTCTATATCAAGTAAACTCAGACAAATGGAGGAGGAACAGAACAATTTAAAGGAGATGCTTGAAGAAGAGGAGGAGAGTAAGAGAAATGTGGAGAAACAAATGTCTACTCTGCAGGCACAGGTTTGATTTCAAGTTTGATCACGCCCTAATCCATTTATGAAATATGGAATAAAATGTACATTATCTGGATGTTCAGCTGGCAGACATGAAGAAAAAGCTTGAGCAAGAGGCTTCATCTCTGGAGGGAACTGAGGAGGGACGCAAGCGACTCCAGCGAGAGATGGACAGTTTAATGTTGCAGTTGGAGGAGAAGACTGCCGCCTATGACAAAATGGAAAAGACAAAGAACCGTCTTCAACAAGAATTTGATGACCAAATGGTGGACCAGGACAACCTGAGACAGATAGTGTCCAACTTGGAGCGGAAACAGAAGAAATTTGACCAGGTACTCTCCGAACCTTTTCTTGTCATTGTTTGGAGTGGTGTTTTCCCTAATTTTTAAATCAATGTTCAAGATGCTGGCAGAGGAGAAGACTATTTCCTCCCAATACGCTGAAGAGCGGGACAAAGCTGAGGCAGAGGCCAGGGAGAAGGACACACGAGCTCTGAACCTGGCCCGAGAGCTGGAGACTATGAGCGGCATGAAGGACGATCTGGAACGAACCAACAAGACTCTTAAAGCAGAGATGGAAGATTTGGTCTCCTCCAAGGATGATGTTGGCAAGAGTGTAAGATTAAATAATGTTTCTTTTGTTTGTGTTAGAAATAAATGTCATAATTGTGACAAGAGATTACTCTGATGGCTAACTGTAGGTTCATGAGCTGGAGAGATCCAAACGAGCCACAGAGCAGCAACTGGAGGAGATGCGAGTGCAGCTGGAGGAGCTGGAGGACGAGCTTCAGACCACAGAAGACGCCAAGCTGCGTCTGGAGGTGAACATGCAGGCCATGAAGGCCCAGTTTGACAGAGACTTGCTGGCCAGAGACGAGCAGGGAGAGGAGAGGAGGAAACAGCTCGTCAAGCAGGTAATGAAATGACTGCTCCTGAAAGTACAGCTAAAAACTGCTTTATAATATTTTATTGTATTTTAATAGGTGCGTGAAATGGAGGTGGAACTCGAAGAGGAGCGCCGCCAGCGTACTCTTGCACTTTCATCCAAAAAGAAACTAGAAATGGATTTGGTAGAACTGGAAATCCAGATTGATGTCGCAAACAAGGCCAGAGATGAGGCACTGAAACAACTGAAAAGGCTGCAGGTACAAATGGACAACAATTTAAAAAATTTATTTATAAAAATTTCAGCATTATAAAACATTGCTACTCGACAATCTACAGGCACAAATGAAAGAACTAATGAAAGAAGTAGATGATCTGCGCTTTTCCAGAGATGAAGCTGTTAATTCAGCAAAAGAGACAGAAAAGAAACTTAAGACTATGGAGGCGGATGCCATGCAACTCCACGAGGTTTGTGACCTTTAACGATGTGTCCCGCTGCATTGCACTTTGCATTGATACAATTTTTAATTCTCTTAGGACCTGGCGACAGCAGAGAAAATGAAAAGACAGGCCCAGACTGAGAGAGATGAGCTGCAAGAGGAGATTAACAGCACAAATCTAAAGAGGTATGAACCTCAACAATAGAGTGACCATACAAAGTGAGGAAACCAATGTTTTATTATCTTGTATTTTTACAGTTCATCATTGACTGAGGAAAAGAGGCGTCTGGATGCTCGCATTGCTCAACTTGAAGAGGAGCTTGAGGAGGAACAGCTCAACACTGAGATGGTCAATGATCGCATGAAGAGATCCACACTTCAGGTGTGCCTTTCTACTCATTGATCATTCATTATTCTAATCTTGAGTTTGTTTATATCATTATTTCATAAATAAATCTTCATCATACAGACTGAACAGCTGACTACAGAGCTGTCAGCAGAGCGCAGTAATTCTCAGCGCTTAGAGGGGACACGCGCTCAGCTCGATCGTCAAAACAAAGAGCTGAAGCTGAAGTTACAGGAGCTTGAGGGAACAATCAGGTCTAAATACAAGTCTAACATCACAATCCTCGAGGCCAAGATCAGTCAGCTGGAAGAGCAGCTTGACATAGAGTCCAAGTAAGTTCTGCTTTTTGTGGATATAGACATTCTTTTTAAACACATCCACAAGTTTTTAATTTGAAAAAAATACAAATTTCAGGGAACGTCAGCAGGCTTCTAGACTGGCCAGACGCACTGAAAAGAAACTGAAAGAATCACTGCTGCAGATTGAAGATGAAAGACGCAACGCTGAACAATACAAAGATCAGGTTAAATTCAAACTCTGCTTCTATAAAAGTGAAATACTTTTTGAAGAGTATTTGACTGACGGTGATGTTTTTCCAGGTGGATAAGACCAACAGCCGTATGCGGCAGCTCAAGCGGCAGCTGGAGGAGTCTGAGGAGGAGGTGACTCGTGCCAATGCGTATAGAAGGAAGTTGCAGAGAGAGCTGGACGATGCTTCAGAGTCTGCTGACGTCATGAATAGAGAAGTGAGCACTCTAAGGAGCAAGCTCAGGTACATTAATATAAGTCTCATTGATCTCCATTGCACTTTATTTTACTCAATTTGTCTTTAAATCTATTCTCAGACGTGGAGACCTTCCTTTAAATATACGCCGGACCACAAATCGTTCAGGAATAGACAGTGATGAGGATATGGATGCATCTCCAGAGACACCAGAGCCTGCAGAGGAGTAATATAATTTTCCTGGGAGTAGGTTTAACTTGCTTGAATGAGAAAGATTTGAACACAATCATGGAAGTTACTTTTAGGGATTCTTGCTTACTTGACTTAGGAAAACAAAAAATACCTGTTTTTCAGATTGTCATGTTTTTAACTGTCGGATTATCCCAAACACTGATCACTTTCAAAACCAACATCATTTATAGCTATATCAAAGTATACAACACAACTTATGATAGGAAAAATATACATGTTCATAAGGGTGTGGTAGATTTCAGCTTTACATTTCTTCTTGTTGCATTTACTGTTTTGTTTTCAAGATATGTCAGATATAAATGTATGTCAATTTTTACGACTTTTAACTAATGCCTTACGTCAATAAAAAAAAATGTAAATTACTTTTGTGGATGGATTGTCATGCTGCAGCGACATCTTGTGGCAATTGTGTGTATTACAGCGGATGGCTTACCCCGTGCAACTTTTATAAAATAAAACGTTTATAACGAACAGCACAGTTAAATGCACTAATATTCACACACTCTCACGGTGTGTTGGAATGAGTTAAAGTATCAGTAAAGTGCATAGAGTCTAGTGGTGCGACTGGGGCGTTCACGCAGCTCTGCAGTGATAAGGTCAATCGCTAACACCAGGAGCATGGATGTACGGCTGCTAGTTTGGGTTAGCTATACCCATGTTTAGATTAAGTTTTTAGTGTGTTGCTTCACAGATATAGTACAAATTTTGGCAGAACAATATTGGTTACAAACTGGAGCAGGTGGTGTAACGTAGAATCCAAAAACAAAGTGATTAGACACTAGCATGACGCATGTGTTGAGCATGTGTCATGTGCAGAGACTAATGTAACTCTGAGAAAGGAGAGGATGTGATCGGTGACCGGCAGAAGTACACGTTATGAAGGTCTGGAGTCTTGTGGGAGACATTCTTCACCAGAGTTGAGTAAGTGAAGCTAAAGTTGGGAGCATTAGCAACGCGAAGCTAGTTGGTGCTAGCTACCCGGATGTCAACATTGACGTGTGCTAAATTATCGAAATAAATCTCTTTAGTTCCAAATGTCGATAGGAATACCTAAGAATTACATCCATGTAGTACACTGCTCATGTTCTTAGCATGTTTGTAATAAGTGTAAATGAATGTGGATAAGTCTCCTGCCATCTGCTGTCCACAGTACATACTGATGTGTAGGTTTGTAAACACAGGGTGAAGGAGCAGCCGGAGGAGCAGACTGGAGCAGACTGGAGCATCCCGGGGAAGCATGGAGCTGTTCGCGGTGAGTGTCCCTTTCCTGACACCTGCTGAAGCTATGGGTGACTTACTCCTCTACATATGACATGTGTGCACAGCTTTAGTCTGTTGACCTTATCCTGTCAATGGCTTGTTCAGTGACTGACAGTTCGTTTCCGTTGACTGTTATACGTTTCTCACAAGAATAATAATTAAACTCAAAACTGAAAAGGGGAATACAGACAAAACATTGCATTTGCATAAAGCCACATGTAAAGCATGGTTCTTTGCATTGATAAAGAATGGTTTAATGTAAAACCTCCCTTCACTGAATACAGATGTGTGTGTGTGTGTGTGTGTGTGTGTGTCTGACAGATAAGATGAAACCATAGAAAAATGTATTCTGGATTAAGCGTGTGCTTTGGCGTCTTATGGGGGAGGAGGACAAGAGCATCTCGTTGTGGGTAGTGTGGAGCCAAGTGGGGAGACCATATTTGTAACTGAGGTTTATTGAGTAGAATATCGCCTATAACAGCTGGTTTAGTACTTCAGGAATGTGAATAATGCTGGATAAGCGCACATCTGTGAGGCAATTTCTAGATCTATAAAAGGTGGTCTCCTCTTGTGTCATTTAAAATGTATTTTCTTGTGATTTTGTTTTATTTTTGGCCCATCTTTGTCTATGAGGCATATATCTGCAGAAAATATTCCTCACTGTGACGTGTTTCTGCAGCCCTTGTGCGCTGCCTGTCTCTGCACATCTCCATCACTGGACTGTGTGGGAAATCAGTCTCTTGCAATGTTTGTTTATAGTTTGCTCGTAAAAAGCTATTTGTGTACAAATATGTAGTTTTTACTCATTTGTTAATCCTCCTGTGATTCTTTGCTTAGTCCACATTATCCGTTTGAATGTTTTTCTTTTTTCTGACCCTTTCTTATGCCCTCAGGCCCACCCTGCTCTCAAAGCCTTTCTGTGCGGCTCTCTCAGTGGCACCTGCTCGACACTGCTCTTCCAACCTTTAGATCTGGTCAAAACACGTCTACAGACGCTAGAGAAAAATGTTAAACCAGGGTGAGTGTTCAAACAATTTGTTATGTTTACGACCTTGTGCAATGTGAAATAAATGTTGGTACAAAAATACTTAATACACAAACAACGCGTTAACTAGACAAAAGGCCTGGCCTGAAAAAATTAGGCCAGTTCACCGATGAGCCACGTTATAGGTCAAGTTGATGCAGTGCAGCATCCATGTGCAGTGTTGTGTCATCCTGTCCAATATAATTAGGCACACGCTGCTGGAAAATGTAGACCAACACACAACATGAACATAAATGTATAACCATTTCATATCACTGTCCTTGAAATTAATTTTAAACTACAATTAATTTTGTTTCTTTTTAGTGCACCTAAAGTTGGAATGATATCAGTTTTTGTGCAAGTCATTAGGACTGAAAACTTCTTCAGTCTTTGGAAAGGGGTTTCACCAGTAAGTCACATTCATATTATTGTATGTACAGTAGGTTCAAAAGATGAATAGTGAAGCAGGGGAAAGACACATGATCCAAAGTGCATGAACCATCAGCATTCCCATAATGTCTCAAAAGTAATCAAGATTTTATGCCATTTTTGAATAATAAGGGTGTATGAGCCAGCCCTTTTGCCATGTTTCTTATTTTTCTTTTTAGATCTTATGGGAATATCTGATCTGTTACATGGCATTGGTCTTTTGTATTTCTCTAGCTTCACAGTTAACAGCAACTTTATGCATATAATATTATTACATTTCAATGTGTCTTTTAACGTACTGTCAACGTTTGTCTTGTCAGTCTTTTGTCCGGTGCATTCCTGGCGTGGGAATCTACTTCAGCACTTTTTATTCACTAAAGCAGCACTTTATTGAAGAGCGAGCACCTAATGCTGTGGAGGCCGTTCTTCTTGGAGCAGGCGCCCGATCTGTGGCCGGGGTTTGCATGCTTCCATTCACAGTCATCAAGACACGCTTCGAGGTGAGTAATGATATCAGTAAACTACTAACATTCACAAATTTAAATTTAGTTTTCAACATGGTTCGATCGTTGTTCCTTCTACAATTGAGTGGCTTGCAAAAATACGTTTGTGCACATTTTGTCATGTTTATGGTCATTAGGGGTGTGACGATACATTGATATATTGCGATACTTTCTCCCGCGATTCAATTATCGATATGCATTTGCCAAGTATCTATCGATTTTTATTTATTAACTAGAAACTTGCAATGGCTGAAGCCATTGCGATTGACTGCGGAACAGATCTAATGTGGAAATCTGCTAAAAAAAATCCTTGAAATCCTTTAAAAAGCCTTGAAACTGTTAAAATACTTGATAGATATTTGAAACTCCTGAAGTCCTTGAAATTGTTGAAACCTTTAAACTCCTGAAATCCTTGAAACTGTTGAAACATTGAAACTCCTGAAATCCTTGAAACTTTTTTAAACCTGGAAACTGTTGAAAGTGTGGAAACTCCTGAAATCCTTGAACCTCCTGATATCCTTGAAACTGGTTAAATTCTTAAACAGCTGAAATCCTTGAAACTACTGAATGTATTGAAAGTGTCCTTGAAACTGAAAAATCCCCTCACCGCTGAAACAATTTGGTTCCTGTAACTAAGGAAACCTGGTCTGTGGTCATTATCTGGTGGTGGTCTGAGTCTTCGTTTGGGTCTTGGTCTGGTGGTATAATGCAACCTATTAGGTTGCATTATACATGAAAAAACCCTATTAAGTTGCATTATACTGGTTTACATGAAAAAAACCCTATTAAGTTGCATTATACTGGTTAACATGAAAAAAACCCTATTAAGTTGCATTATACTGGTTTACATGGAAAAATCCCTATTAAGTTGCATAATACTGGTTTACATGGAAAAATCCCCATTAAGTTGCATTATACTGGTTTACATGAAAAAAACCCTATTAAGTTGCATTATACTGGTTTACATGGAAAAACCCCTATTAAGTTGCATTATACTGGTTTACATGTAAAAACCCCTATTAAGTTGCATTATACTGGTTTACATGGAAAAATCCCTATTAAGTTGCATTATACTGGTTTACATGAAAAAACCCTATTAAGTTGCATTATACTGGTTTACATGGAAAAATCCCTATTAAGTTGCATTATACTGGTTTACATGGAAAAATCCCTATTAAGTTGCATTATACTGGTTTACATGGAAAAATCCCTATTAGGTTGCATTATACTGGTTTACATGTACAAATCCCTATTAAGTTGCTTTATACTGGTTTACATGTAAAAACCCCTATTAGGTTACATTATAGTGGTTTACATGTAAAAATCCTTATTAAGTTGCATTATACTGGTTTACATGTAAAAACCCCTATTAAGTTCCATTATACTGGTTTACATGTAAAAACCCCTATTAAGTTCCATTATACTGGTTTACATGTAAAAACCCTATTAAGTTGCATTATACTGGTTTACATGAAAAAAACCCTATTAAGTTGCATTATACTGGTTTACATGGAAAAATCCCTATTAAGTTGCATAATACTGGTTTACATGGAAAAATCCCCATTAAGTTGCATTATACTGGTTTACATGGAAAAATCCCTATTAAGTTGCATTATACTGGTTTACATGGAAAAATCCCTATTAAGTTGCATAATACTGGTTTACATGGAAAAATCCCCATTAAGTTGCATTATACTGGTTTACATGGAAAAATCCCATTAAGTTGCATTATACTGGTTTACATGGAAAAATCCCTATTAAGTTGCATTGTACTGGTTTACATGGAAAAAACCCTATTAAGTTGCATTATACTGGTTTACATGGAAAAAACCCTATTAAGTTGCATTATACTGGTTTACATGTAAAAACCCCTATTAAGTTGCATTATACTGGTTTACATGGAAAAATCCCCATTAAGTTGCATTATACTGGTTTACATGAAAAAAAACCCTATTAAGTTGCATTATACTGGTTTACATGAAAAAACCCTATTAAGTTGCATTATACTGGTTTACATGGAAAAATCCCTATTAAGTTGCATTATACTGGTTTACATGGAAAAATCCCTATTAGGTTGCATGATTACACTGAAGTCCTTGAAACTGCTGAAGTCCTTGAAACTGCTGAAGTCCTTGAAACTGCTGAAGTCCTTGAAACTGTTGAAGTCCTTGAAACTCTTGAAATCTTGAAACTGCTGAAATCCTTGAAACTGTTGAATCCTTGAAACTGTTGAATCATTGAAACTGTAGAAATGTCTGAAAGAGCTGAAGTCCTATTAAAATGCATGGGCCTATTAAAATGCATTGCAGAATTCTCAATGCAGATTTTTGTCCGATTGCGGAAAAACCGGAAATCGCTGAAGTCCCAAAAGTAATAGCAATAATCTCCCAAACATGTGGAACGTTTTGATGTATAACTTGTGGAAATTGTTGAAAATGTGAAAGCTGTGAAACGTGTCAAAAAAAATGACGGAATAAAGAAATACAAAACCAATGGTTGACTGCGGAAGGTTCCGCAGTCAACCATTGGTTTTGTATTTCTTTATTCCGTCATTTTTTTTGACACGTTTCACAGCTTTCACATTTTCAACAATTTCCACAAGTTATACATCAAAACGTTCCACATGTTTGGGAGATTATTGCTATTACTTTTGGGACTTCAGCGATTTCCGGTTTTTCCGCAATCGGACAAAAATCTGCATTGAGAATTCTGCAATGCATTTTAATAGGCCCATGCATTTTAATAGGACTTCAGCTCTTTCAGACATTTCTACAGTTTCAATGATTCAACAGTTTCAAGGATTCAACAGTTTCAAGGATTTCAGCAGTTTCAAGATTTCAAGAGTTTCAAGGACTTCAACAGTTTCAAGGACTTCAGCAGTTTCAAGGACTTCAGCAGTTTCAAGGACTTCAGTGTAATCATGCAACCTAATAGGGATTTTTCCATGTAAACCAGTATAATGCAACTTAATAGGGATTTTTCCATGTAAACCAGTATAATGCAACTTAATAGGGTTTTTTCATGTAAACCAGTATAATGCAACTTAATAGGGTTTTTTTTCATGTAAACCAGTATAATGCAACTTAATGGGGATTTTTCCATGTAAACCAGTATAATGCAACTTAATAGGGGTTTTTACATGTAAACCAGTATAATGCAACTTAATAGGGTTTTTTCCATGTAAACCAGTATAATGCAACTTAATAGGGTTTTTTCCATGTAAACCAGTATAATGCAACTTAATAGGGTTTTTTCCATGTAAACCAGTACAATGCAACTTAATAGGGATTTTTCCATGTAAACCAGTATAATGCAACTTAATAGGGTTTTTTACATGTAAACCAGTATAATGCAACTTAATGGGGATTTTTCCATGTAAACCAGTATTATGCAACTTAATAGGGATTTTTCCATGTAAACCAGTATAATGCAACTTAATAGGGATTTTTCCTTGTAAACCAGTATAATGCAACTTAATAGGGTTTTTTTCATGTAAACCAGTATAATGCAACTTAATGGGGATTTTTCCATGTAAACCAGTATTATGCAACTTAATAGGGATTTTTCCATGTAAACCAGTATAATGCAACTTAATAGGGTTTTTACATGTAAACCAGTATAATGGAACTTAATAGGGGTTTTTACATGTAAACCAGTATAATGGAACTTAATAGGGGTTTTTACATGTAAACCAGTATAATGCAACTTAATAAGGATTTTTACATGTAAACCACTATAATGTAACCTAATAGGGGTTTTTACATGTAAACCAGTATAAAGCAACTTAATAGGGATTTGTACATGTAAACCAGTATAATGCAACCTAATAGGGATTTTTCCATGTAAACCAGTACAATGCAACTTAATAGAGATTTTTCCATGTAAACCAGTATAATGCAACTTAATAGGGATTTTTCCATGTAAACCAGTATAATGCAACCTAATAGGGATTTTTCCATGTAAACCAGTATAATGCAACCTAATAGGGATTTTTCCATGTAAACCAGTATAATGCAACCTAATAGGTTGCATTATACCACCAGACCAAGACCCAAACGAAGACTCAGACCACCACCAGATAATGACCACAGACCAGGTTTCCTTAGTTACAGGAACCAAATTGTTTCAGCGGTGAGGGGATTTTTCAGTTTCAAGGACACTTTCAATACATTCAGTAGTTTCAAGGATTTCAACTGTTTAAGAATTTAACCAGTTTCAAGGATATCAGGAGGTTCAAGGATTTCAGGAGTTTCCACACTTTCAACAGTTTCCAGGTTTAAAAAAAGTTTCAAGGATTTCAGGAGTTTCAATGTTTCAACAGTTTCAAGGATTTCAGGAGTTTAAAGGTTTCAACAATTTCAAGGACTTCAGGAGTTTCAAATATCTATCAAGTATTTTAACAGTTTCAAGGCCTTTTAAAGGATTTCAAGGATTTTTTTTAGCAGATTTCCACATTAGATCTGTTCCGCAGTCAATCGCAATGGCTTCAGCCATTGCAAGTTTCTAGTTTTTTTTAAACATAAAAAAAAAAAATTGGTATCAATACTTTATATATGGCTACATTACGCATCTCCATTCCATTTATCATGAAATAAAGTGTAATTTTTCTTTTCATGCCATAAATTGGCATATTGTTTATTTCTGACCAATATATCGATAATCGTCATATCGTGATAAAATCGTTATCGTGATATTGTTATTGTGATAATATCATTATATCACCATTTATGTAACTAATCAACTGCACTTTCAGGTTCACATATCATTTTTTTTTAAATGTGATAATTTAATCTCAACCACTTAAAATGTATTTTAGTTATCATCACCTCCCTTAATGCCAAAAGGCATTTTTGATGCTTACAAAAATGTATGATTAGTGCTGATTGTGATACTCAATGACATTCAAACTAACAATTTATGGTTCTTTCAGAGCGGTTGCTACAACTATGTAAGTGTGCTGGGTGCCTTAAAGAGCATGTATCAGACAGAGGGAATCCGAGCTCTGTTTTCAGGGCTGACTGCGACTCTGCTCAGAGATGCTCCTTTTTCCGGCATTTACGTCATGTTCTACAGTCAAACAAAGAGGTCCCTCCCTCAGGGTATGACCATTGTTATATTCTGAGCTCTTGTGTAGAAGTTTTCTTTGATTGATTGTTTATGTTACAGAGGTGGCGTCTTCCCCGTATGTTCCCCTAGTAAACTTCAGCTGTGGGGTAGTTGCTGGCGTAATGGCATCACTTGCAACTCAACCTGCCGATGTTGTAAAAACACACATTCAAGTGAGCCCATCCCACTGGCGCACTGTGGATGCCATCCACTACATCTACACTGTGAGGCTCATTTATGACTTACTTTACATCTTTGACATTTAAAGAATAAAAGTACCACATCTGAATTTGGCTTTATGCACGTATAATTGACTTGATGTAGTGTACATTGAGCAAGTCGACTATTCTTGAATGGCTGCATCTATTTTCTTAAACTGTTTTTTGTCTTCCATTGTGTCTCAATTCAAGGAAAATGGAGTACGGGGATTTTTTCGTGGAGCTGTCCCAAGGTCCATTAGACGCACACTGATGGCTGCTATGGCTTGGACTGTCTATGAACATCTAATGGCAAAAATGGGTCTCAAATCCTGAGACGTGACTTAATGTGATAGAAATTTGAGAAATCTTGGTTCAAGAAGACTTCAGCCCGTTTGTCTGAGTGTTAGTGTCATGTGTTCATGTGTCAAAATGTGTTATGGGAAAAAAAACAAAAATGTCTTCACACTTCACTGCTGTGTTGATCAAAGTGATGTTTTCTGCTCCTACAAAGTTATTGAGACGCCCTTTTATACTTTGTATTGGTTTGTGTAAGCTCTCAGTCGTACAGGGATTAGTCAAAGCAAAGGAAGGTTTCTCACCCATCATCTATACTTCTTAGCAGAGAAGTACCTTCCTTTGCTTTGTATTGGTGTATACCATGTATGAATAATAAACTTACCAAAAGTTATGCAACACAGTTGCGAAGACTCTGGAGTCCTGCAAAAGATCTGCACAGACAATCATGCAGCTGCATTGAGGAAAACAGGCGCACACAACTGATCACAACAAGGCCTTTTATGTGATTTTCAAAAGTTGCACATACACATTTGTATAAAAAAAAGATCATACTGGCAGCTGATTCTGTCTGCTTTTTATTCATCATTATCTTTGTAAATAATAAATAATGGCCACAGATTGATGTGTATCTTGTAGATAAGACTAAGCTCTATATGAATTTCTATGTAATTTAATATCAGAGCCTGTGTATAGTCCTGTAATTAAAAAAATAGTATAGTAATTGGGGGACTTCTGATGTCTTTTGGACAATTCAGTTCTGTTGATGTTGTCACGCCTGCTGACTTGGTCTTTGATAAGCTGTGATGACAATGTATTGAATACATGGCTGTTATTTTATGTATATAGTATATTTGGACTGTTTGGTTTGTTTTGGTCTAATTAATTCAAATGAAATTATTTTTTAATAAAACATCTCATTCACTTAATTCACTTAACATAAGAGTGCGGTATGTGATCTCCTTAGACTCAAAAGAGTCTGGCTGACCCTTGTCTGTTTCTGTTGGCTTGATTTTAATAGGTTTATAAAACCTATTTTTCCGTTGAAGATTTTCATGAAGCGAGTGTATGGGAAGATGTTGCTATGCGACAGTGAACAGAACAAACCTTTGAATAAAGCAACCTGAATATAAAGTGAGGCATTTCCGTTTAAGAATATGAATATGGTTTCCTCCAAAATAAAACTCGACACTGACCTTTTTGTGCCGCTGATGTTCCGACCTGGTATTTTATTTTGAAAATAAAAGACGGAAACAAGCGATTGTAGCTCCGGTGGTACAGTAAACATATCATCCATGGACACGAACGGACTCGATCCTGACCACTTTATTCAAGCGCTTCAGACTTTACTGTAGAATAGATTATTAGGCTCTATGGCTATTTAAGTATTCACATGAAACAGCTTCTTGAGTAGGCATGCGTATGACAGTTAACTGCATTTTGAGCGGGCGTAGTGCGGGGTGTTAAAACAGAATCAGAATTTTCGGACATCCTCCAAGTAATTATAATGGTAAGGTCTTAAACAGTCAGTATCTACTCCAAAGTGAAGGCTAGTTTCGATATACATGTGCTGTTTTGTAGATTCTGTCTCGTGTAAAGCCGGCTGTGGGGGGAGAGGCGCCTGAAAGCATACGAGATAAAAAGAACAAAAATAAAACGCCTGCTTTACAAGATTATCTGCAACAAAGAGACTATCTCGGAGCTTTGACTCTGTTAGAGGTAAATCATCACTATGACTATGAATGATCATTCTTTGATTGAAAATTCTTAATCCTTTCGCCTGGATAATTCTTTCATATTATTGTGTTGAGCAAACCTAATTGTAGGTGTAAAAGTGTTTTTTATTTATTTTTATTTATGATTCATCAGTTCCAAAGAAGCATTGGAGAGAAAGTGGAGAATGCAGACCTCTGGATTTGCTATTGTGCCTTCCATTTGGGAGATTATAAGAGAGCCATGGAGGTATTGTGAACTCTGAAATATCACAGCAGCCACACTTCCATCAATCTTCTCCCGTGAGGCTGTTGTTACAGAAGCAACTAATGGAGTGAATGATGAATACTTAATTATATATCGCTGTTGAGTGTCATTAGTTAAAGGTTTTTTCCTTTTTTTGTATAATTTTACAGGAATACAAGTGCCTAACTGTGCAGCCTGATTGTCCTCCAGATGTCTGGGTCTATCTGGCCTGTGCTATGTTTTTTCTTGGACTTTATAAAGAAGCTGAAGAGGCTGCTTCCAAGGGTAGGGAAATATAACAAATATTGCTTCATTTGAATATTGCTGTTCTATAAACTCAGTTTGTCCTTCAGCACCTGTGTCTCCTCTCCAAAACCGCCTTTTGTTTCATTTGGCTCATAAGGTTAGTTGAATTTTGTCATTTATTTAAAGACAAAGAAATTACTGCCATCTTTGCGTCGTGACCAGAACCAGCCAATCATTCATGCCTGAGCTGTGATTAACTTAAATTATTTATTGCATAAAAGTGCAACAGAAATAGTAGAATTCCACAACAATAAGCATTTTTTCCTCTCTTTTCTAATCATGGCAGTTCAATGACGAGAAAAAGCTCATGGGTTTCCACCAGAACTTAGAAGATGTCACTGAGGATCAGCTTAGTCTGGCATCTATTCACTACATGAGATCCCACTACCAGGAAGCATTAGATATCTATAAACGGCTTCTACAGCAGAACAGGTCTGTGCCTAAAAATCACATCGGACTGTTACGTTTTTCTATTTAATTTTTTCTTGTTTCTTTCTCAGAGATTTTCTGGCACTGAAGGTCTATGTCGCTCTGTGTTACTACAAGCTCGACTACTATGACGTCTCTCAGGAGGTGCTGGCTGTTTATTTACAGAGTATCCCTGATTCTACCATCGCCCTCAATCTCAAGGCTTGTAATAATTTCAGGCTGTATAATGGCAAAGCTGCTGAAGTACGTACCTCAAACATGTTTTAAAAATAATTAGGACATGTTTAGTATTGAGACGTTTTGACCTTTCAAATCTAAAAGGAGACAGTCCAAGAACATTATCTTTTCTTATGAGGGGGACATAATCTCTGAAATTTGTACCTGTATCGGAGTATTTTTTTCTTCAAAGAAACAGAATGGCGGGTTATAAACTCCAAAGCCGTATCAACAATCTCCTTTCAGATATGAATATTACCATTGGATTACATCAGTCTCAATGCTGATAACTTAGCCCTGATCTTCACTATTTTTCCAAAATTGATTTTATTTTAGCCTAACTACTCATGCCTCTCTCTTTTCCTTAGGCTGAGTTAAAAAATCTCATTGATATTTCTTCTAGCTCGTTTGAGTTTGCTAAGGAGCTTATTCGGCACAACTTGGTAATCTCTCAGTCACAGCGATCAAACTGTGTACATTTGGCCAACTCGAATGATTCATTTGTAACTTCTTTTTTGTTTTTTTCAGGTTGTGTTTCGGGGGGGTGAGGGTGCATTGCAGGTGCTGCCTCCATTGATAGATGTGATTCCTGAGGCTCGACTTAATCTGGTCATTTACTACCTCCGACAAGGTGATTAGTGACTTAAAACGGAAACGTCATGATACAAATATAAAAAATAAATGATTAGTCTGTTTTCACTGCTCTAAATGGTACACATATTATTCATGGATTTGGTTTCAGATGATGTCCAGGAAGCCTATAATCTCATTCAAGACCTTGTGCCAACCACGCCACAGGTATTTCAGTGCATTCAGACCAAATATACAAAATTATTAACTTTACCCATGTTTTCCTCAATAACAGGAGTATATTTTGAAAGGCGTTGTAAATGCAGCTTTGGGTCAAGAAATTGGATCAGTAAGTGTTTTTGTTTTTTGCTTTTATAATAATGAGTTGGTAGTGTTTGTGTCCAAGATGGCGACTGTTATATTTATGTGGTGAATATTATATTTATGGAGTGATATTACCGTTTTTACAGCTGAATTACACCTTACACTTTGTTAATACCAACGCTCTCTTGGTTTCAGAGGGAAAACTTAAAAATTGCTCAACAGTTTTTCCAGTTGGTCGGAGGTTCGGCGAGCGAATGCGGTGCGCACAATGCACATTTTAACACTACCAATGCTGAAACGCAGAGTCATTGTTCATGTTTGCTTTCCTAGACACTATTCCTGGGAGGCAGTGCATGGCCTCGTGTTTCTTCCTCCTGAGACAGTTTGAGGATGTGCTCGTCTATCTGAACTCAGTCAAGGTGAGAGCTGTCTTTGTACAGGCGTAAATAAAGGTGAAGTGATTTCATCCCGTCATGGATACGGGATCTGTAAGATGGAGCTGAGCTATACGCCCACTGAAAGGGTAAAGGTGTAACTGTAATAACAAAATGGTGCCTGGCAAGAATTTTTATCACAGCTTTATTTTGTGCAACATATCTATGAGGCGTTAGCATATTCTTACAGTGAGTTATGTTTTTCCAGAATTACTTTTCTCATGATGATACATTCAACTTTAACTATGCCCAAGCTAAAGCTGCCCTTGGAAATTATAAGGAAGCGGAAAAGGTATCCCTTGTAATTCATATTTAGATAATTATTACATTTTAGTTTATTATTAACACTGTTTGTTTACAGGTATTTCAGCAGATTCAGAATGAGAAAATAAAAAATGATTATGTCTACCTCAGCTGGCTGGCACGATGCTGTATGTATTAAAACCCAGTCTCTACCCTACTTGACAGATAGATTTATTGCAAATGCGTATTGAAAAGCAAACATCTTGTATAATAAATCATTATTTGATTCTTTTCAGATATAATGAACCAAAAAGGCCGACTTGCATGGGAACTTTATTTGAAAATGGGAACTTCCTCTGATTCCTTCAGTATCCTGCAGCTTATTGCCAATGACTGCTATAAGGTGACCACATTCTCACTCGTGCTTTGTCACCTGCAATGTTTTCATACAAAAAAATAACAATAATAACACCTTATTGCAGATGGGACAGTTTTACTATGCAGCCAAAGCATTTGATGCATTGGAGAAACTGGATCCAGGGTCTAACTATTGGGACGGGAAGAGAGGAGCGTGTATAGGTGTCTTTCAGATGATACTGGCAAATAAAGAGCCAAAGTGAGTAGTATTCATTCATTGAAATGCTTGTTGACAGCATGCTGCTATAACACTTACAACTATTTATCATTAATCTTGTTTTCTGTCTTTTTTATAAACTAGGGAGACGCTCAAAGAGATTGTGCCCTTGCTGCGCAATTCAGGAAACTATCAGGTTGACTACATTGTCAAAACGCTGAAAAAATGGGCCAAAGACAACAGAGTCCTCATTGTATGACACTTTTAATGAAGGACACTATGCATGGTCATAAGCTATTATTAGTTTATCATTAAGTAAATGTTTATTTATATCATACGATTTGACACTACGCAGTTGGTATTTTACAGCTTGACTAGATTTAGCATTGCCCAATTTGTGTACATATTGTGTATACTAAATATATATTTTAAACATTTTGTTTGTTTTAAACTATTCTTAAGACAACAACTCATATCTATTTAGACGGGTCAAATGTTTTTCATTTTGTCTGTATTGTTGCTAAATATATATTTAGATATTTCTGAAAATACACCTCTCCTAACTAAATGTAAGATTTGTCCATTTTCAGATAGTGGAACATGGGGTCAACAGGTGGCCCAGACTCCTTTAGTCTGAGTCAGCTTTATTAGGGCGTTTGGATTAGAGCCAATCATAAGTCATTTTTTCTTCCGTTTAGGATTAGATGTTTGAGTGCCCATTGTGGAAACATGCTCTAATCAGCATTTCGTTGAATGGACTGACAGAAAGGTGTCAGATGAGTGTCGTTTTTGGTGTGGGAGCGTTCTAAACAGTGTTTGAGCGCAGACACTTGTATTCATATTTGGCAGCTGTCCTTCTGTGGTGCACTTTATAAAGGTCATTATACTACTGATAGTCTTGTTATTATCGCCTGTTGTGACGGGGCGGGCTTAAACTCGGGGCACACGCTGATTGGTCTAGGAGAGCCCCCTGTGACATGGATGCTTCCGGTTTCTAAGTAAGCGCATGCGCAGTGACCCCTCTCTACTGATATTTTATTTACTCTGGAAACCCAAGATGGCTTCTGTGAATGTCTCGGTCCCATAGCAAATTGAGGATGGAAGCAGTCACCGAAAAAACAACTTTTCCTCGGCCGGGGTGTCCCCCGGAAAGCGCTTGGTTCTTTTGGGAGAATGTGTGCTGGTCCGTGTAAGCCCTGAGGAGCCGTGGCAGCGACGCGAAACCCTCTTTAACCCACCGATTTGGTGTAGTTTCGCGAAGTACTATCTGCTGCTGTCGCTATCTGTCCTGAGCGTGGTGCGGCAGCTCATCCAAATGGCCGAACCGAGGAAAGTGCAGTTTGTCACCCTGTCGGCCTTCGCCCCCGGAGCGGACTCCAGGAAGCGGCGGCTGGAGGAGAATGGCTCTGGCTCACACTCCTCCAGAGCCGTGGAGGTCGTAGCGGAGGCGGCTGGGGCAAAAGGCAAAGCCGGGGACAGCGACCAGGCTGCAGCCCAGAGGAGGAGGAGGACCGTGCGGCTGGACCTGCCTCTGTCCGAGCCAGACGACCGCTCCTCCGCCGAGTTCAACTATGGAGAACTCGTTCAAAACACTAAGGTAAAAGTTTAGACTTGCCTGAATATACTTTATATTTTCACAAAACTGGACCGAGAGTGAGTATCTGAAGTGTGCACTGTTTATGGACTTGTCATCGCTTCATCAAGGGGGAAGTGCACCTTGTCTTTAAGTGGAACAGCATGGTTGAGACTTGGATCGGTTTAGTAGACTATGTATCCTACTGTGAACACCACAGTTTAATAAAAGTAACACGTTTGCGTTAATACCTCTGTTATCCAGGCATTTCCTTCTTTTTCTCATTCCGCTTCTTCAGCCAAGTGAGGTGTCCCAATCTCACTCAAAATGGTGGAGACAGACATCACCCTATATGTTAAGGGTGAATATTATATTTTGCCACGAGAACTGAAATGTATAAATATGTTGGTAATTGGTGTTTTATTGCCTTTGTCAATGGCCATTTAAACATCTGTATAAAAATGGCCTTTGACACTCAGCACTATTTTAACATCACATACGAGTTCATTCATTGCACTTCTGTCTCATAGTTGCCACACGCTGTTTCCTCTTTGATCTGCACACGTAAAGCTGTGTGTACCTGTGTCTGTGGACCTGACTTGCCCAGCAACAGCCCACTCATTCAGCCTGTGCTCTATACTTTAAGATGGCACATGCATTTTGCCCCTGTGGCAAGAGAGATGGGCAGAGATTACAAGTACCAGGATGCAGCATTATGTCATAGCTGTGAGAAGCTTCATTTGACTGATAGTTTGAGTGTAGTCTGACAATGAGGGTTTGCAGTAAGTTAGATGTGTTATTGGGGTTGTCTTGAGTATCAGAAATCACATATTAATCATTTGTTAGACTGAAACTAAAGATCTGTTTTGTTGATCAAGTAGTAAGTAAAGTGAGCTCGGTAAAAGTGAAAGTTTAATTTTTTTGTGTAAGGTTTGCCATGACTAAAAACAGAAAATAGTTTAGTCGTAAAAATAATTTATTCATCATTTATTCATCAAATCTCTTCTCATGTTTGCAGTTTTACATTACAACAAATAATTAGTTTCTAAGTCAACCACAAGGTGTATTATTAGACTCAGCCAATGAGTTGACCTGCATGATTAAAGGCATATCAAATTTTTGTATTTTTTTCAGACTAAATCTTCGAGCCAAACCTCCGCTCCGGACCCCTGTGACCCCTTCAATGATGATGAGCGAGAGCGGCTGGAGGTCGAGGCACTCGCTAAAAAGTTTGAAAATAAATATGTAAGTTTTTGTTTTTATATTTTGCAAATTAAGCGCATTCTAAACCATCCTAAAGCTGGGTTACATGACTTTCAAACTATTAAAAAAGATGGGAAAATGTAATAACATTCATAATAAAAATGTATTCCTTGCTCTCAAAGAAGGTATATCACATTTTTACACGCATGTTTTTTGATAAATTTTAGATAAACTTTCTGAGATAGAAAATATGAAAAGGAGGACCACCCTCAGCCCAAAGAGTCAAAAAGTGATTCACAGGGAATGGACAAGATTTTGTAAAAAAAATTTAGGGGAAAAGGTTTTTAATTTTTTATCAATATGTTTCTTTTTTTCTATGTTCAATGTTTGGCTTGATAAGAAACTAAAATGTGTTATGTTTTTTTAAAATCTTAATTCAGCAAGGGTAAAAAAAGACAAATTGTTTAGGGATCGCAAAACTGTGGAAAGAAATGAGAATTGAATTGTTATATTGTCTACATTTATTTACAATTGTTTCTTTTTCCAGGGAAATGACGGGAAAAAGAAGAGGAAGGACAGAATGCAGGATTTAGTGGATATTGGTTTTGGCTACGATGAAACCGATCCCTTCATTGACAACTCTGAAGCTGTGAGTACCGTACATGATTTACATGTGATGTTCTTCTCTGCTCGTTTCCGGCACATGTTGACCTGTCATAATATTTAGTCTTTGACTAAATGACTGAATTTAAGTAACAATTCAGAGCTCAATATTTAGATGTTGTAATTTTACATAAGTTATTTATTATATGGTTTCCTGAAAACAAATGTCCTATAGAATTATTTTTGCATTTGGTAGTTTCTATGTTATTGACTATCACCATCTTTATAGCCGCGTGTGCTAAAAATATAAGGGCCCAAAGATGCGTCACACTGCAGTTATAAAGTGAGTTAATTACTTATTGCATTCATTAACTTAAAACGTCTAGTTGCAGCAATTTTGTGAATTACTTTGTTGTTGCCGCTCTGGAACAAACAACTACACATTTTCCTTGGGAATTATAATTTTTTCCTTCATTAAACTTTAATCACTTTCATGGTTTGACCGATCTTGACACAACTGACAGAACCTTTCCCCTGCAGTACGACGAGCTGGTGCCCGCCTCTCTGACCACGAAGCTTGGTGGCTTTTACATCAACACCGGAACGCTGCAGTTCAGAGCCGCGTCAGAGTCTGAGGGAGAGCAAGACAAGGTGAGGAGAAACAGATTTGAAGTAAAATAAATAATACAAAATTAAATAAACTTTCAACAATATTTGTCAAAGGAACCAGCGTAAAAATCATTCTGTGTAAAATAAGAAAACAAGCAAATGATGTGCATCCTAGTCCTGGGCGATCAATCATGTACAAGATACAAGATTTTATTTGCTATTTGCAGTAAAACCACATTGGAAAAACTGTGCGAGACTAACCCAGTGTGCATCAGACAGAGAATATGGCAGACACCAGAGCACTTGCGTGTCTATAAACAGCAGCTAAAAACACAATATTGTGATTTTTCTATCTTTTTAATTTGTGGCAAAGCTGTAGCATTTACCTAATGATATTTTTAAGCGAGCTACAAGATTACATGGCAAAAAGTCTTTATGTGCGCTATTAAAATTATAAAGCCGAATACACTTTTTTTTAACCAATTCACTTGTGGACTTAGTGAAGAATCTCTGGACGCGTTACTCTGCCCGTTGTCTTAAGCAGTGACTGATCGACAGCTGCCAACACGAGGAGCCCTGCGCTGCAACTGTTCAATACAAGACACGGCGGCATTACGCATTACACTAAACTATTGTATGTTTTGAGCTCTGGCCCCAACAACCCATTCCATCGCTAAGTGTTTGCCATTTGTTTCAGACGCCAAACGATAAGGAGCAGGTGGTTAAGAGGAGAAAGAGGAAGGAGGTGACCAATCCAGAGGAAAAGAGCACAAAGAAGAACAAAGTACCTAAACAGGGGTAAGAGGCATCATCCTTAAAGACCTTATGACGGGTTTTAAAAAAAAAAATAGTGGATATCAAAATTGCATGACAATGTCAATTTGAAAGAGATTCCGGCAAAAAAAATCCTATATTTTATAAAAAGAACGTGTTTTTCATGAATTTAAGTTGTCTATGCTCTAACCTGTGTGTGACGTCATAGCGAGTTACGCCCATGCATTGAAAACCATGGATCTATGCGACAGGACTGCCTTTTCTCTCTTCTCTCCACTGATGCCCAACACAATACTGCACTCTACAGGTGACAATTGCTCACTACACATAAATTGCCGTTTTGAGTGTGAAAAAGTGTCCGAGGTGGGATTTGAACCCAAGTATCTGGATTGGCAGTCCTTTGACACAACCACTGGACTATCTCAGTGACAACGTAAAGTCACATTCTAGTAGTTATCTTAGACTCGCTGTACACGGCCTTGTCATCTTGAATATCCGATTCGCGAAAAAAGAACGAATACCAAATTGTAAACAACTTACAGCGTTGAAACGTACCCGTTCTGACGTCACCAAGGGCTGTGAAGTTTTTTCGTCTCTAAGGGCGTTGCTATGGGGTTATTTCGATTTGGGGGGATCAGACAAAAAAACCACTGATTTTGAAACCTTTAGTAGTTCTCTTCTAATATAAAATGGTATTAAAACTGTATTTCTAAATAAATCAAACCCGTCATAAGGTCTTTAAAGACCATGTGTTTCTGTTTCTGTTAGTGAGGTTGTGTGATGGGCCTTTTTGATCCAGGAGTGAATCAAAGACTACATGAAGAGAATAATATATTTTGACATTGATAAAAACCTTAGTCACTCCCCTTTGCCTAAAACAAGAGGTGTGATGTGGATTTCTATTGCACAGCAGTCATCAGGTCGGTTAATTAAAAGCAGACTATAGCCCAGGGAGAACGGCAGCCCTTGAACGTCTGATCATTATTTCTTGTCCATGTTGCCACAAAAATCGATAAGTGCCTTTGACCTTTTGTCGGTTCGATCCGAATGAGCATCGTTTTTGTGGCAGCTTTCAGTGTGAGTAAAGTTAAACTAATCTGTGCAGATGTAAGTAATTTTATGCTTCTATGTGGCCACTTGTGACCCATGATGGCACAAGTTTGGACACTGATCATATTGAAAACAAGGTGGTAAGCATGAACTCACAGAGCTGTATTTACCAGTCAATTAGTTTTTAAATAATTGACCTTTGTCTACAGTCTGGCCTTTGTGGTTTAAATGTTGACCGCAGCATGGTTCTGTCTCCTCTGTCGTGCTAATAATACCCCTCCCCATTGCTCCACTGTTTCTCATACATTTACCATGAGGCGTAGATGCTGAGCCTGACTGTTACCATTAGTGAATGACTTTTATTTTCCTCAAGGTGTGGATTTTTAGGCTCTCTACTCTAGCAATTATTTTTAAATAATGTATTATTAGTGACCAAAAACACATTGGACATAGTTTACATATTTGTAACGCTACAGCTGTATAATATTTATATAATATATATAATTCAAATGAGGATCTCCATACTATATTTAGCGCTTTTCTTTTCGACATGTGAAACTGAACTGTCTCCTAGCCACTTGATTATTGGAGAGTTATTCCCCAGACATGCATATAAATATATAGTTAAAGCTTTTGGTTATAACATTTCCATCATATGTTTCCCATAAATGACAAACTAAACATGCTTTATCTGCAGGTTGACATCTCTCAGGCCAGAGAAAAAGAAGAGGAAGAAGCTGATGAAGGACTCGTTGTACCTGGCTGCGATGCTCAGGCGGTTTTCACGAGAGAAAGAAGACCTGCGTAAACGGACTGTCAATACTTCTCATCCCAGTTCAGCCATGAAGCCTCACTCTACAAACTCTGCAAACCACACACTCGCCGCTAACCCCTCAAACCCATCAGGCGCCAATGATCTGCTGCTGACCGACCTCACCGCGGACCCTGCCGTCATGTCCCTCCTGGGCTCCGCCAACGAGAAGGAGCTCCAGGATCTGCTTGGAGACTTGGACTTTGGTCTGTTGGACTCGGAACAGGCCAGGGAAAATGGCATTCTGGGAGCCAGTTCATCTTATCTTAAAAGTGGGGGTCAGGGGCGGGGCCTGTTTTCTCCTCCACCGCTGCCGAATGGACTGCCAGCACCTCTCATTAAACGCATCGAGGACCTGCGAGCGGTGAGTTGGCATGTTCTTAGCAGGGGACAGTGAAGTGTATCTAAGACGTGAAGGGTTTGTTGTGTCTGACGACACAAACAAAACCCTTCTGATGAAAGGCTAACTTCTATTTATGCAAGTTCAGGTTAGAACCTTTTATTTTGTCTTTATTAAGGACGCACTGTATCCCTGCAGATGATCCATAGCTGATAAGATAAAGAAGGAAAATGATTGCTTGTATGCAGTATGATAGTACGCAGAATTGTTGTAGACTTTTAGTTTGTATTTTTAATAAACATAAAGTTTGTATTTGTAAACTGGTCAGCTAAAGGTTTGAATGCAGCTTGGCTCACTGATTGGCTTTTAAAGCATCTTATGAATGACAAAAATAAATTCTACAAAAACTGAAATTACAGGTGAATGTGAGATCGATTAGTGTGGTTTAAGACATGCACTGAAGTTGGATTGAATAGTTGATGATGTAATTGTTGCTTACATCCACTTTTGTGACTTACCGGTAATCAGCCTCTTGAGGGTCAGTGTTGGCAGCCGTGTGTGTGTTCCTGCAGCAACTCTTAAAAGTCCTATGCACTATGCTGACTCATGTTCTCTCCCACAGGCCTCGCGGCAGTTCGATCAAGAGGGCAGGAAGAAATTTTTCACCCTGGACATGAATAACATTCTGCTGGAGTGAGTAGGACAGCTTTTGAAATCACTGCCAAATCCAGCATCACTATCGCATTTGGTGTCCTTCACCCTCATGTTTTCGCCGCTCTCCCTTATCTGCTTCTTCCCAAATATATCGTCCCCCTCCTCAGTGTCCGTTACTCGGTGTGATCACTTGTATGTGACGGACATTGTTCTTCTGTTCAGTATCGAGCTGCAGGTCCAGGAGCAGCCTCCCGAGATGCGAGCAGATATCTACTCTCACCTGGAGGCGTTTGTTCCCTGCAACAAAGAAGCACTTCTCAAGCGGCTGAAGAAACTGAGCCTCAACATTCAGGTGAGAGACTTAAACTTTAATGTTTCCGAATCACTCGAACCCCTTATACTCGCTAGAATAATGGCTTGTAATCTGATAGCAAGCAGTTACATAATTCAACTTAATTGTAGTTTAAAAGTACCACAGCTGTTACAAAAATCCATCTAAATTGTTATAGGCCTTTGTTAGGGTTAGGGTCTGTTTTTCACATGCATGAGATTCAAGGCCTCGATCACATTTTTAGAGCCGCTTTTTCACACAGAAAAGTGAAGCGTGAGATCACCCACACTCAACCAATCAGCTCTCAGCCCAAAGTGTCAAATAGTGACTAAAAAGTATAGTATTCAAAAGATCATCTCATTAGAAAAGATTAGATTAAGACAGCAAGTTGAAGTCCAATTATTTCACAAAATGTCACTTATTATTCTTTTGGAAGGGTTGGATTAGGTGTCATAGATATAATTTCTTACAAATGAAGAATAGAATTTTTTTGTTTTCATTTTGTTCATTTTTTTTTAGCGTCTCTGCTTCACACATAATTAAACATTTTACAATCCATAATCCCTCGATTTCTCAGGAATGTTTCACCATATTTGGTTTTTAATCCCCTTCTATCTTTTTTTCCAAAGTACAATGCTCTCAGCTCTGTGTGGGCGGTATAGTGTACCCAGCACTGCCTCTGAAATCCACCTCTAAAATGTATTCTGTTATGTCTCATTGAAGTGTGCGGGGGAGTTTGTTGATGCCTTTTGTCAACAGTGCTCGCAGCCTCTTGTTCTCACTTCTGTTTTCATCACCCTCTGTCTGTGATTGTGGCGCAGGACGACCGTATGCGGACGCCTCTGCTGAAGCTCAAGTTGGCCGTTTGCAGTGTGATGCCGGAGCAGATCGCCAGATACAACATGGACTGCATGGCCAAAGCTGCAAAGTATGTGAATCTGTATTGAAGTGACTACAGTATTTACTATGTTGTTTTCCAACTAGGACAGCCACTTTGCAGGAGGGCTTTGAATTATTTCAACTGCAGCACTACTGTCTGCTCTCCTGCCCCCTAGTGGCCTCTGTAATGAATGAACTATGTGTTGCAGGCACCAGTCAGAGGAAGGCGAGAAGAACGGCTCAGATGAGGAGGATGAGGAGAAACCAGGAAAACGGGTCATGGGTCCAAGAAAGAAGTTCATCTGGGATGATAAACTCAGGTAATTAAATAGAGGTTATTTAAATTGAGTTTTAAAATAGTCTGTTTTTTTTTTTTTTTTTTACTTGATGTAAACTGTGTGTACAGGGCCCTACTGTGCAGCATGGTGCGAGTGAAGCTGAGCTGCTATGAGATGGAGAACCAGAGCTCTCTGTCTGTGGAGGACTACCTCAAGGCCTTTTTTGAGAATGAGGTCAAACCACTGTGGCCCAAGGGCTGGATGCAGGCCAGGTCTGTGTTGTCCGCTCATAACCATAACCCTTGCTTCTACTGCCATGTGGACCTTCATAAAAACACATAAAAACAAATACAAAAGAGTCACAATGCTACCGTGTGTTGGTTTTGCAGACTGACTGCTCTACAGACACTAATACACTTCATAATTTTCTTTTCTCTTTTCAGGATTTTGTTCAAGGAAAGTCTAACTGTTCATGGTCACCTCACTGGAAACTTGTGAGTATTGTAGTAGATATATAGATATACTTTATTGATCCCCCGAAGGAGAAATTCAGGATTTGAAATTCAGGATTTGATGTGCCCACAACAAGTAAAAATTATATATTTTAAAAAAATGTTCTGCGTTTCCTGTTTCAGAATCAAGAGGCGGGTGATGCCAGGGCCCAAGGCCAAGGCGCGGGTGAGTGGAGCTCTGCTGTCTGTTTGTGATTCAGTGCTTGTCCGTCCTCTGACACTGGTTCTATCGTGTGTGTGTGTTCCAGGAGCCTGGGTGGGTGCAAAAGCCTCTTCCGGGGGCATCGTCGGTGGTGCAGTCCACTGCTCCTCGTCAGCTGCCCTCGGTGTCTCCATCGGAGCCCATTTGTTTGTCCGATTCTTTGGACGAAGACCTCACGGCCCCCTCCTTGGACTCCATCTCTCATGCGCTTGCCCTCCTCAGTAACGCATCCAAGGGTCTGTGCTCATCTGAAAGCCCGCTGTCCCCCCCTCCTCTGCAGATGCCCGCCTCATCACCCCCACCCATCACACCCCACTACCCCCCAGCGCAGCAGGCCCAGGCTAAAACTGGGACTTTACCGATTAGTTCTACCTCCTTTTCTAGCTCTTCCTCTCCTGCTGTGCCCTGCGGGTCCCGGGCCACACCAGGGGGGGTCGCCTCCAAGACTGCAGAGGGTTTGTACGGCCCCCTCAAAGGCCTTGCACAGACCCAGAATCAGAGACCTGTTTCCATGGCGTCGCCTGCGCACAGACAGGGCTTAATCATGGGCAGTGCCAAGATCCACCCGCACCCGTCTCCATCGCCCCCAAAGCAGCGGCCGCCTCCCACAGCGTCCCCGCTGCTGCCGCCACAGCAGAGGGGCTTCTCCAGTGCCGCGGGGGTCCTGGGCTCCATGGGGTTGCACCAAGCCAAGAGCACGGCCAACGGAAGCCTCACGCCGGTCTCGTCTCCCTCCACCCCGCGCTCCACTGCCCCCCAGGCGTCCTACTGCCCCCCCTCGCCCCAGGTGTCCTCCCCTCCAGTCTTGCCCAACACACACTCCCCCGCTCCCAAAGCCCCGCAGCCCAACTTTATCACCCCCATGCAAGCTACTCTGACCAAGGCGTCTCACACCAACGCGTCTCCGATCATCAAGCTGACGCCACGGCCCGTCGTGCCCACCCCGCCCCCTTCCCCCTCACACGTGACCCACCACAGACTGCCCAGCACACAGTTCTCTCCAAAACCCTTCAGGCCCCCGTTCACTGTCCCAGGAGGGAAGCAGCAGACGCCTGGCAGTAGTAGCATACACAGTAATAACTCCAACAACAGAACGCCCTCGCCCGCAACCCCCTCTCCCTCAGCCAATCACCTGCAGCGATCGAGGAGTGTGGGCGGGACTAATCAGAGTGCTAAGGCCGGGAATGGCTGGTCACCTTCAGGAAGTTTGCAGACATCTTCGACCACTTCACACCTTCCACAGGTAAAAGATGTAGTTGAGGATGTATTTAGGTCATGATCACGTCTGTCGGGTGGTTAGTGGGTTCATTGATTTCAATTATTGCTTTAGTCAATTCCAGAGATTGTATGTAAAAATACAGTGAGTGAAAAACAGCTTATTTCTGAATTTCATATGACGGGAGCAGATAGAAGTACATTTCAAGTGATTTAGAATTTCTTTACTAGCCTTTCCCCACATGCCTTATTGACAAAACTCTTTATGAGCCAAAGCATCGATGATCGGTGAATAAAAACACGTTTGTCTTCAGGCGTCGACAGCCGGCTCCTCGCTCATGGGGACCTCCTCCACTCTGCCCATGGGCTTCGGGATGCTGGGGGGCCTGGTGCCGGTCTCTCTGCCCTTCCAGTACCCCTCTCTGCTCAACTTCAGCTCCTCTTCCGCAGGGTCAGCTGGGATGGGCTCCTCCCCCAGCTCCAACTCAGGATACCCCTTAGCACAGAGCGACCTGCTGGGTGAGTGACCATGTGTTCGAAGTGAATGTAAATTGTTCCCATTAAAATCTTTCTGAATGTGCAAAAAGGCGCAATATAAAACGGAAGCATTATTATTAGTCTGATATTACTGTTTACTGAGCCTGTTGCTTGCCTTAAATCACAGTTGTAAGATTCCAATTTGATGTTGATGGGTGTTTTTAATAAGTTGAAAAAAAAAAAGTACTATTGTATACCCACTACATTTACATTTGCTAGAATATTCTGTTTTGTTTTTATTGTCTTGTTAATTAGCAAATACATTTTTGTCCGTGTCACTCGATTATGAAAGATTTGTGATGACTGTATCAAAAGTAACTGGGATGAAATGCACTTTTAGCCACATTTATATATAGCACTTTTACGTTTTGCATCTTTATGTGCTCTGTTGCCTGTGCCGCACTTTTGATTTTATTTGTAGTTAGTTAGACAATGACTCATTTTAGTCAGTATTTTTGTGTTGCTATTACTGTGAGTGCTGAGTGAATAAAATGGAAATGCTTGTTTGTGCTGCAGACAACAGGGGAGCTACATTCAGCCTCTTTCATCTGTGTGTCACTCAGTCCCTTTGTCCTCCTCTGCTCTTCTCTCTGATTTTTTTAACTGTTTCTGTGCCGGAGTTTTCACTTCCCTCGTTGCGTCTCTCCTCAGAGCTGTACAAAACCCTCCACCTCCAGCCCGGGTCGCAGGCTGCTCTACCTCCTCACATGCAGCATGTTTTCTCAGGTAAAGCCTCTCCTCGTCCCCGGGGCAGATCTGTGGAACCGCCGCTCTTGTTTATATGAATTGAACAATAACATTTAGTTGATCAAATTTATTCAATTACAAAAAGCTTTAATTACAATCAATGTATCTATTTTTTTTAAATGACTCAAAAGCTGTGAAAACATGAGGGTGAAGGACACCAAATGCGATAGTGATGCTGGATTTGGCAGTGATTTCAAAATCTTTTTTACCAGATTCGAACCAAAGCCAGGGAGGAGACAAGAGGAAGCCCCACTGACCAATCAGAGCGCAGGGAGCGACGTCACCCCTGGAATCATCCAATAGGAGTCTTTGTTTGTTGCTCATGTGGTATGTTTGGGCCTCGGACCTACCGACAAAGTGGCAATGAGACGATGAACTGTGTTTTCTAATGAACCGGGTATGAGAACAAGACCGAGTGAATGGTTATTATTAGTTTATTTTTATGTTGTCGACATGTTTACATAAGACCGACCTTGATCACTGTGGATGGAGTGAGAGCGCGGTGGTGGTACAAAAGAGGAAATAACACTATCATTTGTATTTATGTAGGAACCCAGGACTTATACATTATATAAAGTAAAACAGATTATAATTCTTTTTTATGTCATGTTCCCAAACGGGAATCCATTTATTAAGTTTTATTGTTGGTCACTCCAACAAAATGACTGTTAAGTAGTAGCTTAATTTAATATTAATAAGTTATTTGTAAAGTTCTCCAGGGACAAAACATTGTGTGTGAAAGCGAAGCGCAGGTTGACTTTTGGACACGTGTGTGTGTAGATAGGAAAACTATATTGTTATTTTTGTTACAGATTTTTTTTTTTTTTTTAGTTGAACCGCAGTGTGTTTGGTGCTAAAATCACACTGGACTTATTTTAATTTTGTTTTTGTAATCATGACTTGAATTAATATTGTCCAGGCCCTTCTTCAGGTGAGAGGAGCTTCTATTAAAGCTGCACTGTGTGACTTTGCTGGTGAGGGTTCTGCCGTTCACGATGATTTCAGGGTTCATGATGTGAACATTCAATTACAGGTTTTTATAAGGCCTTTTTTGAGCTTTTAACCTTGTTGCAACAATGCTCCCTCATCAGGCACAGACCTAGAACTGTTTTTAGATTCACCCACGCTAATATCAGGACTCCAGCGCAAACATGTGACTCCGCCCCTTCTGTCTGAAAGCTCTCTACAATTACATTCTCTGTCCTAATAGTATCTCATTGTTCCACTATGACATCACTATTTACTGTAGTTTTATAGTAAATATTTACCATACATTAGAATTACCTGTTGAAAATCTCATTCATTTTTTCCCTTTTTTTATTTTAAGAATTTGGATAACACAGGGATAGGGCAGGTCGATAGCATTATTTATCCTTGACACTTGTTTCATCATATTTTCTACTGACGATAATTCATTCTAAAGCACAAAACAAATGAGTCATGATTTTGAATGGACAAAAATGGCAATTATATTATGTTTACTTAGGGGTCGTTCAGTCATTGTATACATGGAGACTGCAAACCACAGAAAAAACACAGGAAAGTGGCGTTCCCTGCTGCGGTGTAACGTGCGACACCACAAGATGACTCCACATAAAATTACACGTTAATGCTTTACTTATTTTTCCGAGTGAACTCTACACTAAGAAATGCTTTGATACCTTGTGAAAATCTAAACATATGATTTGACAATAAGCCGTAATTTCTAATCTTGAATAAAACAATGGTACGCTTCATGCTAGTTCACAGATTAAAATACAGATAAAAACAGGGCATGCGATTCCTTGAGTTTTCAAATTATTTTTTTTATACTTTTTGGCGCAACTGCTTTAATTCTAATATCTATTAAAGTTGACTCAAAACCATTACAAACCAACCTGCTAAATTCCTACTACCACTATTCTACCTTCCACCAGGAAAGTTCCACAGTGAAACTTTAAGAAGGAGGGTTTGTCATGTAGCGTACTTGAATTGATTTGAGTTGTCTTTGTATATTTTTTTTCTGCTCTACTCAAATCAACTTTAATGTAACTTAACGCCTTAGTTTGTATTCAAAATTAGAGAAAGGAACTATGCAGGACCATAAAACGCTAAATGCAAATATATAGTCACAGCTTTGGGCCCAGGACCTCGATCCGACTGTGTGAAGCTGAAGCTGGGTGTAGAAAACTCCTCCACACGTACTCGACCCTTCCCTCCGATTTACCTCCGTCAAATAAAGCGTTCTTCCCTTCCCTGTTTGAATGTGGGACAGCTGCACCGAGAATGCAGCCAAAGATGAATAAGAGGTCTCTAAGAAGGGGTCAGCTGCTCCGTGTGTGTGCGTTTGTGTGAGTGTGTGTCCTGTGAAAGAGGCAGTGACTGATATTCTAAATTATGTTGACAAAATTACATTTCATGGTTAAATTGTAACCTAATTTGGTCTTTTGTAGATCTTTTGTGTCGATTATGAAATTAAAGTGGTTTTCAACATCAATCGTGCTGTGTTGAATTTAATGAATATACCTTGGTAGCCAGACCAGACCAGATCAGACTGTAAATAAGGCCATGGTGTTCTGATCTTTTCTGGTTACAAGAACATATTTGTAAAAGATTGAAAAACCCATGTCTGGCCGGTCAGGCAAGTGACTTGAGCTGCAACAGCAGATGGAAATCAGCATTGTGCTCAATCTGGTGCAGGCCTCAACTGCATTGACCTTTTTAAAAGAGTTTACCTTTTGTTTCAAGCCAAACCGTTTGACAAAACTAATTGTAAAAACTTCCATTAAAAACTCAAGGGCATTTTTAAAGAAAGTTCTTAAAAAAAATGTCTGAAGTGTATTTTTTCCACAAAAATGGTACAAAATCACCCCAAGGTTATTTCATGGTTTTAAACTTACTCTAATGGAAATGTATGTTTAAGCATGTATGCTTTACCCATCACTTTTCTGCAACTCTACCGCATACATAAGGAAAAAGACTTTATGTAAGGAGCAAAGCAGGTACAATGAATATGCTTTATTTTATTTTACAAAAAAACAAAACAATTGCTGTCTAGAAATACAGGCGTACAAGTGAGACTAGTGGCGTGTTTGTAGTAAATCATGTTGGCATGTGGATGTTAAAGCTTCCAGCCAAATGAATCCTTTAGCGACGGACAAAATAATTTAATAACAAAGTCCTCACTGTTGGGGGTGTCTGGTGTCAAATAATGTGAGATTAAATATTATAGAGTGCAACTCCTTCAGTTCAATATAACACTTTTATAATAGTGATTTTTGCCCCAAACACAATCTACGCAGCAGCTTTGATATGAATCACGGCAAGAAAAAACAAAACAATTGTGTTGGTACCTATGTTGGACTTTTTAGGAGTTTATTTGGAGGAGGTCCACTTTATGTTCTTATTGAGTGTCAAAGGCACTTCAAAGAAACATAATACAAGTTAATACTGGAGGATGGAGCTCAAGTGTATCCATATCATATACTGTATGTACCAAGAGAAAACCAGTGGCAAAGGGAAAACACATGTTTTGGGAGAATTCAGACCTAAAAATAACATTCTAAAATACAAACGCTGAGTGCTGTTTATAGCATTGACAAATTCCAAATTCATGGCACAGTGGAGCCACAATCTTTCTCTCATGCCTGGAAACAAACTCGATCCTTTAAGTTATCTTAAAGGTAATAATAAACAATGCAATAACTGTGGAAAATTCCAGGCTTAGCAATAACATCTCCACAGAGACCTTTAAAAGAGTGATTGTATTTACATTTTCGTACAATTGGATCGCTTCTTAGTGTTAATGATCAACACGGTCGGGCCAAAAGCTTAGGAGTAATGTTTCTATTAAAACATGAGAGAAAGAGACTCAAGCAGGAATCAACTCCTGCTTTTGGAAATGAGGAGCTGTAATAAGTGCACGCAGGCTGCAGAACATACTGCTTTCCAGTCGGATCCAGTCACAAGTCTTTCACAGGGAAGTTTCAGAAACATTTGTGTTCAAAGTGGTCAATAATCCAAAAGGATAACCATGAGATTTCCAGTTCAAACTTGACATTCGTTTTCAATGTGTTGAGATGAAGCAATAGAGAATAAAACCATCCTTTTCACAGTAAAAGTATTAAATCCAGTCTTCTGTTGCATATCCAAAGATGTTAGCTTCAGATTTTTGAGATTCCACATGCAACAAAACCATCTTTATAGAAGGCCTTAATATTACTGTCCATTTAGAGATGAGCATCGAGACCCAGCCTGTTCCATCGGGAATGGCTTTTAGACACCAGTGAGTAGAACATCCAATACTATGTAGCAAGTACATACATCCACTGCTTTTTCAACTCGCAGTATTCCATAAACATTACAGGAGTTAAATATAAAAGCACTTGGTACCTACGCATACTTTCTGGATAAGCAGAGCAGTGGATTCCTGATGGAGGGTGAAAGACATGCCAGAGGAGTAAGGCAGTGCCACAGTCTTCCCCAGAGCATGTCCAGGGGCAGTGGTGCTCATGTGTCCACAACAGAAACCCTTTAGTGAAGGAGGAATGACAGGAGCGCGTGTCACACGGGTCTTTACTCGTTTGCGTTGGTGGGTTGAGTGTCATTGAAGTCGCTAGCACGGCTGTCTGCGTCATCATCCGACATGTCTCCAGACGCACCGTCCAGGTTGAGGTTACGTCGTCCTGAGCGGCTCGAGGAGGAGAAGGTGCTCACCGGTCCTCCACGCCTGACACACACACACAGTGTTCTTATTTCAATGTGTTCATCTGGTTTTCCTTCTGTTCATGTAAACTAATATTTACAATTGGACTAATCAAAATTCATCATTTTCAAACACGTTGATTAACTTTCCAAAACTGTGTCAAGATTGTTCATATTGTTATTTGCAAATATCCCTTAGAGTTGGGGTACCTAATTATTTTTTCATAAATAACATTTAGTTTGCACTCTAAGACCTGATAAACAAATACAGTCTACCGTATACAATGAGGATGCTCCTCTCTTTTTCACTTATACGCTTATCCCATCCACTTTTTCAGAAGACAAAATACATTCATGTGAAAACTAGGGATAGAACCAACTGGTTAAAAACAATTTACTTATTGCGGTTAGAAAGTTGGGTTCCCCAACTTTAATGTCCCAGCTCTGACCAGTTTTAGGGCAAAGATGTTTGCCCAGTCCGACTTCTGATGGAGGGCTGTGTTCCCACCTGAGTCTGTTCTTGAGGGAGGTGACCTCGCGTGTCAGGCCTTCACTGGCTTCTGTGGCATCATCCAGTTCTCTCTGGAGTTTTCTTTTCGAAGCGTTGGCTCGACTCGCTTCCTCCTCCGCCTCCTCCAACTGCCGCTTCAGCTGCTTCATGCGAGCGTTGGCCTTCTCCATCTGAGACACAGCAGCGGACTCAGTGTGTGCACATACATGCATGTGTGTGCGTGTGCTAATGTATGCGCGTGTAACTGAGCACTCACCTGCTCCTTGAACTGGTCTCCATGGCGACGCTCATCCTCCACCTGCATCATCACCTCCTTCAGCTTCTTCTCAGTGCGACGCACCACTTTGTTGGCAGCTGCTCTCTCTCTACAAAAGCATGAATGATTGAGTCATAACTAAATACTAAAATGAAAATTAGTTTCTTCTGGATGCTTGCTTAAGCAATTTGATACAATTTAGTAAAGTCTAATGCTACTAAGTATTAGGGTATGTACAGTGCCTTGCGAAAGTATTCGCCCCCCTTGAACCTTTCAACATTTCGCCACATTTCAGGCTTCAAACATAAAGATATAAAATTTTAATTTTTTGTCATGAATCAACCATAAGTGGGACATAATCGTGAAGTGGAACGAAATGTATTGGATAATTTAAACTTTTTTAACAAATAAAAAACTGAAAAGTGGGGCATGCAATATTATTCGGCCCCTTTACTTTCAGTGCAGCAAACTCACTCCAGAAGTTCAGTGAGGATCTTTGAATGATCCAATGTTATCCTAAATGACTGATGATGATAAATAGAATGCACCTGTGTGTAATCAAGTCTCCGTATAAATGCACCTGCTCTTTGATAGTCTCAGGGTTCTGTTTAAAACGCAGAGAGAACCATGAAGACAAAGGAACACGCCAGGCAGGTCCGAGATACTGTTGTGGAGAAGTTTAAAGCCGGATTTGGGTACAAAAAGATTTCCCACACTTTAAACATCTCAAGGAGCACTGTGCAAGCAATTATATTGAAATGGAAGGAGTATCAGACCACTGCAAATCTACCAAGACCCGGCCATCCCTCCAAACTTTCATCTCAAACAAGGAGAAGACTGATCAGAGATGCAGCCAAGAGGCCCATGATCACTCTGGATGAACTGTAGATAACTACAGCTGAGGTGGGAGAGTCTGTCCATAGGACAACAATCAGTCGTGCACTCCACAAATCTGGCCTTTATGGAAGAGTGGCAAGAAGAAAGCCATTTCTCAAAGATATCCATAAAAAGTCTCGTTTAAAGTTTGCCACAAGCCACCTGGGAGACACACCAAACATGTGGAAGAAGGTGCTCTGGTCAGATGAAACCAAAATCGAACTTTTTGGCCACAAATACAGGACCATTCTGGACGAAAACCTGTTGGAGTCTGCAAAAGACCTGAGACTGGGATGGAGATTTATCTTCCAACAGGACAATGATTCAAAACATAAAGCCAAATCTACAATGGAATGGTTCACAAATAGACGTATCCAGGTGTTAGAATGGCCAAGTCAAAGTCCAGACCTGAATCCAATCGAGAATCTGTGGAAAGAGCTGAAGACTGCTGTTCACAAACGCTCTCCATCCAACCTCACTGAGCTCGAGCTGTTTTGCAAGGAAGAATGGGCAAGAATTCCAGTCTCTCGATGTGCAAAACTGATAGACATACCCCAAGTGACTTGCAGCTGTAATTGCAGCAAAAGGCGGCGCTACAAAGTATTAGCGCAAGGGGGCCGAATAATATTGCACGCTCCACTTTTCAGTTTTTTATTTGTTAAAAAGTTTAAATTATCCAATAAATTTCGTTCCACTTCACGATTGTGTCCCACTTGTTGTTGATTCTTGACAAAAAATATTTTTTATATCTTTATGTCTGAAGCCTGAAATGTGGCGAAATGTTCAAAGGTTCAAGGGGGCCAAATACTTTCGCAAGACCCTGTATCTTATTAATATTAACAAATATATTAACATAATTTACATAGAAAAAACGTGATGTGGCTGTACTGCCCCAAACTGTTTTCATTTATATTGATATTACAAAAATGATATTGTTGTGATCTTACTGTACATACTTTCCCTCTTGCTCCAGCTGCTCCTCCATCTGCAGGATCTTTGCCTCGAGAGCCGTGATAGAGGCCTTAAACTTGGCCTTCACAGAGCCCTCCTGCTCCGCCAGTTTGGCTTTCAGCTCCTGTAAGAGGAGGAATAAAACTTAAGCCATTTAAGCCTGGATTTTATACTCAATACAAGTCACAATCAGAACCTTGTTTTGGCGCTCCAGCTGCTGCCTGGCATTCTCTGCTTTTTGTGCCGTACTGCGCTCGGCTGCCAGTTCACTGGTGAGAGTGTCCACCTACACATGACACACTGTGAAGCACATGGTCGGTCCATGATCAACATGATGGTCAGACACGTTTACCTGAAGGCCGCTCTTCTTGAGGCGGTCATTGACCAGCTCCATGTTGCCCTGCTCCTCCTCCAGCTCCTCCTCCAACTGAGAGATTCGAGCCTCCAGCCTCCTCTTGTCGTCCAGCAGAGAGGACCTGAAACCAGCACAGACTGTGAGACCACCAGCTCCATAGGACCATATATCAAATGTATCTGAAAGACAGACTTTCCAGATGCACTGTTGGAGATCTCATCAGACAGCTCATCTCTCTCCTGCTCAGCATGGCGACGCGCTCGCTCCGACGCAGCAAAGTCCTACAGAGGAGAGACACAGCGTCACTATGTGAGTGTTTATACCCCACTCTATCTTCAAGTCAGGAGTGAAGTTTACCTCCTGCAGCTGCAAGAGTTCGGCTTCAAGACCTTTGAGCTTCTTTTCATTTTCTTTGGACTGAGTGAAGATCTCGTCTCTGGAGGCTCGGGCCTCCTCCAGCTCTCGCTGATAATCCTTCATCTGAGCCTGAATTTAACAAGACCCATCATTAATAACAATATTCTCAGGGAATAGTTACGCAGTGGTAGTAGAGAGAGCACACCTGCAGTTTGCGCAGCTGTTTGATGGCTTCGTCTCGGCCCTTGTTTGCCCCTTCGATCTGCCCTTCGAGTTCATTAAGGTCCATCTCCAACTTTTTCTTGGCAGCTACAGCCAGTGTCTTCTGCTTCCTTTCATCCTCCAGCTCTGCCTCCATCTCTCGCACCTGGAGCAGACCACACGTCATGTCAACTCACCTCCGGCTTGATTTATGGTAAAACTGCAGTGGTACCTGTTTGACCAGACCCCTCTTCTTCTCCTCTCCCTGCTCATCTCTGGTCTGAAGGTCTCTGTCGAACTGGGCCTTCATGGCCTGCATGTTCACCTCCAGACGCAGCTTGGCGTCTTCTGTGGCCTGAAGCTCGTCCTCCAGCTCCTCCAGCTGAGTCCTCATCTCGTCCACCTGCTGCTCCAGGGTGCGTTTGGACTTCTCCAGCTCATGCACCTGTCCACCATGACCACATCAGCTCAAACAGACTTACTTTCACTAACCTAAATACCAAAGAGGCAAGGATATATTAGTATTAGATAGCAATATGGCCTACGTGCAGGACTGTACAAGGACTCCATGTTATGACTATGATGTGACTGTCTCTTTGTGACACGTATGTCTTTCGATGTGTGACGTGACAATGACTATATAAACTGTGTACTGCCTTTATTCTGTCTGAGAGAAAGAAACAGAGTAAACCAGTGGAACTTGAGAGAAACTTAAATAAACTTCCAGAGTTTGGCACACCACGATCCGTCTCTGTCTGTTAAATCCTAACAGATTTGGTGGAGAATGCGCGGCTCAGTGTGTGCCATTCTCTGGATTGTTTTGGGGGAGTTTGCTCTGTTTCTTTTCCTCGGCGTGAGAGACCGGCATGCTGTGTCTGGGAGCGGAGATTCCAGCAGACCGGAAGAGCTGCTCCTGGATGCTTCTTGTCGCTTCTGTCACTTTTGTTTTTTAAATTGAATATTCCGACGCGGAAAAGAGGTTGGCAGACCTCTCGGACAGTCCTTGGAACCGGTTTGACAAGAATAAGGTAAGCAGACACCTTTTTATATGTAAAGTCTGCATAATTGGATATTAGCTAAATTTTGGTCTGTTTTTGGGGTCTGTCAAACTCTCTAAATTGTATTTGAGAAGAAGTCTCGGGGTTAGAGTCCCTTTGAGAAGAAGCTTCAGGGTTCGAGTCCCTTTGAGAAAACGTTTTCGGGGTTAAAGTCCCTTTGAGAAAGTCTCGGGGTTAAAGTCCCTTTGAGAAAAGCCTCGGGGTTAAAGTCCCTTTGAGAAAAGCCTCGGGGTTAAAGTCCCTTTGAGAGAAACCATGGTGTAATAATAAAAGCAATAAAAAGGGAAATGTGTTAAGGAGGCCTTTGTTACAAAAGCTTTGAAATTGACGAATTTCAGGCTGATAAATGACAAAAGTAAAGAAGCAACATTATTTCAGTGATCACGGTTTAAATTACAGACAGAAAAAGGGAGTTTTTGTTTTTGGAGTGAACAGAGTTCACCGGAGAATGCAGAGTTTTATCTAAAGTTGAGCTATGAGAGCTTTCGTGAGTTATTTACATTTTTTGCCGAGTTTTATCTACAGTTAAGCTATGAGAGGGCTGTATCCAACAGTTGTTTTTGTTTTTTAGAAAGAGATTTTGAGTTTAAATTAGTTTGCTACCTCAATAAAATAGAAGCGTAAACGTTAAAGACAAGAGTGCCTTTTGTTACTAGTGTGGAAAGTGATCACTTCTAGACTTGGATGACAAAAGTTTAAAGAACAACATCAGTTATATTCGCTTTAAAAAGTAATCTTGAAAGTTATTCTTCTGTATCTTTCTGCCTGTGTGTGTGCACATCTCTATCTTGCTGCCGTTGTCAGGGAAACGGCCCCCTCCTTCGCTGCTCTGGCTCTGAATCAGAGCAAAGCTACTGCTTTTAGGATTTTGGCTTTTATTAAGTTTTTAAATTTGCTAAATTTGCAATTGAATATTGTGTTAGACACAGTTAAACGTTTTTAAACACAATTTAGTGAATAGAAGTTTTGAATTAGTATGTTTTTGAAACCCAAATATTAGTGCTAAAAGCTGTGCAATTCTTTTTAGACCTAACATATTTCTAGATTCCATTCTTTTAAATCTGCTGCTTATTTTGTGAGTCCATTATTGTATCTCTGATATATTTCATAGCTGCTTGTGAGAATTTTTTTTATGTTTTTATTTTAGTTACAAAAGCCGTTTTTCAAACATTTAAATTAGAATCTGTTAAAAGTGATTATTGATTATAGACTTTGTCTAAAAAGAAAGAGGGAATTAGATTAGCTGTAAAAGTATTATATTATTAAGTTAAACTACCCAATTCACCCATTGCAAGCGGTGATGTTTTTGTTTTGACTACACGCGTGACCTTGCTGCTGCTCAGAGACAGGAGGAGGCAGCTCCGACGCACAATTGAGTTTTATTTATTGAACCGAATCCAGTTTAGCTGGAGCTAAATCTTTTGTTTGATTTCAAGTTTTGTTTTAAATGTTTTTACAAATTAATGTTCATTTTTATAGAGATTTTTCATAATTTCATTTCATGGCGTCTTTCAAGAAACCCAAGAATGCATAGATAATTAAACACAGTACAAAAGTACATAATACATATTTTAAAGGTTGAAGGTTTAAGAGATTTGAGTCTTGTTTTTTTATATTAAGAGTTTCTGGTCTTAAAAATGTCATCATTAGTAAGATAATAAGTAATCTTTTATTTACATAGCGCATGTGGGAAAACCCAGAGCGCTCCAAAATTGTTTTGACTTTAGGGAGAAAAACAATCTCATTCGCATACTGATATCTATTGTTTTTTTAAATTGGCCGTCTCAAGGATTGTTTTTCAGACTATGCCTCACTGTACGAGAGGTCACTGCTGGACACTGGACACCAAAGCCCACCCAGCCACAGGTCACAGATCAAAGAGCAAAGGGAAATGCCACCTCCTTGCCCCTCCCCCCACTACAGAAGTAAGTGGGAGTGAGACCGGGACCATGAAAGAGAGGTTTCTGGAGACGTGATGGGTGGAGCGTCAGGTAGAGACCTAGAGGCAGTTGAGAGTGTGTCCAGTTGGTTTGCATCACCACAGTGTGACCTTTGAGACCTACAGGTGGTTCGAGGAGTCTGGAGACACAACCCCAAAATTTACATACACACACACATACATTCATACACTCACACATTCACATTTACATATAGATACATGAAAAAGCAGAACATGAAAAAAAAAGCATTTTAAAAGTTTACTCAAATGTAAACACACATTTTTAATTGTCTATCACTTGAATCTTTAGTTGAATCAGTATTTTTTGAGACCAGAAATGCTCATTTGAATTCTATATTGTCATGGACATAATTGACCTCTGTCCTGACACTTTTGATTTGTTGATTTTGTACTGTGTGAAGTAATTACATTGATTAGGATTAGATCTGATAAAAATACAAATTAGAGAAGTAAATTGCGCTTGCTTTTGTCTGAGGGACATTAGCAACAGCATGAATAGAAATTGTGTTAAAGTAGAATCAAAGTGATTAACCATAGAGAGTAACTATTGCATAACAAGCTGTGTACAGGAACTGTGACACTGCACCATTGACCAAAAGTGCATCGCAAATGACCTGATGTGCTTCAAGTGAAAAGACTGTATCTGGAGATCCTGATGTCCAACTGGAGAGACCAAAACCATGGCTTGGACCCTACTGATGTCCAAGATGACATCTCTCTATGACCTGACCTGATGACGACTGAGACTCACCCTCAGAGGATCTGAGGACCTGAGGACCTGAGGACCTGAGAGAGAAAACTGGGGAGTGATGTTTATATTTTTGAAATCATACATTGATGAGTGCTAAATGAGAGAGATACTCATGATTCTTTCTTTTGTTTTTGTTTGTCCCTAGCTTCTGGACATCTGATGATCTATTGGACACAGCCATTTGCAGAACAAGAACCAGCCAATGAAAAATCGTCTATTGCCGATGCTATTGCTACAACCAGAACCTGTGACCAAATGCAATATACATGTTAAGTATTCAGACATCTGACAGACAAAAACTTTGAAAATGATAAAGTATGAGTATTGTAGCGTTTTAGTAGATGTTAAATAGTAGTAAAAAAGTAGAATTGTCCTTCCTTTGTTTTTGATAAACATTTCCACATAAGAGTTAAAATAGTACCATACAATGTTATCCTTCTGATAGAGCAGCTAGAATATTAGAATCAGAGTTATGTTACAGCCATTAAAAGTGACAGAAGTCACAAATTAGGAATATGCCTTTGCTCAAGCTGCAACCGAGCTTTGGAGTTAAAAAGTAGAGTAGAAATAGAATAGATAAATGCATCAACCATAGATGCTTTCAAAAATAGAGAATATTCTTAGCCAGTGCTAATATCAAATGGTAAAGGGACCATTTCACAAACATTTACTTCAGAAGTAAATCAAGTTAATTACAGTTGTATGTACAGTTTTATTAGATACTTGCCAAATTCACTTGTGTTCAAACATCTGTGAATGTTGACAATGCAAAAGTCCATATGAGTGTAGCCTAGATTAATGCCTAGATCAATGAGATAGATTAGCACCAACAGAGATTTAAAAGCATTTTGATGTATTTGTGTATAGCACAAAAACACAATAGTAGATATTTAGATATTGAGAAGTTTCCAGCACAAACACCATTGTAGAATAACTGACCCCAACCCCAAACCTGCTAAAATAGATTAGCTCTTGTAAGGATAATACTAATTTGATTAATGATGTACATTCATCCCAAACTGCCTGACAATAATATCTTTAGATAATAAAAAGTAATAAATCACTGACCACTATAGAAGTGTAAATGTTAACCATTTGCCTTACTGTGTTCAGTTTTATTCCTGAGAATGTAGAATAGTTCCACATGGAGCAAAATCCCACTGATAATGAGAGTATATAATACCACAGAGAGATTTATTAGATTAAAATGTATGTTTAAGAATATGGCTCAATAGAAGCAAATATGCAAACAGATTTATGTGAATAGATTAGAATAGTTTTAAACTATAGTGAATAGTAAAAGTAAAGTACACAGTCTAAGATTGATAAGTGAAAATAATACAGTGAAATAAGTGAAGTGTAAACAATTAGCATTAGAATAAAAGTAGAGTAAGAAAAGTTAAATTAGCTTCTAATTTGAGACTCAGCTCGTTTTTGTCTGTGTTTTGACTGAATCTGCTGAGTTCTTGTGTGTCCAATAGTATTTTTGTTTGTTTTTATTTTTGATTTGTTTTTGTTTTTTTTCCCAGGATAGAGGATAAAATCCACTGATATTGATTTGATGATTATGAGTTTAATGCATACATTTTCTTTGTTTTTAATAATTTTTTAAAGTTTTTTTTAGGAATTTTTTTTTTTTCTTCTTTTTCCACTTTATTGATTGATCAAATTGAATGATCACATGTGATTATGTGATCAAAGGGGAGGGTATTAGTATTAGATAGCAATATGGCCTACGTGCAGGACTGTACAAGGACTCCATGTTATGACTATGATGTGACTGTCTCTTTGTGACACGTATGTCTTTCGATGTGTGACGTGACAATGACTATAAAAACTGTGTACTGCCTTTATTCTGTCTGAGAGAAAGAAACAGAGTAAACCAGTGGAACTTGAGAGAAACTTAAATAAACTTCCAGAGTTTGGCACACCACGATCCGTCTCTGTCTGTTAAATCCTAACAGATACTTAAGACTTACATTTTTGCCCACGTCGTCCTTGGAGCTCATCAGGTCCTCCATTTCAACACGCAGCTGTTTGTTGAACCGTTCCAGTTCCTCTTTGGCTTCAGTCATGTCCTCCAGAGCTTTGGCCAAAGACAAGAGTTTGGTCTCTTTCTCTCTGGCCTCTGCTTCAGCACGATCCCGCTCTTCTGCGTAACGAGCAGAGATCGTCTTCTCTTCCGCCAGTAACTATTCAGAATGTTTACATTAAGCAATGAAACAATACATACAATGCAATATGTGATTTGTTTTTGAATCATCTAAAAATAGTATAAATGTTTAATGAGGTAGGTATCATTTGACTAAAATGTCAAGTCTATTCAATTCTCTGGCAAATGGCAAATTTCAAGAAAATAATATTACAAACATTTGAGTTTGGATTATTTAGACTTTCCATAAGTAATTATATATATAAACCAATGTTCTCTCTCCTGAACAAAGCAAGTTCATTGTTGCCGTTGATCAGATGATTCTCATATTATTTCACTGATGCTGCTGTGTGAGAAGGGGCTCTCCCATGTTTCTTCTCAGAGTTACACTGAACCATTAGAACCTGATAATAATGACTAAAGAACATTTGCAGATAGGGCTGAAAAAGGGTTTGTTGATCTTTGTTTCGAAAACATGCAGTAAAATACTGAGAGGTCTCTAAGTCTAAGTCTGTAAAAGTGAAAGTCTCTCTATTCAATACATTTTCCATTTTTATTTGAAAGGGGTCAGCGCCTGGTGATGCATCCTGTGCCGCTGGAGATCAAAGACTCAAATAATCAATATTAGTTTTTTTGTGTTGATTAACATCGTAACAACATTGTCAAAAAAAAAATGTTTGGTAACGCTTTATATTAAGGTGTGCTTGTTAAGTATTAAAAAGGTATTAATAGACATTAGCAACATGCTTATAGATTGCTTATATGTACTTATAAACATATTAATAAGCCGCTCATGTCACTATTCTCTAAATTATGTTGTTCTAGTTATATGCTTTTAAGCATTTAATAAGTAATTAGTAAGATACTTATTAAAGGAGGAATATGTTTATAAATATATGAATAAGCTGCTTATTAAACTATTATCGATACCATGTTAATAGGCCACTAACAATATGCCTATAAAGATATTAATACGCTGCTTATTAATAGGCAATAGTGGTAATAGGCCACTAAAAATATTGCGTTCATAAACTGCTTATTACACTATTTTGCAGTACCCTAATCTAAAGCGAGGAGCATTTTTGTTAATGCAGAAAAAAACACAACAATGATCTAAGATGTTTTTATTTATTCCAACAGCAACAATTAAAGTCTAAATGAAAAAATATATCAAAATTAAGTTTGTGCCAAAAGTTTGTTAGTAACTTCAAGGAGCCATGATGAACACACTCATGCTCCGACCTGCTCTGTTAATGAATTTGGCTTTGGCAAAACAGTGAATCAGCTGACTTCACGAGCCTGAGAGATTAGCGGACAGGGGTGGGAACCTAAGGGTACCTCACGATACGATACGATACAAAGCTCACGATAAAGATTACAATAACGATTTTATCACGATATGACGATTATTGATATATTGGTCAGAAATATACAATATGCCAATTTATGGCATAAATAAAATAAAAAATACTCTTTATTTCATGATAAATAGAATGGAGATGCGTAATGTAGCCATATATTAAGTATTGATACCAATAAAAACGGAAAAAAAAGGAGAAAAAAAAATTGCGGGAGAAAGTATCGTCACACCCCTATTAGCGGAACTCGCCTATTTTTGGGCATCGTCTGGTCCTCCCGGTTCTGCGCAGTTGACGAGCTCCCATGATGCTTTGCGCCAAATACGCGTGCGTGGCTGTCATGCACGTGCACATAGGGGCCGCATTTTGACCAATCAGAGCTGCTGATCAGAGTGGGAGTTAGAGCGGGAGTAAGAGCCAGACGAGTAGAGTTTGTGGCAGTAAAATGTGGATTTAAAGAAAACTGAAGTATTTAAGAAGAAAAAAAGTTCAGGATGACAAGGGACACTAAAATCCCCACAAAATCCGACCTTTATGAAAGCTGTAGGTTCTCTGTCAGGTTCTCTGTCAGCTGAGGTCGAGCTGTTTTAGTTCACATTGAGTTCTATGGGGACAATTTCTGGGTAGCCCACGTGAATTTTGTTTGCAGTACCACGAGAATCTCCCGGTCTACAAGCTAGTAATACCCTATCCAGTTATTATAATAGATCCATGTATACAACGCACCTGTGGCACAACCATGGAACTATAATAATAACTGGATAGTGTATTCCTATCTTATAGCTGTCCCACCCATGGGCACAGGGGGCGCTGGGGTACTGCAGACTAAATTCACGAGGGCTACCCAGAAAAAGTCCCATAGAACTCAATGTAAATTAAAACAGCTCGACCTCAGCTGACAGAGAACCTGACAGAGAACCCACAGCTTTCATAAAGTTCAGATTTTCTGGGGATTTTAGTGTCCCTTGTCATCCTGAACTTTTTTTCTTCTTAAATCCTTCAGTTTTCTTTAAAGTGGTTCTCACCCCCGCTCCTCGGAGCTTACGTCACTCACATTTCCTGTTCAAATCTTCCTCTAAATGGGCGTAGCCTAGAGGACTAAAGGGGGCGTGAACGAGACTGGGCCGTTTATATAGCTCTAGGCGGGGGGCTGCTGACGTCAGGTCTCAGGCAAAATTCAAATGTAGTAACACAGGTTGCCAGCAGATGGCGCCTCACAGATGGTTTTAGGCAGAAAGTTTTAACTTTCAACTAATTTGCACCAAAGTGACAAAATTATGACCAGGATATGTAGACAACACTATTGGACACTCATTTATATCGTTTATCAGCAAAAAAAAGTGGATTTGAGGGTGAGTTGTCCTTTAAATCCACATTTTACTGCCACAAACTCTACTCGTCTGGCTCCCGCTCTAACTCCCGCTATAACTCTCGCTCTGATCAGCAGCTCTGATTGGTCAGAGCATGGCCCCTCTGTGCACGTGCATGACAGCCACGCAAAGCATCTTGGGAGCTCGTCCACTGCGCAGAACCGGGAGGACCAGACGATGCCCAAAAATAGGCGAGTTCCGCTAATCTCTCAGGCTCGTGAAGTCAGTTGATTCACTGTTTTGCCAAAGCCAAATTCATTAACAGAGCAGGTCGGAGCATGAGTGGGTTCATCATGGCTCCTTGAAGTTACTAACAAACTTTTGGCACAAACTTAATTTTGATATTTTTTTTCATTTAGACTTTAATTGTTGCTGTTGGAATAAATAAAAACATCTTAGATCATTGTTGTGTTTTTTTTCTGCATTAACAAAAATGCTCCTCGCTTTAGATTAGGGTACTGCAAAATAGTGTAATAAGCAGTTTATGAACGCATATTTTTAGTGGCCTATTACCACTATTGCCTATTAATAAGCAGCGTATTAATATCTTTATAGGCATATTGTTAGTGGCCTATTAACATGGTATCGAAAATAGTTTAATAAGCAGCTTATTCATATATTTATAAACATATTCCTCCTTTAATAAGTATCTTACTAATTACTTATTAAATGCTTAAAAGCATATAACTAGAACAACATAATTTAGAGAATAGTGAAATGAGCAGCTTATTAATATGTTTATAAACACTCTATAAGCATGTTGCTAATGTCTATTAATACCTTATTAATACTTAACAAGCACACCTTAATATAAAGCGTTACCAAATGTTTTTTTGACAAACCTAGTAGCGACACACTACCTGGTCAAATTTCTTCTGCTTCTTCTCCAGGTTGGATGCCACTTGTCTCTGTTGATCCAAGCTGATCATGATGTCTTCCAGCTCCTGCTGAAGTCTGGACTTTGTCTTCTCCAGTTTGTCCATGGCCATGCTCTTCTCCTCCAGACACTGCTGCGATAGCTCCAAGTCCTTCTGAAGCTTCCTCTTGGACTCTTCCAGGTTCTCCATTACAGACGTGTCACTGTCCAGCCTCTTCTTGGAGTCACACAGCTGATGAAAAAAACACTGTTCAAATCTAAAACTAAAGAACATCAATTAACTATATGAATAAATAAATTAAATGACATGTATGAATAAACTCTTGGCAATGTGAATAAACGATACAAACAAGTGTGTTCAAATTTAGTGCTATTCAACAAATCCATAGTGACTGAGGCCAACACAAACAATTCTAATACTTCTAAAAGAGCAAAAACAACTCAAAAGTCAAAACTCTAAAAGGTGTTAGCTACTGCTACTTTAGGGTTAAGTTATTTCACAGAATAATGTTATACATGGAAATGTTCAGCCAACTTTTGGTCACCTGTCTTTTTCCCTTTGCATCCTGATACATAATCCAGGTGTTTATGCACATCTCCTCCACTGCTGCTGTTGTCAGTTTTGTTTCGTACCTGAGCTTGCACGGCCTGCAGCTGTTTCTCTGTGTTGCGTCTTGATTCTTCCTCCTCTTCTTGCTGCTCTAACAGACTGTTTTTATCCTCCTCCAGCTGGCGGATGCGGCTGCTCAAGTTTAACTTCTGTCGAGTTTCTTCTTTGAGGGACTCCTAAACCGTTACAGAACAGAACCGTAAAACAAAATTCTTCTGTGAATCTTAAAAGTCACATGTCACTAGTGTGTACCTGAGTGTCTTGTAACTGGCTCTCCAGACTCTCCACGTCCTTGGTCAGTTTGATACCTCTCTTCTCTGCTTCTTCTAACATGGAAGAAACGTTGTCGAGCTCCAACTGTGGACAATCCCGTTATTCTTCAGGAGTTTAAATGTGCAAATTACACAGTGGGACTCCACTCTATACTGTACCTGTGTTTTGTGAGAGCGTTCGGATAGTTCTCCTTTGGCTAATTCAGCCTCAGTGGCACGACTCATGAACTCCTGCACTTGTGCCTCCAGTTTCTTCCTGCGATGCTCTGAGTCAGCCTTAGCTTGAAGAAGACTCTTCACCTCCGACCCCAGCTCTTTGTTGTCATTCTCCAGGCTCTGCTTGTTTTTCTCCAGGTTGGCCTTGAACTGTAAAGTAAATGCACAGTATGTATAATACAATGCATCCGTAAAGTATATCACAAATAGTAGCCCTTAAACTGTAGCCCCAGAGAGTGTGAATAGGGAGAGACAGAGCTAATTCAAGAATTTGTATTTAGTTTGCTTTTGACTTTTTACTGGGTTTTTGTTGACAGACTTCTGCTGGTCTACAACTACAATTACTTACTAATTACTTACTAACATGATGTGAGTAATTTTGCAGCTCTGCAGATGAAACATGTTAACAAAGTATTTACATCTCAATCAGTGCTTGTCATTCAACAAGAACCTAAGCAGTAAACTGCGCTAATCTGCTAGCTTGATGAAGCCCAATGGGAAAGTGCCCATTTTAAGCCAAACAAAATTGGTGTAAACACAGATATTGCCCACAAAACTCAAGATATGAGCAGTATTTACCGACTAATCAGACTTTAACTAACAAGTAGTGCGAGCAGGAACAGACCAGCCTGGTTTCTGAAAGACTATTGCTAGGTACAGTTGTACAGTAGGTTCTATCAAAGCAAGTTCAGGTCGGCTTTAACGCCAACCACTAAAGGTGCTGACATTACTCTGTTTGTTTATTGACTTCTAGTCTATGGAGCACCTGAACTCGAGATGTGGTATCACACTGCAAAGCCTTGATCATTAGGTTATTCCTCTCTATTCTTTGTAGTTTTTTGTAAGTAGCCTGGAGAATTTATGAATTTTTATGTTTACAGCACTGTAAGCCTCAGAGACTTAAGACATTCTTTATGCCAACTGCCAAAAGGCCTTTTGTATTCATATTGTTGGGGAGGTGAGGGTGTTGTTGTGCTCACCCTTTTGGCCTGTTCGAGCTGCTCCGACAGCTCCTCCAGAGCCACACTGTGTCTTTGCCTCATCTCTTGGATTTGAGCGTCGTGGTTCTTAGCCTCTTCTTCGATGGCCTTCTTAAGTTCTGCGACCTCCTGCTCACGCTTCGTCCTGTGAAAGGACAATACAGAGACTTCTGTCAGACATTTTAGTCTGGCCAGTCAAGATTCCACTACTTTGTTGTTTTCAAAGTCAGACTGAATTAGATACAATTAAAGACATTGTTTATAAAATCCAAAAGAAGCTGCTTAATTACATTTGTCCAATTGTATATTCAAAAAGGTTTTTGGGTTTTGGTTAAAAAAACGCTTTTTGACTTTCATATGCTTAAAAGTATTTGCGATTGGCCTTGAAAGCGCAGCACAACTTTGATGACATGACACGAGCTGGAGAAGCCCAGCAGGTGCTCAGCAGTGAGTGACAGGGGAGAAATCAAAACAGACACGTCCACAAGTGCCTGAATCGCGTGCATAGCCTCTCTCCCGAGTCCTGCCACTCCCACAGTCATGGATGTATTACTGACTATGTTCACTTCATATCAAGCTCGGTTTGTACTTCTATCGCCAACTAAAAGTGTTAGCATCATTTCAACTTGGAGAACACGTGTTTTTGGTTGTAAATATGTGACATAGAAAAGCAGTGAGTGGCTGGACTTTATTCATTGGGGATCTGTTTTCGAAATACACAACGCATCTGTTCCTCTACAAGCGACACTTCACCAAACACTACTTCCAAAACTACTGTCGCGGTGACATAGGACTTACTCAGAAGTTGATCTCGCAACCTATTATTGATCTTGAAACCTATTATCACCAAAATAAAAGACGCCAACAAGGAGCTTAGATCTGTAAGTAAAGTACTACGATCTAACTCACTGTATACCACTGTTAGCTAAATAATTAGGGTCTGAGTCCAACGTGACGAATAGCTAGTCACTATGTACCCGCAAACGCCAAACCCCCACGCTATGTGTTTACAACAAAGTCAGTATGTGGCTACATCCCCGAGTGGGAGGGAGGAGGAGGGCTGTGGTATGGTCTACATCCCCGAGTGGGAGGGAGGAGGAGGGCTGTGGTATGGTCTACATCCCCGAGTGGGAGGGAGGAGGAGGGCTGTGGTATGGTCTACATCCCCGAGTGGGAGGGAGGAGGAGGGCTGTGGTATGGTCTACATCCCCGAGTGCGTGGTGGGAGGTAGACCTTACGGGCAAAGGCAGTGATCCACTCATTGCAATTGCGTCATCGCCTTTAACCAAGAATTTACTATAATTTCAAATTGAGTGTTGCATGGTATCATCTAAATTATTATCACACATATAGGATGGTCTGTGAAACATGAAGAAGAGCGAAATATGGGACCTTTAAATTGCTAATAATGCAATTAATTATAATAATATTTTTGCAAATGGGGTAATCCGTTATGCACTTCCTGGCTCTGTTTTATAAGTCTTATTTATGTGTATATCTGAGACCTGAGCTCCTGCTGCGCGGCTGTGGTGTCCAGAGTGTCTTCCAGCTCTGTCTTCAGCGCCTCCAGCTCCTCACTCAGGTCTCTCTTCAGTTTCTCAGCTTTACTTCGACAAATCCTCTCGGCCTCCAGATCTTCCTGCAGCTCAGCCAGCTGTGCCTGCAGCTCACGCACCTGCTTCAGAGCATTGTTCTTCTGCAGAGTCTCCTCATCAGTCCTGTGTCCAAACAAAACCCACATATCAACAAAAACTACATGCAACATTTGACAACATAATATAACCATGCATCTACATCTGACACTAAATTCCTCAAATCTCGTTTTTCTCAGTACAAAAAAAAGGTCTTCAGAGTGAACAATATTTCCTCTTGGCCAGAATGTATTGACGAAGGTGATAAACCAATCAACTTGTAAAAATAGGCAAGTAAAACACTCACAAAACTAGAGGACAGTGTAGCAGTGATTATGCAGTAGTTTAGATTAAAATATATGAGAAACATTACAGCACAGGCACAGATCACATGTATGAAGTCATTCTAGTCAATCCCCTTGTTTTGTTGGATTGGCAGGGTGGGTATTGCAAAACAAAGTCCAAATGGAGATACAGTATTGGTCACTTGCGCACTCTGTCTCAAAATAGTAGCTGAACTAAGAGTCTTCAAGATAATAATTAATGTCTTGATGTCCAGAGCTGTGACTAAACCGATATCTGTGTGTGAAATTAGGCAAGGCAAGGCAAGGCAAGTTTATTTGTATAGCACAATTCATACACAAGGCAACTCAAAGTGCTGAACAAGATAGCATTAAAATCATAAATAATTACAGAACATTAAAACGAAAGATAAAAATATAAAATCCCTCAGTTGTATGCACAGCTAAACAGCACCGTTTTTAACCTGGTTTTAAACATTGTCAGAGAGGAGGCCTGTCTCACATCTTCAGGAAGATTGTTCCAGATTTTAGCAGCATGAATCTGAAAAGCAGTCTCCCCATGTTTAGTTCTGACTCTGGGCACTAACAGGAGTCCAGTCCCTGTGCTCCTCAGAGTCCGGGCTGGTTCATATGGGACTAACATGTCACTAATATATTTTGGTGCGAGGCCATGGAGAGATTTGTACACAAGCAGAGCTGTTTTAAAGTCTATTCTCTGAGCCACAGGAAGCCAGTGCAGGGACCTGAGGACCGGACTAATGTGGTCGTACTTCCTGGTTCTAGTCAGGACTCGAGCTGCTGCATTTTGAATGTACTGCAGCTGTTTTACAGCCTGTTTGGACAGACCTGTGAGCAGGCCATTGCAGTAGTCTAACCTACTGGAGACAAATGCATGGATAAGAATCTCCAAGTCTGCTTTAGACACTATGTTTTTGATCCTGGCAATGTTTTTTAGATGGTAAAAAGCTGCTGATGTTACTGATTTGATGTGGCTATTAAAATTTAAGTCTGAGTCCAGTATTACCCCTAGATTTCTGACCTTGTTAGAAGGTTTTAGGGAGAGAGACTGTAGGTGACAGATGACGCTCTCTCTTTGTTTCTGGGGACCAAAGACAATCATTTCAGTTTTGTCTGCGTTTAGCTGAAGGAAGTTGTTTTGCATCCACTCACTGATCTGTTGGATACAGTGAAGGAGTGAGTCCACTGGTCCATGTTCTCCTGCAGTCAGTGAGACATAGATCTGAGTGTCGTCTGCATAGTTATGATAGGAAACTTTGTTTCTGCGTATTAACTGACCTAACGGCAGCATGTAGAGATTGAACAGAAGAGGTCCCAGGATCGACCCCTGTGGTACTCCACAGGTCAGGGCCATATGATCTGAGACACAGTTTCCAATCTCCACAAAGTACTTCCTGTCTTCAAGGTAAGACCTAAACCAACTTAGGGCGGTGCCAGCGACGCCAACCCAGTCCTCTAGTCTCTGTAAGAGGATCTCATGGTCGACAGTATCAAAGGCAGCACTTAGATCTAACAGGATTAGGATTGAGACTTTGCCTGCGTCAGTGTTCAGCCGGATATCGTTTGTAACCTTAACGAGAGCAGTCTCAGTGCTGTGGTGGGGTCTAAAGCCGGACTGAAACATATCAAATGAGTTGTTGATTATAAGAAATCTAGTAAGCTGTAGGTAGACAACTTTCTCAAGGACTTTCCCCATAAATGGCAGATTTGAGATGGGACGATAGTTGTTAAGTACCGTAGCATCCAGACTGCTCTTTTTTAGCAGGGGCCTGATGACTGCAGTTTTCAGGGCCTTTGGGAATATTCCAGAATCAAGGGACATGTTTACTATCTGTGTGAGTGAAGGTAACAGACTGCTCAGAACAGACTTTAGAAATCTAGTGGGTAGTACATCCAGGCTGCATGTGGAGGAGCTCAAACTGGAGATTATCTCTTGGACAGTTTGATCATTTACAGGTGCAAAGTAAGTTAGCTCAAAGAGCCTTTCTGGCTGTTGGATTGTTATCTGTGGATTGGAGACAATGGCGTTTTTGATGCCTTGAACCTTGTCATTGAAAAAATGTGCAAACTCATTACATTTACGTTTGGAAGTTAGCTCTAATGGCATTTGAACAGGGGGGTTTGTTAATCTATTAACTGTTGAAAACAGAACACGCAGATTGTTGCTGCAGCCTTCAATCATTTCAGAAAAATACCTTTCTCTTGTACTACGTAGCACCTGGTTAAACTCGCACAACTTATCTTTGAAGATCTTGTAATCAACCTGGAGGTTGGACTTGCGCCACTTCCGCTCGGCCCTCCGGCACTCTCTCTTTTGTGCTCTGACCGAGTCTGCTTTAGCCCACGGCGCCTTCTGCTTATTTTTCACTATTTTAACCTTCACAGGGGCAACGGTATCCAGAACATTCAAAACACTAGAGGTGACAGAGTTAAACAGTTCATCTACAGTAGAATACGATGCATTCTCAAAGTTTATCATTCCCATAAATAGTTCACCCGTATTTTCATTTATGTGTCTTCTTCGTACAGTTGCAGAGTCCACTGGTGGTTTGTTAGTGAAACACATGTCAAAAAATATACAAAAATGATCCGAAAGCGCAACATCGACCACGTTTACATTATATATGTTCGCCCCCTTTGTAACTAACAGGTCTAGAGTGTGCCCTTTGCTGTGGGTGGGGCCACTCACATGCTGAGTGAGACCAAAAGATTCAAGAAGAGAACTCAGCTCTTTAGCATTTCTGTCATCAACATTATCCACATGAATATTAAAATCACCTGTAATAACTAAACTATCAAAATCTGTGCATACAACTGAAAGCAACTCTGTAAAATTATCAATAAAACTGTGACATGACTGCGGTGGCTTGTATAGGACAACGAAAAGTATTGGAGGAGATTGTTTTTGTTGTATTTTAAAAGACACATATTCAAAAGACGGAAACTTCCCAAGAGACATTCTATGGGAGACAAAGTGGTCTCTGAAAATGGCAGCTAAGCCTCCTCCTTTTTTGTTTTCCCGTATTTCAGATTCAAATTTGAAATTTGGTGGTGATGCTTCTATTAAAACTGCATTTTCTGTATTTTGGTCAAGCCATGTTTCAGCCATGAACATAAGATCTAGATTATAAGAACAAATAAAATTATTGATTAAAAAAGACTTGTTACAAAGAGATCTGACATTTAGCATAGCAAGTTTCAAAGTTTCAGGATCAGCGGTTGTGGTCGGCTGATTCTTACACGGAACAAGAATTAGATTTTCCTGATTAGACTGATTAACTCCAGATGTTTTTCTGTTATGTATTCTTTGTGTTATCACTAAGGGAATGGCACAGGTGGCTTCACGACAGGGCCCCAGCCGGGTCTCTCCTCTAACTAGACTGCCAGTGGCTGCGAAGCAGAGACCCTGTGCATCCTAGTGTTTAGAGAAAAGAGGGGTAGGGGAAGGCGGGGGAGGAGGATGGAGAGGCGGGTGGTTCTTGGGAGTTGGACGGGGAGGGGTTGAAGGTGGATGGGTTTTTGGTGATGGGTTAGGGGAGGGGCAGGCTGAGTTGGGTGGTGGACGAGGGGGGAGTGGAGGTGGAGGGTTTCTTGGTGCTGAGTTAGGGGGGGGGAGGGGGGCTAAATGAGCAGGAGGGGGGGGTGGAATACTTATGGGGTTAGAGGAGGGACGGGTGGATTTTGTGGGAGAATTTGAGTTGGACGCCCTAGGTGGCTTTGGAGGTACGTATGGGGAGTAGTTTTGAATGTTAGATAGGACTCTTGATCTGGCTACAGTGGGTGTGAGAGGAATAGTCTTCATCGCCGATCTTATCATGCCTGCAGAGTGTTCTGGTAAATCCAGTAGTGAAGGCGGGGATAGAAAACAAAGGGAAAGGTCGTCCTCATTTTCCCTAGATGGAGTGGATGTAGCGGGGGGGACCCAAGCCGGGTCCATGGAAGGTGATGAGGGAGTCTTTGGTGGAGACAGAGGTGGTTGAGGAACCCCCAGTACAGGCCTGACTGTAGCCTGGAGTAATGGGGGAAGCTTCACGGGAGCTGTAGGTGGGGAAGGTGCTGCTGAAGATGATGGAGCAGCCACTGCTGCTGCTGTATCCACTGCTGCTGCTGAAGATGATGGAGCAGCCACTGCTGCTGCTGAAGATGATGGAGCAGCCACTGCTGCGGCTGTATCCACTGCTGCTGCTGAAGATGATGGAGCAGCCACTGCTGCTGCTGTATCCACTGCTGCTGCTGAAGATGATGGAGCAGCCACTGCTGCGGCTGTATCCACTGCTGCTGAAGATGTGGCAGCTGCTGATGATGCTGGGGGTGGAGGCGTTGAGCTCTTTCGAAGCCGTGGAGGTGTTGAGTTCTTTTGGAACCTTGGAGGTGTTGAGTTCTTCTTGAATCGTGGAGGTGTGGAGTTCTTTTGAGGCGGTGGGGGTGCAGAGACCTCGGGAGTCGGTGGAGATGGTAGTGATGTCTGTGCCCTTTGCTTCTTCTTTCTCCCTTTCAACGGCTGCACGCGCTGCGCAGGCTGAGGTCTTAGGGCAGATGCAAAGTTATCCATCAGCACTTTTACTCCGTAGTTGTTCAGATGTGGGCCTTTTTCTTCAAAAAGCTCGTGCCTATTCCAGAACAGATTAAAGTTTTCAATGAAGCCAAGTCCTCTGCGTGAACACTCATTGAGTAGAAATGTATTTAGCTGATACAGACGGCTAAACTTCTCCATTTTTCCATCTATATTTGGCAGTGGGCCACTAAGAAAAATTGTTATGTCCATTTTCTTGAGGTCATCCAGTAACAGCGTTAAATCCATTCGTAACTTCTCGCTTGCCTTCTCATAGATATCTACCGCCCCCGTGTGGATCAATAATGTACGCACACCACTGTTCTCAGATAACACTTTAGGCAGAAGAGTTCTTATCTCAGCAACTTTAGCAGAGGGAACTGAGACAGTGAGCATGGACTCCATGTTTACATTTTTCACCGAGCCATCTCCGATAAGGATACAGTTTGTCCTTGGTGGAGGCGCTGCAGTTTTTAGCAGCTTTGTTGTTTCAGAAAGGGGTAAAAAGCGGTTTGAAGTCTTCAGAACATTTAGTTGTGGCCTTATTTCACTCCTATTGTCATTCTTAGCTTTGTCAACTTTGGGTTTGGCTCCACAATTGTTCCAATAATTCTCATTGTTGATTTTGGGAAAAGAAATGACGTCATAACTTACATTTCCAGTCTGTCCATTCATCCCATTTTCACTCATTGGAAGAGTCGGGTTAAGTCCCATTTCTGTTTCCACAATAGATATCCGTGTTTGAAGAGATTTAAGCTGATTTTCCAAAGCACAACAGCCACCGCAGACGCTTCTCCGTCTCTTCCGTCCCGACATGACTAATGTTGATAAATTCCACAAAGCTGAAGTGTGTAGAAGGAGTAATCCTCGTTTTGTAAATAAAATGATTAAAGGAGAAACAAAAAATGTAAATAAAATGATTCAGGGAGATTAAAAGGCGAAGCAAAAGCAGAGCAGAGAGACACGACCGCTCTCTCGAGAAGCAGGAAGTAAGAATTTAGGCCGACTGATGTGGGGCATCTCCCTCTGCAACGAAGCCAGCTTACCCAAGTGACCTTCACCTTACACTAGCTCATTTTATTGTTTAATCTGGGGATAAATAGGCATGCTAACTCAAGTAAATAGGTAAATACATAAAATATGCTGTAAAATACATAAGTGCCAATGACACATGTGTCCAACAGCTCCTCCTTTCCTGTGAAATTACAGCTCTTTCTTCCATGAAGCGCATAAAGCCTCAGACGGAGGACATCAATCAAGAGCAATTTGGCGGTAATCAGACACCGCTGCATTTGAGATGAAAGCTGTGAGCTGCTCCATTACAGCAGAGAGAGAGGTGAGTGAAAACATCAGTGAAACTCGCTACATCCTCGAGTGCTTCTGCAAATGTTAAAATTGTTAAATATCTGGTTATTATAAACTTCCATAATACTTAGAAACCACTGTACTTATTCCGGAACAAAAGCCCCATAAGTGATTTTTCAGCATTTACGAACTGTCAATCTTGAACTGACATTTAAATGGTAACACATTTATAACGTCACACAATGTATTTCCAATGTTTAAAAAGGACCTGGCTAATAATGTCTGGAGCTCCTCTTCCTTCTTTGCCAGATGAATCTTCAGCTCGTCAATCTGAGCCTGGACTTCCACAATCTGGTCTTGGAGATCTGTGTTTTCAGCATCAAGTTTACGCTTGGCTTTCTCCAGCTCCTGCCGAGTTTTCTCCTCTTTCTTCAAACGCTCTAAACACACGGAACAAATGTTAATTGATTCAATGACAATTTTGTTACAGCAATAATTTTGTTACAGCAATATGACAATTTCTCAGAATAATCATATTTGTAATGTACCTTCCAAATCGATCATTATCAGTTCTTGCTTGTTTTTAATTTTTCCAAGGTTCTTTGCTTTTTCTTCTTCCTCTGCAAGTTGTGATGTTGTTTCAGAAATCCTGTCTTCCAACATTTTTTTCTCCTAAAATAAAAGTAGGTTATTTGTAGTTGAAAGGTAAAAAGCCAAAATGACATGACATGACACACACCTTAAGAAACTTAGAATTTTGATCTTCGAGCAGCAAAATGTCCTCCTCCATCTTCTTAATCTTGGCCTCAGCCGTGACTTTGTCCAGCTGTAGTTTTTGTCGAGCAGCCTCCTCCTCATCCAACTGTTCCTCCAAATCCTACACAAAAATCACACGACACATGTATCAGAATAAACATGTGAGTCCTGTGCCTGGCAGCTCAATTTATTTGTCTGTGAAATTGTCAGGCAGTGCATTAATGAATTCACAGGCCTTGACATTAAGCTTTGTCAGTCACTTGCCCTTCGGGCAAGTACCATTTATATTTTACTTGCCCAATGTCAAAAGTTACTTGCCCAAATATTTATCAATACAATAAGTTAACAAGAGATTGGCAATAAAGTGGCATTAACTGTGGAATAAAACCCACTCTCATCCAAAAAAGTCAAATAATGACTCACAGGGCTCTTAAGTATGCAAAATAAAAAACAAGACGCCTGTCGAGGTGTTTTCTGTTCTGCAAGGCGCTGGTGATGGGGCACTTGCCTGTCCCAAATCTTTAGTTGCCCCGGGCAAGCGGACAACCGTTAATGTCAAGCCCTGAATTCACTATATTCAATTAAAGTTCATGTTAGGATACACTTTATTAATGATTGATAAAGTTTGATCTATTTATAAGCTAAAGGACCCTTTTATGTATCCAACTGAGAGGAAATGTCAATGTATGTGCAAACTAATACTAAGCCAGTCCTTTAGAGACCTGTATGTGTGCTTGCATCTTCTTCTTCTCGTTCTGTATGCTCTGGTTCCTCTCCTCCTCCTCCTCCAAGCGAGACTCCAGGTCGTGCAGGATTTCCTCCAGCTCTTGTTTCTTTGATGCCAGTTGCGCTCTCATCTCCTCAGCTTCTGCAAACAGCTCCGTCTCTGCCTGAAGCTGCTCAGCCAGTATGTTTTTCTCCTCCACGAGCTAAAAAAATTGTTTTATGAAGCATACTCTTTTTTTTTAAAAAGCAGCTGCATCTTTATGATTACCTGTTGGTATTTTCTCTCCGTCTCCACGAGCTCATTTTCCACCTTGAGTTGCCGTTCTTTAACCTTTATTAGCTCCTCATCTTTGGCTTGTAGCTCCTCCTCCTGCCTGGTCACCTGCAGAAGAGGCTTCACCTGAAAGACAATTAGATACAATTATACAATACGTTACAAAATATACATTTTCATATCACCAGCTGCCACTCAGGGAAGAGATTTAGTAATTTTTTTGAAAACATGAAATTCTAATTTAGGATACCCTTGGATCATTATGAATTATTTTTTTAATTTTAAAGCCTCATCTATGGATCTGTTCAACTTTTGTATAGTACATGTTAATAACCCCTGCCTCATTACAAATTAAGAAAATATAAAAAACTAGAAAGAAAAGAACAGCAGGGATTTGTCATCTTGCATCAAGTGATTAATCTGCATGGATCACTTTAAAAACAACATACACAAACTTTAAATGTTGGGGCATCCAAAAGTTAGAAGTTTATGGTATAATCTGCCTTTTTGTCAAAGTACAAATATTTTAACATAGAAAAAGATTTATACTACATTACAAATCAAAGAAAACCTTACTTTTCTAAGGTTAATGTAATGAGTTGGATGCTGTAACTAGGTTTCAATACCTAAACTTTTGTGTTTTACCGCATTACACAGGACAGATGCTGACCTTGGTAAAGAGCCTCCACCACTGCCAGTGTCGCAGCTTTAAGTAGGCGGCACAGTTCCTCTGCAGCACCTTTAGGGCACTCAACTGCTGCTGTTTTTTTGCAAAAGCCCTGGAAAAGAAAGTTTATTAACGCCTGTGGAAAATAGTTGTGGATATCATCATGGATATAAACACATGACTGACTGACTTGCGTGCCAAATATCCACGACACACAGACTGGAAGTATATGATTATGTCTGTGATCTTCAAGTCTCTCTCCTCCTCCAGCTGGGCCAAGACTCCAGTCCGGAAGAAAATCTTACTCTGGCCAATGCGGTACAGGTTGGGGTCCAGCTCCAAGGCTTGTATCTACAAATTATAAAGAGTAAATATTTTTGGGGATTGTATGCGCAATAGCTTCATAAAGAGTGAGTGATACACACCATTCTCTCGCACGCCTGTTTTCCATCCATGAAAGCCTTGGGGATTGCATTTGGTGTCAGTATCTCATATCTGTAAACACACACATGATAACAAATGGAAACTGAATATTGTGTAAAGCAGCTGAAGTCACGTGTACCTCTGTCTGAACTCCTGGAAGACGATACGGTTGGGGAAGCCCTGTCTGCAGATTCGGATCCCCTCCAGGACTCCATTACAGCGCAGTTGGTCCAGAACCAGGTGAGGCTCCAGTTTACCAGCCTGAGATTGAAATAAAAGACATTTTCTCATGCTGAACATCATTATACTTTGGCTGTTTTGTTTCTTACCCTCTTTTCATGGTTGGGGATGATACACCGCACAAAGTTGGGGTTAGTGTTTCGTAAAGTAGCCATAAGTTTTGTGAGGGACTCTTTATAGAGCTGGCCCACTGTACGAAACATGCCCTTTTTTGTTTTGTAGGTAGCACCAAAAGCAGTCTCGTTCATCCCAGCCACCTGGTCCAAGCCCACGATACGGTCCACTGGAGCGACAGGCAAAGCAGTTAGAAACAGTGAAAATAAACCAGATAAAAGGTTGGACAGTCAGATAAATGACTGCAGATGAATGAAGGACATCAGACAGGAAACTAACTCTAGTTGTTGCAGTTGGAGCGCATTGCCGTGGGCATGCTGCATGATGGCCTACTCAAACATGGGCTGTGCAACTACTTTAGGCATCATCTGTCAATCTGTATCACATCTGATCTATTAAGCAGTGCATTTTATGACGCCGGATGCGTACCATTCAGTCTTGTGAAATGGATTTAAGTTACTAAAGAGTCATTTCAGTTTGGTCTAGTGAAGCGTGACCCACTGTCTGGATGGATCTGAAGTGTGACATCAGAGCCAATGTAAATAGCAGGAACAACATCTGCTTTCAATTTCCCTCTCCTTCTGTGAAAACAATGTGATTCATTCAAACAAAAAACCATGACATGTTGAATTCTTGTATGCCAAATAAAACTTAAGATTGCAATAACTCTATCGTGGTCAGTAAAAACTAAAAAGAAAAGACTTATAGTGAACACACTACTCACTACTCTAGGGTAGCGGCTAAACGTTAGCTCTAGTTCAACTGCTTATGGCTGTGACAACATGCAGCCGGGAAGCAGATGGGAGCCATAGACGCTAGGACAGACACAGCACCGTCTGAAGCACAAACACTCAGATCTGGGCAAAAATACTCAATACTCAATCATAAAAAATCAGCTGGATCAAACCAGATTGGAAAATTCTGATTCAACTAAACCAGTAGTAAATCCAGTGCTGGTCATCTTGACCTAATTATTTTAGCCCAGGTCTGCAACAGCATGGCCCAGTCATTCACCTGAAGGCTCATCCAGACTAGTGACATTGTCATAGAATGAAGCCCTTTGAATGTTCTGAATCTCTACAACACAGAGAGAGATAGGAGGAAGGAGGTTGATTTATTTTAAATCACAAAACAAAGGAACCCGGAAGCTGTTAGTAAAGTTAAAAACTCAATAGAATGAACTTGAAAGATTTTAATATGGCACAGAAATAATAATAATTGCACCCAATATTTACCACTAAATACATACCATCTTTCCAAAGCTCTCCCACGAATCGGTCAGTTGATTGATGAAGGAGAGTGGCCACATTGTCATTAAGGGGATCCATGTTCTTCATAAGCCATTCATCAGCCTTATAATCCACCTACAAATGTTGTTAAATAATAGAATAGATGAGGAGTTGATGTACAAGTAGTGTTTCTCAGTGCAGAAATTGCTCTCAGTAGGACAACGTATATAAATGTTCTAAGAAACAAGAAGTCTGGATTCACAAACATTGAATATTTCATTAAAAACTAAAGCCATTTTTATTTACTAATCAGGCAGTCTGATTGGTAAATAAAAATGAAAATAATATATTGTACTCATTATAATGACCTAATATATTGAATATTGTGGCAATATAAAATGTACCTTGCCAGCATAGTGAATGATGCAAAAGTCTGCTTTGTCTTTCAGCTGCCTTGGTTTCTGGAACTTGGGGTGTGTCCCCTGCTCTTGGATTAACTTGTCAATAAAGGTCTTGTCTGTGGCTTTGGGGAACCAGCACTCCTCATCGAGCAGAGCCAAGACCCCTGGGAGGTTGGCCTGAAAACACAACACAAAAAATGGTAATATATCCAATAATAAACTTATTATTATTATTATTCCAAGAACGTTGATTCCATTTCATGTTGTTTATTTAGACAGACCGGCTTTTCGATGAGGTCGATGCAGGGCTGCAGGTCAAGGCCAAAGTCGATGAAGCTCCACTCGATGCCCTCGCGCTGGTATTCCTCCTGCTCCAGGATGAACATGGTGTGGTTGAACAGCTGCTGCAGCTTCTCATTCGTATAGTTGATGCACAGCTGCTCGAACGAGTTCAACTGATGGAAAAACACAATCATACATTTAAGAAAGAAGTAACCAACATATATCATCTTCAAAAACTTTTTCAAACCTGAAAAATCTCAAAGCCTGCTATGTCCAGGATGCCAATGAAAGATGCTCCTTGCCGTTTGGTCCTGTCCAGAGCTTTGTTGATCCGGTGGACAAGCCAGCGGAACAGGCGCTCATATGTTGCTTTGGCTAAGGCCTCAATGGCAAAATCCGCCTAGGAAGAAGAGACATTTTTACATTACTTTTTTTTCTAACTAAAACAATCTTTCAGACTCATTCAATAAACAATTATAAACTATGTTGATAAAAAGCGTTCAAAGCAGACTCCTAAAGCCTTACTTACCTGCTCTTTAGTTTGCGCTTTCTGGACGTAGTCTCTTCCCACTTTAATCCTCGGGGTCAGGATGGCTCGGGTGAACTCCATCACATTAATTCCCAGTAAATGACAAAGTTTCTGAGCAGCTGAAAATTACAGGAAAATGTAATGCTGAGGTCTAGATAAATAGTACAATGCATTGTAGTTGTAGTCACACTGAGATGACTATAGTATTTTGTATTATAGTGACTTGCTCACCAGTATTATCAGGCATTGAAGCTTGGTCCGTGTTTCTCTCCTTTTTGAAAATAATGTTTCCAAACTGAAGCACTGCTGACACCACCTTCAGCATGGCTATTTCAAAGAGAACAAACAGCAAATTATGTTACCAAAATAAGATACAATTATATCCAAGTCAGATGAATGTGTTTTACACAGACAACCGTCCAAAACAAGTCGAGTTTACTGCAGTTTAGAACAACAACACCATACCTACGATTTCCTCGTGTCCAAAGCTCATGATGTGCATGGCCTCCATCGTTTCATGGAAGTTGTCTTTGTCCTGCTGACCCGGGATAGGGAGGTTTCCATTTGACAGAAAACGGTATTTGTTGAATCCTTCCAAGAGTAGGTCAGCTGCAGTCAGAAAAAAAAAAAACATTAAGTAGTCTGCGTGTTTTCTAATGCAGTGTTAGAAAACATAGATCTCACTGTTGAGGTGCTCTCCAGCTCCAGCCAAAAGCTGGTAGAATATGTGGAAGGTGCGTTCATCTTTGGCTTGTCGAATAGCTCTCGACTTCTCTAGTAAATCTGGCCGTTGATTAAGTGGAAAAACAATGTGTGTGGAGTGTGTGTGTTTGATTTAAAGGAGAGTTTGATTTATAAAAAGGATACAAGTTTCAATATTGGCCCCAACAATATAACCGGTAACATCAAAGTTGACACGAATGAATTTTCCCTGGAGAAGAAAACACATCTTTCAACACAAAGATTACAATTATCTTATTTTTACGTTATGTCACAATCTATTCTTTCCTGTCTCCGTAGGAGAGTAAAGAGACACTTAAGAATATGTATCTACATCAATACCCCATGGAGCATGTTTAGTGTCAGTTGATGACACGGCCTTTCAACCAAAGGCCCCCATTAACTGTTCACTCAGTGGAAAACCTGCCACCATTGTATTTTTCCAAAAACTTACAAATCTGGATGAGTTGTCATTTTTCACAGTCTTAGCATTCCCAAAAGATTCCAGGATGGGGTTGGCCTGTAAAAGCTGCCGTTCCAATTCTCCCTGAAATAAAGCAGAGCATTACTCCATCACCACCGCAGCCTCAACGTGAAGAGTAAAATCACTGGAGATTTAGTGTACACCACTAGATTTCACTGGGACACCACAGAAACGCATGCAGACACAGACATGTGACGTATCAGGAGTGTAAGACAAGGTTCCTGTCAAATGTGAATATGGCTAAGCTAGTTATTTTAAATGAATTAAATTTTAATATACGTAGATGTAAATTGAATGAGTAACCGCAACCATTATTTCTGCTTTATGTGGTTATTGTCGAGCTATTGTCATTATCAGTGCAAGTGCATTTTCTTTATGGACTGCGGCAGCAAACACCACCATGGGATCAAAGCAGAGTTTGCTTTAACTAACTTGCAGTAGTTAAATACTTTATTGTCCCCATAAGAATCCTGCACACTTTAAAACAACCACAGATTATAGATATATCAGTGGGAGTCAAATTTAGCAACATTATGGCAAGCACCACATCCCCCTTCAGAAACCGCACATCTGGCACAATACAGCTGCTGCTGGTTGCCTCTTCTTTGTTGACAATTCAAAGGGAAATAAATTCAGTGAATAAGCATTAAGAATTTATCTGTCATACAACACTGACTAAAATAATGCCTAGTTGAAAACTTTGTATTAGAAAAACTGAATTTGGTGTAAATTAACATTTACTGAATGAAAATTGTCTTCCACATAATAGTGTATTTTACCTAATAATAGAATTAGCTGGCTAGTCACACCAAGAGAAATGACATAGATATAATTCATTATTACTGTGGATAAAAGTTTATGTTGAGTCTGTTAATGAATAGATGCTATATCATGTTTCATAGGGATGTCACAGTTTCAAATGTGAGAGTTACCAATATTGTGAGGAAAAAAACTAAATTTAACAATTATTCAGTCAATTCCAAATGACACAAATATCAGTGATAATCTGTTAACCTATTAATCTTGACATTCCTTTTGTTCCATTATCACAGAGAAAACCATTGGGTAGTTTTGAAAGCAGTCGCCTCTGTTTGTGTAGTGGGATTAAAGGCAAAAACTACATACTACTCACATAAAACAGGGCTCCACTCTGAAAACACGGAAAGATTCAGATGTTAACACGGGACAAAAATAACGCATTTGTGTCATGGAAACGATACATGTGGTAAAGCTTGTGTTGTTGCGAGTCTCTAGAGCTGTGTCGGCGTTGGAATACAGCAATATAAAATAATCTTAAGTCTAAACTAAATAATTGTGATGGATATAAACAAATCCTAATATCCTACACACTTTGAATCAAAAATACTTGGACACGCAAAAGGTAAACACAAGATGGAGCTTCTACACTCAAATACATGCGCATGCGTATATCGAATTCACAGAGGACAACAGAAAACAGTAGCACATGGTCATGCCAGAGATTCCTTTACTTACAACTGAATTTTGTGCCTGACAAGAAAATATACAGTTCTTTTTAGTAATTTGATAGATATTTGCTGTATAAGGCTTGATACAAGTGTGTACATGAGGTTAAAATTGCACACATTTTGATAATAAAAGTTTGTAGAGACTTGCCTGTTTCACTTGTTTGGGCGATTCTGGCTGTTAATTCAAAACAAATGTAAAGGTTAGATTTGCGCACAAAACTTATTTTCCATTCAGTGCTTTACTTATTTTCATTGATACTAATTCCCATTGTCACATTTCAAATCACACATAAGAGAAATAGATGCAACAAAGTCATAAACCATGGCATAAAAAGATTGGATTACAGTCATTTTCCAGCAGTACTCACAGGAATGTTGTGGTCTTTGCGTCCCTTGTGTGACGAGGCAACGTAGGCCAGGTACTGAATGACTTTTTTGGTGTTTTCTGTTTTGCCGGCCCCTGATTCGCCTCTGCAAGACAAAACAAAATAGAATCACTAAAATCATCTCCATTGACTATCCACAGACAAATTGTTTGCTTATCTTTCAAAGGCTATAAAAGTACCAGTGAACATTACTCAAAAATGTATCATTTTTTATCAGCTTGCTTTCAGTTATTATCTTTGTGAGATAGAAAAAGAAAGGCAGCCCATACAAATGTGGACGGCATTATGCAATTAGATCATAGCTGAGGTTTTACACAAGGTGCAAATTTGAATGAGCCAGGGCTGCGTGAATGTTTTGTAATCCCAAAAGCTGGATCGGCCGAATCGTAAAAAAGCCGGCAGTATTTCTTACTTTACTACTTTTCATTTTGGAGATACATTTTTGCTTGAGTCTCGAGCAGTAGCGGACCAAAGACATCCCAGGTCAATATCGATTGTCACCTTTTTAGTTGACGAAAAACAAATATGTTGCTGACTGGCTTTAACTCTTTACAAAACTATAGCAACAAGAAAACCATGTTGCTAGCATAACATCAACACAAATGCAGTTTTTTTTTTTTTTACCAAAATCCCAATCATTCAGCTAATATACTCCACATCATCTCATAATTGTTGTTTTCTAAAATAAATACTTATATGAGAACTGTAGTATTTAAACTACTATATTAATATAGTATATAAATATCAAAAATGTCCTGTATTGGCAGTTTCTTCAGATACCAGTATTGGCATAATCACTAGAAAATTCAAGAAAAATAACAAACATTTAAATAGAAAATAGTCTGTTAAATATCGCTTTACTGTAAAATTCACTTAAACATCTAATAGTTCAAATGAGGACATTCACAGTGGATTACGTCAATATTCCTACAGACCACTGGTGTTACATTTCTAACCTGCAGCAGTGAGTTGATAATAGGTGCTTGTGTCGTGTGTCATTAAATATCTAAAGACGATCACACTAGTGTTTGTTTATTTTGGTCTGGACTTTAAACCAAATGAATGGGAAAATATATGTGTAAAACAATACTTTATTACAGATTTGAACAAAGACAAGTAAAAGTAAGTCTCAGTCTTACGTGCAAAGAATGGACTGATCCTCTCGATCTGTTGAGACAAGAAACAAAATACATTTCAGTTTATTTATTGTTAGATACAGTACAAAGCCAAAGGTTATTTTCTGATGAAAATCTGGTGTTTCTGAGATTCAGCTTCAGTCTCCCTTCCTCTCTCTACTACTGACATGTATTGAATATGTTGCTCAAAAAAGTATCTTGTAATATTTGTTTCAGTATAAAATAAAAAATGGTCACTAAATGTTATGTTACAGTAAAAGCAGAAAAGGCTCCAACTGCGTCTTGTGAGGCTTCAGAAGAAAAATTATGTCATCATAGGAAAACAGCGGGCTCTATTCTTGCTGAAGCCCCCCCCAACGAGCAACAGGAGGGCTCCCCACGCCACATGGCCAAGAGCTAAAGATAAGATAGGGTGATCCTCTCACAGAGGATACATGTCGTATAGTTCTGCATTCCCATTATCACACGTCAGAGAGTTGAGAGTCTTTATTTTGATATAGTCGGTTTCACTTTTTGTTCATCTCAGTAATATCAATACATACACTAATATACCTTTTTATAAATATCAAATGTTTATATTTGATTAATAAAAATATATTTTATTTGCCTGCTCCTAGCAAAGGCATATTTGAGTTTCATAGTTATTCCAACTGTGTTGGGTTCCCATTATCAGTTAGACCATATTTTGGGAAATTGTCAGGAAATGTATAAGTCACAAAAGGTTTTTTTTTTTTTAAAACAGTCTACAAATCCTATTATTTCACTCTTTTTGGTATTTTTTCCTGAGCAAAATTTCTGTTAATAGTGTGTATATATGACATGCACTATTACTTTACACATTACTACCAATTTTGAGTTCAATGTCCCGTGTAAAATAAATTACACCAATATTTCCTTGGAAAAATAAGATAAGGATTACAACATATGCCCACGTTAACGCTTTTCTGCTATAAAGCAATCTTCTTGTGAATATTGAGCCCTTTGTTACAAAGAGAGACACAATGTCTGTTTGAATGAATTGGTATGCTGATATATGACCTCTCAACCATTACCATAATCAAGTGCAGACAGCAGCAGGTATAACATGACAGCTGAATTTCTTGCTGAATCATACATGAATCATAAATAACAACAATAATAATAAAGAAAGCTATGGGCGTGCACGAGTAGCAGAAACAGGACCAATGGTTCATTGAATACAGTACAATCTTGAACAACTTGAAAGAACAATGAATATAAAATCATTCAAAGCTTATGTTGATTTGAACAAAAACTCCAGTTTAAGACGGTCTGATTATAAAGTATAGCCTTGCAATAATCGGGACAGAAGTGTTCAACAGTTGTTTTGGCTGTTTCCTTGGCTGCTCTCTGGCTCTAAAATGCTGACTGAGTTCCTGTTGAGTGTCCCGCAGGAGGGGAGCAGCGGCGCTGCTGTCGTGACGCGGATGAGGACACAGCTTGTCCGCTCATCATGGACTTGGCCTGACTGACTTGGACCAGACTTTTTCTACAGCAACAAGGAAAACTGGCCGACAGCTCATGCATAGAGTGTGTCTCATCCACAGTGCGTCTCATCCACAGTGCACTCAAAGCATCTCACAGTCACTGCACTTACTGCTGCATTCACATGGGTGAATCAATATCATTTTAACCATAATACATATTAGAAAAATGTAGTTATCATTTATGATTATTTGTATGTGATATATGTTGTACCAAAATGGAAAGCATTGCTCTTAATCTATTTGTATCTGAATTGTCTCTCAATGGAGTTCATCTTTATCTCTTTGGCAGCAGACTCACATAACGTTTGTTAATCATGGATCATACTGTAACTCAGCACCATCCTTAACAGCCTCTGCAGACTGCACATGGCTGATTACCGTCAGGAGACACTGAGGCTGGGCACTCGACTACAGCAGCACCAGAAGCGGTTATTTCTGTTTCATTACCGCTTCTGAGTCACCAGAAAGTCTTGTTTGTACCATTTCCATAACTGCACAGTCATATGTCTCCATATTTCCTTGGGACACTTGATTGATTACTTAATTTCTAGTTACTGTAAAAACGGCACAATTCATGGTTTCATATTTAACACCATCAATTATTGATTCTGAGCGGGCTCAACAGGAGGGCTCCCCACGTCACAGGGCCCAGAGCAAAGAGCTCAAGATAAGATAGAGTGATCCTCTCACAGCAGATACATTTATATACGGTTTATAGAATGACAACATTATATACAAAACTATAGACAATAACCAAGAGAAATAACAACAGTAATATGTTTGGTTTGTGCTGATATCGATGATGTCCGTTAGTAATATCACACAGTCACGCTCAGTGGAAACCCTTACTAAGCCGAGGTGGATTGAGCCATTTGGCCTAATGGCCTGCATAAAGGGGATTGCTAAATGGGGGAATCCTTCTACTTTCAGGGGAAAAAACAAAACAAAAAACTTTTACACAACTGCAACAGCGAGTCTGAAGAAACATTTTCAGAGCTGTAGAGGAAAACCCAGAGAGGAATTTTAGTTTTTTAAACAATGAAGAAACTTTGAGGTAGTTTTTTCCCCCTTTACTAACCAAGTAATCAATGACAGATGTGCTTGTAATCTTACTTTACTAACACACTGCTCTGACTTGAGACTGTCCAACTTCCCTGCAACACAGAGGCAATTAGCACACATGGCAAATGCTAGCCTGTGTTATGCAGGGTTATTTTGTTCAGAACAAAACTATCAAAAGTGATGAAAAGAAGATTGCAGAAGGTTTTAATAATTTATTTGCCAATATAGTCCCGGAACTTGCAAAAAAAGATCCCATCGGAAAGTGACTCTGGGAAGGAATTAATTTAAATAAATCACTGATCAATGTTCCTCATTTATGAGGAGGAAGTCCACAGCATTATTAGGAAATTTAAGAACAGAACATCTCGAGATAAAGACAACATTGACATGAACTATCAATCCCAAAAGTCATCCCAAAATTCAAAATCTCCCTTCTGCCACAGTTTTCATAAATGCTGTGAAAAAAATCTTATGTTTTGACATAAGACTGCGTGGTTTCATTCATAAATTAAATGTACTGCCTGATGCTCAATACGATTCAGAAAAAAATCAACATCACTTGCTCTAATAGACCTAATTAAGGGCATTACAAACGATGTAGAAAACAATTATCTTAAAAATGTTATGTGCAGGTCTAAAATAAATAAATTGATTGATTGATTTAGCCTCTGGCTGCAAATATGATTTCACAATCTATTGCTCTGTGTTTTGAGTTTAATGGATAAAACTGACAACTATTTGCACAGGCAGCATGGGAAGAGCATTAGCTAAAACATGACTAATTTATAACTGCAATTTGCAACTACACAATTTACACAATTTACAATTTCTAGTGAATATATTATATGACATTTTAATAACTAGTCAAGGCTTTTCACATCAATTAGAAAGTGTATTAGCATCAGCCATCACTCAAAGGGCTTTTAATATTTTCGGCTAATCTTATGTGAAACAAAAGATAAATGCAACATCAGAGGGCCACAGCTGAACAGCATCTGGCCTCTACTAATCTGTAACCTACAAACCTCCTTTTCATTCACCACGCGGTTAATTCTGATTATCAGTGAAGATGGGTCTGCAATGTGAAGAAGCAGGGTGATATTTTCATTGGGATGCAGGGGGTATATTTTCATCAGGATGGTATAAAACTAAATGTTTTGATGCTAAATCAAGCAAAACATTTGCGCACAAACACAGGGAGCAGAGGCTGATGGGACAGTCCAGTGTGTCACTACCCCCATGAGCGTCTTCACAGCTGCACAAAAGGGCTTTTGTGGCTCACAATGGGGTCACCCTCTAGCTCCTCGCTCCTCGGATCATACAGCGCAGAGGGGAAAAACTTGGAAACCATTAGCTCCACGGCTCTTTGAAGAAAGTGATTCTGGAATCCAGCATTGGAAACATTCTACAGTATATGTCTTTCTTGGGTTTCTACTCTCCTTTTTAAAACATCAATTGAAACGCAGTGACGCTCATTGCATGTATTTTCCAGTTAGCCATCACCACCCCTAATGCAACATAATTTGCTTTTCTAATACAGAGTTGGATTGAAATCAAATAAATAGGTCTATGAAGCTATATGTATTCTTAGAGCGGCATGTCTATAAATACACATCATACTTAAGTTAAAGCTGCACTAACTGACTTTGGGATTTTGAAGCCGCGGACTCGCTGGCCACTCTCTTTCTGCTCCCCTCCCCGCACCCACGAAGCTATCGCCCCCCACACACACCCACTGTTGTTGACGGAGCTAGCGTCTTCCAATATGGATAATACATGAATATGGATTTTCACGAGGATGGCGTGACCATAGAACGATAGAACCGGGAAGCGCGGAGGAACGAGACTTTCTTTTGGATGGATGTCTCGCTGTGTAAGCAGTACCCGGTGACGAAGACACAAAGCTTCAGTTTAGCTCCGCCGCTTGTTGTGCTAACTCAGCCGTCTATGCTAACAGGGACCTGTAGATTTCTCACGAAAGTGGGGGCCAGTGGTCCGCTGTGATGGTCACAATCTGCGACCCGAAACACATTCTCTACCTTGTTTCATCAAAACTCGATCTACATGGATAGCATTTTCGTAATGAATGAAGCTTTAATGCACCACGGTCAACAACCGCGGTAAAGAGGTCCGGCTTTCCAGAACCAGCGGTAAAGAGGTCCGCACGTAAAAAGAGGGGTGTCACATTATGCTGTTACTTACGGTAACACAGGAAAGCGAAGCCGCGGGGATGGGCCGCCACAATGCATTTTTTAACATGATTCTTTTTTTATACATAAAAAACCTTAGAAAAAGCTTTCACTGCACACTTGTTCACTGTGAAGCCCTCTATTATTGTGCAAAGTCACATTCACTTTTACTGTGGAAATTCCTAGAAAATAGGGGTCAAAGTGTGCAATAATGATCCAAAATGCACTTTTTAACCTGGATTTTAAAAAAAAGTAAAAAACCTTAGAAAAATTTTTCACTGCACACTTGTTCACTGTGATGCCCTCTACTATTGTGCAAAGTCACATTCACTTTTACTGTAGAAATTCCAAGAAAATGGGGGTCAAAGTGTGCAATAATGATCCAAAATGCACTTTTTAACCTGGATTCTTAAAAAAAGTAAAAAACCTTAGAAAAAGCTTTCACTGCACACTTGTTCACTGTGATGCCCTCTATTATTGTGCAAAGTCACATTCACTTTTACTGTAGAAATTCCAAGAAAATGGGGGTCAAAGTGTGCAATAATGATCCAAAATGCACTTTTTAACCTGGATTCTTAAAAAAAGTAAAAAACCTTAGAAAAAGCTTTCACTGCACACTTGTTCACTGTGATGCCCTCTACTATTGTGCAAAGTCACATTCACTTTTACTGTAGAAATTCCAAGAAAATGGGGGTCAAAGTGTGCAATAATGATCCAAAATGTACTTTTTAACCTGGATTCTTAAAAAAAGTAAAAAACCTTAGAAAAAGCTTTCACTGCACACTTGTTCACTGTGATGCCCTCTATTATTGTGCAAAGTCACATTCACAGTGCAGTGAAAGATTTTTCTAAGGTTTTTTACCTTTTAAGAATCCAGGTTAAAAAGTGCATTTTGGATCATTTTTGCACACTTTTACCCCTATTTTCTTGGAATTTCCACAGTAAAAGTGAATGTGACTTTGCACAATAAAAGAGGGCATCACAGTGAACAAGTGTGCAGTGAAAGCTTTTTCTAAGGTTTTTTACTTTTTTTTAAAATCCAGGTTAAAAAGTGCATTTTGGATCATTATTGCACACTTTGACCCCTATTTTCTTGGAATTTCCACAGTAAAAGTGAATGTGACTTTGCACAATAAAAGAGGGCATCACAGTGAACAAGTGTGCAGTGAAAGCTTTTTCTAAGGTTTTTTACTTTTTTTTTAAATCCAGGTTAAAAAGTGCATTTTGGATCATTTTTGCACACTTTGACCCCTATTTTCTTGGAATTTCCACAGTAAAAGTGAATGTGACTTTGCACAATAGTAGAGGGCATCACAGTGAACAAGTGTGCAGTGAAAGCTTTTTCTAAGGTTTTTTATGTATAAAAAAAGAATCATGTTAAAAAATGCATTGTGGCGGCCCATCCCCGCGGCTTCGCTTTCCTGTGTTACCGTAAGTAACAGCATAATGTGACACCCCTCTTTTTACTGCGACCTCTTTACCCTGTTCTGGAAAGCCGACCTCTTTACCGCGGTGTCTTGAATAGGATCCATCAACTTATTAAAGAATGGGATAAACTGCAACTGTCCTTATGGGGAAGGGTTCAAGCTGTAAAGATGGTTGTACTGCCCAAACTAAATTACCTGTTTAGTATTCTTCCACTTAACATCCCAGAAAGTACTTTGAACAGTCTCAACCAAACACTCAATTCATTTACTTAGCGTTAGCTTTCCGCCATATCGCCCAGTCCAACCAGGGACATTGTCACAGATAAACCTCAGACACGTCCTTTACAAACTCTGTATCACATGAATGAATGTTGAACTAAGTCTACAGCTGAGAGAAAACAGTAAGTGGAGAGGACAAAGGACAGGCTAACGACTAGCATTAGCATTAGCATTAGCATTAGCATTAGCATTAGCATTAGCCCCGACACAGGATCACTCAGATCTTGGCACAAACAAAGTTAAAGCTGGAATCCCCGAGGCCCACGTGACTCAAAGCCACAGTCTGTTAGTGGACAATAAAGAGTTTAAAGTCTTGTACTTACATCTGTCTCTGTGGGAGTCTGTTGTAGATCCAAGGAGGGACTGAAGGAAAATGCGGCTGTGGGAAACAACAAAAACACGCTCTTGTTCTTACTTCCGGGTCTTTCCTCCCGCAGGAAGCAGTTGGCTGTGACCACGTGGTACACAACACATGTACAACATGCTCAGTGCTTAGTAAGAAATAAACATACATATTTTATACATAAAATACAGATCTAATAGTCTCACAGAAACGTCAATGCAATTTCAAGTTGTGGGCATTGAGGATATTAGACAGCCCCGATAATGTTTAATTTTAAATTGTTTGTTGTATACATAATGTTTTCATTATTGTTTCATTATTTTAAGTTAAAAAGTCATGAATATGGTAAAAATGTATTAGATTTCATTAGTGTATTTCCTGCTCCCGTCCACAAGGCGGCGCCACTCCACCTGTTTCTCTCGTGTCTGTGCCACAAACGCAGTTCTGCATGAGTACGGCAGAAAACGCAGCAGACTCGCACATTAAGACAATGTTTATTGTTTTGCATAAATAAAATAAAACTACAGCACCACCGTGAGTCTCATCATTCAAGTGTGCAACAAAGTTATTCATAAAAATAAATGAACTCAACCAAAACCAAAGGAACAGGAACATAGAAAGCCATTCATGCAGCCAGAATCTGGAACAGTCTGCCTGAGGCTGTGAGACAGGCCTCGTCCCTGGAAATGTTTAAGTCCAGACTGAAAACTGTCTTATTTAGTGATGCATGTGACTCATTTGAAGCATGTGTTTTCTAAAATGTTTTAACTTCTATCTTTTTTTACTATTTTTATAATAGTAACGAGGTACAACACGATGAATGAAAATGTGTCAGAATCTGGCAGAAGAAGAAGACGACAGATGGAAGTAGAAATGATACAATGACAGAAGCGATTGTGAGTATTACACTACTATTACACCTGTATTACACCTGTATTGCACCTGTATTACACCTGTATTGCACCTGTATTGCACTATTAAACCTGTATACACAGCACTAACCAGGCCCTGCCCTGCTTAGCATCAGGGGTGTGACAGATCTGGCTCACACCTGTAGGGGGCGCCACCTTACTCCTTCTTCTTACTCAAAGCCTCAGAATCCTTGTGCTGTTGCAAACTGAGTGGAGTTTGCATGTTCTCCCTGTGTCTGCGTAGGTTTCCTCCGGGTGCTCCGGTTTCCCCTACCACTAAAAATATGTACAATAGGTCTGGCATGTGCCTCCTGTACTGGCACCCCCGCTCCCAAAAATAATAATTGTAAACCGCTTTGAGACTCCGATGTGCAGTGAAAAGGCGGTATATAAATAAAGATTACTTACTACTTACTTACTACATTCTTACATGTGCAGAAGCCTGTACTTTTCCACTACTTGTTTTGACTATCTCTGCTGGCACTGTGGCAGCTGCTGATTGGAGGTCTCTGTTTCTCCTGAGTATATTACAACTTGCTGTCGTAACATCCTTTGTTTGTGTGCTTTGTTCGTGCTGTCTCTACCATCGACAATAAAACATGTCTTCTGTCTGAATGAAAGACACGATCCCAGACTTTGTCATCTTCTTCAGGTGGTGGAAGGATGTGGGCATTGTCTGTAACATCTCAGTGTTTTCCAAGCCAAAACTGAGAAACCTCAAGAGAAACCATGCATCTGGATCAGCACTTGGACAATCTGCACTGCCCCTGATTCCAGTCAGGCTGTGAGCTGCTGAGACATGGACAATACCATCGTCCTCTTTTGCATGGACATCATTTGGAACAATTGGATTACACAATTTGGACATGATTTGGAACAATGCTTCACAGTGTTATGAAATCTCACAAGATGAAACCAACAAACCAATCACTGAGCAGTGACTCTCCTCGGTGGGACAGAACCTTCTTAGTTCTTTTACACCAGTCAACATTTAAACCTAAATCCAACAAGATAAAGTCATCTCCTGCTGCGGTGTAACCTCTGTCACATCTGCAGCCCATGTCCAACCAGGAAGTAGCGTTGAAGCTAGTCTAAAGTGACTCTGGTGGTTGTGCTAACGTCACATGAAGCAGCAGAGCGATAGGACAGGCTGAATGCAGAAGTGAACTCAGTATGTAGTAAATGTGAAATACCCACTCATG